AGTAAATAGTGCTGCTTAGAGCTGTTCCATACAGGTGTGGGGGACTTGTCTTTATAAGGGGTGCTGTATGGTTAACACAGAGGGGTCACTTGGAACTAGTGAACCGTGTCTTCATGTGAACTTACCATAAACATAAGTAAAGGTATAACTTCAGCTTGCAGTAGGTGTTTAAGCATATGCTTCGAATATCTGCATGAATCTCATTAATCTATATATCTTGCGGTCATGCTCCAGTTTGATTTTAATATATTACTGTCCTTGTTGTTGGATGAAAGATGCACATGCGTGGGAAGTAACTTCAGTCACAGAATTCATGGAATTAGGCTGGAAAAGCCCTTTGAGATCATTAAGTCCAACTTTTGAGCCATGTAAAGGTTGCAGTGCGATGGCTTGTTCTGAGTGCTGTCCAGTGCATAAATAGCCAAAACCCTCCTCATTTTTGTCCTTGTCCTCGTCTCTTTCTTGGTAGCACAGATAATACAATGATAGGATGTTAGGTATAAATACAACTCCAGGTTCAAATAGTGGCTCAATAGCCCAAATCTTTTACCCCCACAAATAAGGGTTCCAAAACTGGAACTTTATTTTGGTTCTCCAACTGCAAGTATTTAATTCCCAGGAGCAGGCACAGAGCTCATTCTTGCGAAGAAGCGAGTGAGTGGCAGCCTAAGTCGGATCTACCTCAGTGTAATGGGAAGCAGCACGTACCCAGGACAGAATTCATTAGTGTATTGTGTTGGGGTGTATCAGCAGAGGAGGCAGCTTGTAATGAGGGGATGTGTTCTCTCACTAGGATCTTAATTGTCAGTGAATAATCGCTAGATCCATGGCCAGGGTAGAAAGAGGCTCTAATTCCAGGCGTGTGGGCTGTGACTCTGCTCTTGCGTGGCCCCAGACATTGTCCAGAAAGAAGTAAATGGAGCCGTCAGTCCACAGCATTCACTTTGCACTGATGTATCTATGCCTAAAATAAAGCAGACTGCTTGCTTTTAAAGTGTCCAAGCATTCTTTTCACTCTTGTGTTGAGTGTCAAGCCATTTATGGGGAAAATTGTTCGTGCTGAGTTTTAAACTAGCTATTATTCGCCAAAAACAACTGCTAAGCCTTTTGAATTTTGATGGCAAGATGCATTTGTCCGCCAAGCAGCAGTTTATCAGTGCCTGTGCTGCTGTTGCAGTGATTAGAGAGTGAAGAAGTTCCACCTGCCCTTCAAAGGTGTTTATTTCAGCTGGTATTGGTAAACTGATTTATGCAGGGGTAGTTTTAAAGCAGCTTTTAAAGACTTGATGAACTTAGTTTAAGGAGGCTTGCGTCAGAGCAATGGGGCAGGACTCCTATAATTGAGTAGTTAGTTCTGTTGTAGATCAGAGCTCAAAACCCATGTCTTTTGGACTATGCGGGGTAGGGAAAGACTGAAGAATGCACAAGGATAAATGGTGATGGCAACTTTCCTTTTTAAAATGCAGTTTGTTCTGTGCCCTGCACAGTTGCAATACGGGCCAGCTGCAACCCAGGGAATGCAGCCGATGAAAATGTTTAGACAGGGGCTTGGAAATCTGGTATCAAAGGAACTGGTATGGAGGTGTGTGATGGAGCTGGAAAAGGCCACAAGTGAAAGGACCACTTGAAAGGGTTGGTATGGCAACACACATAAAAAGAGTTACAGAACAGATTAATTGAATAATACTTATTTTGAGGTTTACTGCTGGTTTATGGCCGCAGAAGGAATGTATTGAGTACCTAGTCATCTGCGGTAGCCTGTTTGTGATGTTTGTTTTATTTCGTACTGTTGCCACACTCACTCTGGTGGTGTAGGTGGCTGCAACAGTGATTCCAGGATTATAGTCCTTGTTTAGCTATAGCTAAGATAACAGCGATTGTGATCAAGGCTTGTAGGAAGGAGAGGAAGGCATAGAGACAGTTTCCTTTGGAAGTATGATGTTTGCCTGCCTTACTGCTGCCTGTCCAGCCTAGAGTTTCATTTTGGTCTCATTTACATGAAAAGTGTAAAACTGTTGTGTTTGTGGGGATGTTCGTTAAATTATCTTGTGGTAGATGAGCTGCTTGCTTGGGTGGTAGCAAACTGCTGATGGTGAAAGTAACTCCCTTTCATTGAAAGAGGCTGTGTTGCCATGCACAGAAAATGTTTAGAAATACTTCTAGTATATTTCTGTAAGGTTAGAAGTCTCCTTGTGTTTAAACTTGATCTGCCCTGTATATGTGTTAGTGTAGACATGAGTAAGATACTTTTGACTATACAGGCATCTGGAAGAAAGCCCATAGAGTCAGAAGCTGCTCAGTGTGTCTGATAGAGTACATGTTAGCATGTGGAAAAGGAGGAGAATGAATGGAGGGATGTGTACAAACACCAAAATTTATCTGTTGCCTGTTGGGAGCCTTTGTGTGTATGGTGTCTGAGGAGGACTTGGCTCTAGCTTCCTCATGCTAGAAGGTGTGGGGATGCATTCCAGAGATACATTCAACTGTGAGAAGTTTACAAAGCAAAAACTGACCCTGTCTATTCTTGGAACATTATCTCATGATGGGTACTTGTCATTGGGAAGAGCAACTTGGTTGCCTGTAGGCTTGTGTTTCCTACACAGGGGAGTGTTTCAGCAGGGTGCTGGGATAAATGGCCTGTTGTGATAGCCTGTGCTCTGAGGAGCACGTGGCTGATGCTTCTGAGCCAAGAAACAACATGCATGATACCTAGGTGGTTATAGCTGCTGTGCAGATGAAATGGGAATGATGGCATGGGAGTCGTAAGGATTTTGGTAGCAATGTACCTAGTGCTGTCTTTATAGCTGAACCTGTAAGGGGCAATTGGTCCTCTTTGCTTGTTGATGTATTTAGCAGTGGAGGGTTGAGTGTGTGTTGTGCAATGTGTGTGTTGTATTAGCTCCCCTTATTTTTCCCTTGTTTTTTTTTTAATGTACATTTAGCGTACTAGAACTGTCAGTTCAGATAGATCCTCCAGCTGGTTTTGGGTGAAAGGAGAGTATAGTTTTAGTATCACTAGTTAGCAAGAATCTGTGTTAAAAGTGAGTGTTTCGGTATGGGTTTGAGTGTACAGTGATCTATATTGCATTACCCTGCGTTGCCCTTCTTGGGAGGGAGTGAACTTTTTGCATTCAAGCCTTCCTGTGCTTCTAATACTTGCAACTACAAAAGTACTTATTTCTTAGTAGTGACAACCTTAGAATGATCTCGCTTCAGCTAGGACGGTACTGTGCTGTTGGCTGGTTTCTTTGCCTGCCTCTGAATTGCAGGGACCGCCCGTAAATGCTTTGAGTAAGATCCATGTGGGAATTTCCAGTGTATAGATGTTGGGGAGGTGGTAGTGGGGAACCACCTCCTGCTGGCAGAGTACGCATCCGTACCTGACGGGGAGCTTTCAAGTTTAGAAACGCATTATACAATGTGAAAACCAACCGTAGTGATTGAACACTGGAGAGATTCAGGAGTAACACTTCTTCCTGGGCTGGAGCATATGGATAGGTCTAGTAAAGAGAACACAAGCCTACCCAGGTCATTAATCTGCAGTTTTGTTTTTATGTCTGACTTGCTAAGCCCAGATTCGTTGCAAACACTTGTCTGCCCTGTGTGATTGCAGCAAGGTTGTGTACTTAGCCAGATATTTAGCTTATAGCAGTCCACACTTCTCCTGCATGACATGTTTGTGAGCCAGGCTTTGTGCTTCCTGAAAAGGTAACTGGATCTGGTGCTTGTGATCTGCAGCCGGATGAATGCCATGTGTGCTGTTCATTGTTACTCAACCTCTGTTGATTACTGCTTATAGTTTCAGTGTATGTGTGTGTGTTGATGGGTTATCTTCTAAAAATGAAATGGTGCCTGTGTACCTTCCTAGGAAATAACTTAAATATGTGGCCAGTAGTGCTCATTACCTGTTGCAGCCAGAACAGAAGGGTGTTTTTTTAATCCAAATTATTGCAGAGAATGCTGTTTGGGTAAGGTTGAATCTCAGCATCTGGTGCCAACCACATGCTTCTATCTTCTGCGTTAGCAAAAGTGGGAGGATGTGCAACTGAGCCTTGGAGCTGTGACCCTGACTGTCCTTGAAATGTGTGGGAGATGAATGAAATAAGCCCGTGAAAATCTCCATTGCAAGATGGTTTTGGCACTCCAGCCACTCCTGATGAACCACAGCGATGTAGGAAAGCTGGTGTCCTGAACTTGAGCTTGGTTCAAAGGAATCGATGGCACTTGCTCTTCAGACATACTCTGTCCTGCATCCTGCAGTGCCTAGTTTGCATTTCAAGACAGTAAAATGGCACACACTTTTAGGAATCCAGGCTGGAGCCTTTTGAACAGGAGCGGGGACTGAGTCAAACACCTAAGTGCTGTAGTGCAGTACTCTGCAAATGCTGTGGTAGGTGTTCTGAGCATACTTAAGACTTCCAGTTAGAAGTAGCAGAGTGAGTTACAACTTGGGGACTGAGTGGACTAGCCCTGAAGGACAGACAAAGCTTGCTTATTGGTGTGTGGGGGAAGAAATTTGGCTGTGTAAAATGAGCAGGCATAGCTCCAGTGCAGGAATGCACTGTGACAGTTGTCAGTGCACTTCATCCCTGCTATCAGGCTCTGAGAATGTGTTCCAGAGCCTGATAATAATGAAAGGTCAAATGCTAATGCTTTAAATCCTTCTTAAACATCTGGAAGGAATCAAGACCATCTTTGCAGAGTTCCTGACATTTACCTGTCTTTGCTTCCTCTGTTCAATGGTAACTTGAATGTTTTGTGTGGAGTCACTCATGACTAGTGAACCAGTCATGAGGTGAGTTCTCCCTTTGCCTGGTAAGGTCAGCTAACTCGCTGTCATTCAAGCTGGGCTGCAAACAAGTTCCCATGGTGGCTGGTTGCCAAAGTGGGAAGGGATTGTCTGGGGTGGCTTTTGGATGACTTGAAACTGGTTACAGACTTGTTTCTTGACCTTTTGCTTTTCTTTTTTTTCCCTGCTCTCTCCCTTTTTCATCTTTCAGCACAGAAAGACATCGGTCATGGCGGGTGATGCCCTCTTGATCATGAGGGGCTTGACAAAGCTTAGTAAAGCAATCGTAGAAACCCAAGCAGGACAGCTTCGGCAGGTGTTCCTTGGGGGTGATGCAGTTACCGTCGCAAAGACTCTCCAGGCTGCTGCTGAAGAACAGTTCAGTTCTGCCTTGGGGAAGATGCAGGTAAGCAAAGCTCTTTGTGCACAGTCTAGTCTGATGTTTTGCTTTTTGGTTTTGTTGTGAGGGTGGCTAGGACCTTGCATGGGGAACAAGAACCCAGTTCTGAAGTGCTGGATCGATAATCCAGGTGTTGCAACACTCTGGGAATTCTCCAGGATTTCAGTGGTGTGCAGTAGATGCTTGGACAGGAATGGGAGGGGAATGTTGTTTCCATTACAGGGTGTTTAAGACATGCTGAAAATGAAAAGTGCTCTGTTCCCCTCACCTTGTCAAAGATCAAACTCTTGCTAAGGTGGGCCAGCAGCTTTGTTATTTAAAGTCTCCTTTAAAATCCAGTCATTGATTATCTCTCCTTTGATTAAGTGAATGAGCTCTTCTAGAGTCAGTTGGATTTATCTCGGTGCTGCTTCCTTTCTTGGCGGAGTAGTTGGTGCAGAAAGGTTCAGGTGTTCATCGCTTACAGCCCAGACTGGGTTTTTCAGAGCTGAATTTTCAAATAAGGAACTTAAAAGCCAGATGTTTTTTAAGCAACAGGGTCTATCACCAGACATGGGGATGGATTTATAAGAGCTTCATGTTTGCTGTATAGCCCTCTTGAAAAAGTGGGCCTTGTCTGAGGATGAGATTGTCTCTTAATCAAAAATGATCATCATTTATCATCCTTTAGACAGTGTAGCTCATAATTATTTTTGAAACAGAAACCAAGTGAGGTTTTGATGTTTTCTATACTATTAGTTTAGACTATCGCGGCTATCATGGCAGCCGGTAGCTTCAGACCTAGAATCTGGGCCTGTGTTTCCTTCCTTGTATTTAATAGAAATTCCCTAAGTGTGTTTGTGTATGGGGCTAATGCTTTGTCTTGCCTTTGTCCTTCTTTTTCACCTAGGAAGAGAGAGAGGGTGTCCTCCTGTTTCTGTGCACAGGAGGGGCCCCACAACCAAACCCGCACAACACTTGCCTTGTGCTCTGTCAATGAGTTGCATGAGAAGCTGCTGCCAAAGTAGGGCTTGAGAAGAAACATATAGTCTGAAGCTATGACACCCTCTGTTTTGAAGAGAGGGAAGCTTCTATGTCACTGCTTTTGATCTGTGGCAGGGTTTTGGCTGTCTCGCATGCTTAAAACTTAAGTATGGCAGTAGAGAGAACCACTTGCTTGTAATAATTAGTGTTGTGGCCACGGTCCCCATCTGTAAATAGATTTCCTCCCCCCCGTGCTGTCATGCTGAGGATCAGAATAGCATGAGACCTGCTGAATAACAGGAAAGACCATGGTCTGGTTTTTCTTTTCTGTAAGGAAAAGAAATGTAACTAGTGTTTAGGAAAGAGCTTAAAATATGCTGCCTCCTTGCCTCACCACAACAGGATTTAAGAGCCTGTTGATTGGCTGTAATAGTCATCAGTTCTTCCATCAGCATCTGCCATACTGAGATGGGTAACTAGACTATGTCAAGAAACAGGTACATGGGAGACAGTGCTCTGCTGTTGTGTGTTTGGTTGTGTTTATTTCCTCACTGAAAAGTGGTGGGAAATACCTGCACTTAGTGGGGCAGCTCCTGCAGGCCAGGTCAGAACAGAAAACACTGTCAGGAGAAGCTAGCCATGGTGGTTGCTGTGTCTGATGCTGCTATCCTTGCTTCAAGCACAGAATTGTTTATTTCTTTTGGGATGACAAGAAACCAAACCACAGTTTAGTGGCTGAATGATGAAATGTGTTTTGCAGTTGGCAATATTTTGGCTATGGAAAGCTGAGCTTACTTTGCCAATAAGTAGGCATCTGGTGTTGCTTTTGGTAGGTTTGGGCTGGTAAGTGCTGACCTTGCATGATTAGGGACAGGACGGCAGGAGGGAGCATAGTAGAAGTAAGAACTTAATATTGTGAGGTATAGCTTTTTGTCGTCCCTCTTAAATATACATTAAGCAATATTGCAGCTCCCATCTCCTGTTATTTCTGAGCAGTGTCTTGCTCCTAGTGAACTCCACAATTGGTGACCCTCCCTGCCAGTGTATGTAGAACAAGGTGTCTTCGGTTATGGGTGTTTGAGAAGCTATTAATGAATTTGTCCCATCAGTGGGGTTGAAAAGACTACCAGTGATCCCAGGAGTCCTCAGTGTCTTCCTTTTTCCTGTCTCTTACTGTGAATGCCTGCAGTGCCAGAACCTTTACAAATTACCTATTGTGGAGACATGACAGCCTAACTGCCCACCTCTGGGGACCACGGATGGGTAAGGAGCAGGTTTTAAGTTCTTAAAGTACTTCTGTAATTGTTTGCAGGAATTGGGCATACAGCAGGAGAACTTAACTGATCTCGATGAGAATTTTGGGAAAGACTATGACTTCTCAGCCCGAGACTCGGCAGATGCTCCAATGGACTTCTCCACTGCCTCCAGCAAGCCTCATGAACAGAGCGGTGAAGGCCCTGCTTACTCTTACACTGCAAATGGACCTCTTAGAAGTGTTGGTGAGACTGGAGATTCTGGCATGGGTCAGAAGCCTTTCCCTCCCAAAATGGATGCAAGATTATTTGGAGGCTTTAGGGACCCTGGAAATCCTTTTGCTGCTGCTTTTGGACAAAATAGGGCTTTTCACCAAGACCATTCCTCTGTTGGTGGATTAACAGCTGAAGATATTGATAAAGCCAGACAGGCCAAAGCAGGTTCAGAGCAGAAACCCTACAAACAGATGGTATGTCTTTTTAAATTAAGGATTCTCAGTACTGCAGTTCCTGTACTGGATTGTACTTGCTCACCTCTTCCTTTCTCTCACTTCTTCCTCTTCCACTGTTCCTCTTTGGGGATGTAAAAGAGTCAGTGCTCATTAACTCTGATCTCTGTGATTTTTTTATTCTGTCATTAGCTTTTCTTGCTCTCCTTTCAGACCTGCCACATCTATATCAGATATTCTGATATAAGAGGATGTTTAAAAAGCATGCACAGAGCTAGACTTTACTTTTATATTAAGGGGAGCTCTCCTTTCGTTCACTGGATGATGAAGACTCCATGTATTTATTGATATACAAACCCTTCATTACGTTAACATATTTCATCCCAGTTTTTGGAGTGAAATGTTGAGCAGGTGGGTTCACCTGTAGCCTGCAAAGGTTTGAAGACTGACCTAAAGAGTCTGTCTTCTCCTTGAAAGGCCCTGTTCCCTTTAGCTAGCTGTTTTGCTGTGGCTGCGAAGAATGAATTGGGCCTAAGCTCCTCTCAGTGAAGGCTATGGTTTCCTGCCCTGTGTCTTACTCTCCAGTCTAGTAATGCTCAGGGCAACATTCCCCCCACCTCTACAAGGACTGTATCATAGCTCACAGTTGTTGCTTTGGTGCTTCCTGCCCTTGTGTGAGGCAGCACAGAGAGCCCACAGCAGAATTCGCAGTGGAGGTGCTTGCCATCTGCTCTGATCTTCTGCCTCCTTCGCCAGCCCCAGTATAAGATGGTACTGCAGGTTCACTCACTCAGGATACTGCTTTGATGAATCCGTGTGCTGCTTCTGCTCCAGCTGTTATGCATAGGGAAATTGTCTACAGTACTAGACACCTGATAGCCTTCCATGAGCTTTAATTGCATGTGTGGAAGGGGGTTTGGGTTGGCACTGTACCGCTTCTCCAAGTTCAAAGCGTAAGGGCTGCTGAGGTGAAAATAAAAATGAGGTTTCTAAATGCGCTTGTTATGCCTTTCACTTTCTCTGCTCTACTCCTCTGCTTAGTGTATGTTTTGGTTCATAGTGTGTGTTCTGCAGCGTGCTCACTTGAAAATCTCTCAACATAAGGCTCAGCGTTCACTTTCTGCAGCACGGAGTTGTTCAAGTGCTGTTGAAGTTGCACTCTGAATTTGCAGGTCTCATTTGTGTATTTCTTTGTTTTGCTCTCCTTTGCCTCCTTCCGCTGCAGCTCAGCGAGCGGGCCCGGGAGAGGAAGGTTCCCGTCACCAGGATCGGACGGCTCGCCAACTTCGGAGGTCAGTTTGCACACCCACGCTTGCAGTCAGCGTGCTTGTACGTACTGGTTGATGACAGGCTATGATTAGTGCTCCTGCTGAAGCAGTGGTTGCTTCTATTTTCTAGGCAAGTTGCTAATGGGAAAGTGCTTTCCCACAAACAGCTGGTTAGCTCAGAGCTTGGTTTGGGCTTTTTCATTGCAATTCATTCCAATTCTTGGCCTTTAGTCAGAATGAAGTTATACTTTGAGTCCTGCTTTCTGTCACTCTTGCAGCATATATCTAACTGTTACTGTGATAGTATGGCAAAGAAAAGAGCTCCCTACCCGAACAGGCCTTTCAGCTTTATTCAGGAAGCTACCTGTAAACAGCAGCTACAGGGTTGGCATGGGGTTTCATTTGGCTGAGCACAGCAGGCTGATATTTTCCTGAAACTTAGTTTCTATATACCTGTTCTGGAGGGAGAGAAAAAGGAAGTCACTCTGAGTATAGGGCTGCAGATTTGAGAGTGCACACAGTAGAACTACACGTCTTCATGGTAACATATACTGCGCCGTGCTGCGTTAACTGTACCTCACTCTCTCCCTCTTACGAATTCTGCAGTCTGTACAAATATCCTGGTCCTGCATGTGTGACTTCATTTCATTGAGGAAACCATCCTTTTGGTCCTTAGAGTGTGCTGCTGCTGACAAGCATAGGCAGCTGGAGCAACTGTTATTAAAAAATAATTGTTCCCCAACCTTGTCTTTGCTACTTCTCTGAACAGTGGTTAAATATAAACCATATCCTCGTGGTATTGATTTTTGAGGGCGGGGAGATTTGATTTACTTAGCCGTTGCTTATAACCCATTTTCTCCCAGGATGTAAAGTCTGAGCTTGAAAGATCAAGCTGAAACCTATGTAAAGAATTTATTTGCAGGCTGGCACTTAGGATGCTAAAAACCAGAAGTATCTTTAGTAATAATAACAGATGGTGCTTATCTGATATCTTATATCCCAAGCCATCACAGGACTTAGAATGTTCCTGAGAAAAAGGGAACTATTGCAGTATTGCAGGTGGAAAAGATGATCACAGTTAGGCTTCCTTAGCACATCATTAGATGAGTAGTCTCTTGTTGTAGGTGGTTTTTTGGTTGAGTGGGGGTTTTTTTGGTGACCATAGTGTTTTGGGATAATAGTAGCCTATCTAGGTTGTGGCAGTTGTACACTCTGTGAAGTAGCATGTTAGGCCCTCGTGGCTCTTGGGATTCTCTTCCACAAAGTTTGATAAAGAAGCACATGTGCAAAGTAGGCATCCTTGTGTTATGGATCCCAGAAGAAAGAAAACCAGTCAAATGTAATTCAGATCAACTATTACACTAAAAACCAAAAACCCAACCCCTACTATTCTTCCTCTGTGGTTCTTGTCAGAGTAATACACACACTAGGAGGAGCTGAGGGCAGGGACTGATTCTGTGTAGTGCAGGAATAAACAAAGTGAGTTTTGTGATCACTAAACGTTCTAATGTTGGTCTCTCTAAGTTCACTGCAGGTGGTCTGGCTTCTCTCCTTGCTTAGTATTCCTGAAAAGGAAGCAGGATTCCAGATCTGTCTTTTGGAGTATCAAGGCATCACTTGAAAACTCCCTTGACTCCTTTGTTTTTAAGCTCCAGTAGCACACAGATCTCTGTTCTAATGGAGCCGTGACTTTTGTGGCAAGTGTCACAACACTTCTCGCTGTCACCTTCCAAATTTATCCGCGGCTGTTGCTGACAGCTGGTGGATGTGAAGTGGCAGATGACCAAACCTTCTGTAAACCGTGAGCTCCAGTGCTGTTGCTGTATGCTCCAGCTCTTGGCATGCAGGGCTGTTACACGAGGCAATGCTGACTCATGCGTCAAGGGGAAATATAACTGCCTACCTGTCTTCTGCTAACCTCAGGTTACAAAGCAAAACAAATCCTCACCAAACCAAAACCACAAAGGGAAAGTAAGAAAGGGGTTGTTTTTAAGCAGCATCCCCAATAATATGTGTGTCATCGTGTTTTTTGGTCTTGCCCTTCTCTTCCCCATCTCTGTTTTGTATGATTGAAATTGCTGACAAGACAGCTCTTGCTTTCAGACTGCTTTTGGGGGGATGTTGTGTTGCAAAAATAATGTCCAAATTCTCTGGTCTCTGCAATCCTGTTAGCACTTATTGCTTATCTTTCCCTCTGAATTCTTCCTTGCAATGGCAAGGAGAAATAGTTTTGTCAGAACATACTGGCTAACAAACAAAGAATATGGCTTACAGGTAGGGTTCTTTTCCAGTTTAAGAAATGCCTTGGTAGTATTTTGGTAGGCTGAGCAATGTTAAAGAAGGTTTCTGAGGTTGTGATGAGCCTGAGCAGCATGGGCAGCTCCACATGGGGAAGACTACCTGTAAGGAACGCTTCTTAGCAGTCAGGTCTTAATCCACATTGGTACGAGCTTTTAAACAGCCTCTAGAGCTGCATGGAAGGAGGGTCTCTCTTTATAGTGAGCTGCAGCTCCTGCTTGCCGTTTGCTCCAAGTTTACAATGTTTTTTCCAGCCTGCACATAGCTTTGAGAGAGCCAGTGCAGGTGTGAAACCCTGTCGGCTAATTTGAGTGTGTTGTTCCTGACTGTCTCTCATCTGACGAGCAATGTTCTTTACAAACTGCATCTTTAAACCAAGAAACATTAGCTGGTGGCAAGAGCTGTGGTGTACCGTTTGCTTCTACCTGGTTTTGATTCCTTGGAAGTTGTTGGTGAACTTTGGCTTATGGTGGACTGTTTTCCTCTTAGATTGTGAGCAGGGGGAGGCTGTACTTGTGCGTTTCTCCTAGCTACTGCCTGTCCTCACTGTCAGTCCCTTCTGGGTGTTCTTGGGAGTGATGCAAGAGACAACATCTACAGTTTTTAGAAGCATCTGTGGGCTGAAGAGTGATAAAGGGAGTCTCATAAGGGTGCAAGAGGCAGTTTCCAATGGAGATGAAAATTTTTGCTTTTCCAAGATCCAACCCAACTTACTGTATATATAACTTTGCTTGGAAAAGGCAGAATAAGCTTAAATTGTAAGTGTTTCATAGCTTGGGCGTAGCTGAGTTGGAAGCTCCCTGTGCCTGCACAGTGTGTGTGTTCTCTTGTGCATTTTCTCTTGCCTTTTCAACATAGGTCAGAAACATGGTGGAGGATGCTCTGATTCTATGAGGGAGCGTAGCTTAGAGGAAGTAAGATTTTTGTGCACTTTTGTTCTTGTTTCTTGTGTGCTTTGAGGTATCATCTTCATTTGAAGGCCCCAGAAGACCACTGTATAATGGTTGATGTGGATTTATCCCCTACCCCCTTCATGCCATTCAAACCTGCATGTGATTCTGACTCTTCATGGTGGGATAAATCCCACTTTTTTCTTTACTTCCATGCGAGAGCAACAATACTTTAGACTGGGAGAAGATGGAGGTGTTGAGTAGGTCAAAAGCAGAGTTCATGTAACTGTTCCTGGGGTTCAGGTAGCTGAATTCCCATGCTATTGGCACGATCCCATTCACACTTGAATCATTCCTCTTGTCTTTGCTTGTTCTTTTGCAGTACCCCTTTAATGTTAGAGGGAATGTTGATCTCTCAGCTGCGGTGTCAGGACACTGTGGTAGGTGGTGGACAAATGAGTAATGGGAGGCAGGAATACTTGGACTGCAGTTTTCCTGGCTTCCCACCTCTTCTGGGAGTAAAGCACATCTTGCTGGGAAGACTGGGGATAATTTTCTCCAATGCTTGCATGTAATTCTGAGCTAATGTTTCTCTGTAATCAGCACAAAATCCTTTCCTGAACTTCTTTGTCCTTTGTATGTGTTTTTGTATGCTGCTTGCAGCAGCAGGCGTGACTGCTGGGGGTTGTATTTGTGGTACTAAATAGCCTTGATTTTTATTTGTTTTGATTTCGTTCTTCTCCAGGTTGGAATTGGTAAAACAGATTTTTCTGCAGCATTGGTGTGGTTTTTTTGTTTCATGCTTATTTTGTAGCCTGATGGGTCATTGGTTCCACCCAAACAGTTCTTGATCCTCTCTTTATTTCCATTCTCCCTTCCTTGCGTCATCCGGCTTTTCTAAGCAGTTCCTGTCTCCCTTAATCATATTCCTGGTTTGGAAGTTTATTATTTTAATGAGATAATAAAATCCTTTTGCAGTGAAGAACATTCAGGAAGCCTGTAGTAGAGGCTAGATCTAATGGGAGTGTAGCAATTGCACAAAAATAAAGCTAGCCTTGAGGTATGGTTTTAAAGTACATACAGGACAACTACAGGATTCAGCTGTCACCTGAATGTGGCGTTCTTCTGGTGAGCATTTCGTGCCCAGAAAGCTACTGGATGCTGACAGCCAGCTATCTGCAGCTTGCAGAATGTTCTGTGTGTCGCTTGCAGTGCTTGACGTGACTGAAACGAGGGCACAGGCTGCTCCAGGGGAGAGTCTCGCCCACCGCTGTGCTTGGCAGGCTAAGCACAGTGATAACAGCCCATTCAGTCTCCCGTTTGTTTTGTTGTGGCAGTTGCTGAGCAAGAAGATTCTTCCTGAGCAAAAGTGATTCCAGACCATCTCTAGATGGACTTGGTTTGAAGTGTAACGGCTGCTGGAGATGCCTGGAAAATGTCTGAAGAGGCACTCTGCTGGTACAAAAGCAAGTGGCATTTTCCAGGCCTGAAATAATCTGCCTGCATAGAGTGTGGAATACAGGAGTGTGACTTTCTAGAGGTGCTCTGGGATGCTGCCTTCCAAGGCGCTGAACTGTGGCTGTTCAGTGATGCTGAAAATTGTCCCAAAATGATAAATCTTGGAGGAAATACTCATCTTGCAGACAAGGAAAATGAAAGACGTCAGAAATGACTTCTGCAAGGTCAATAGACTGGTGGCCCAGAGGAGAGTGTGTTTCTACAACCCTGCAGGTGCTTTGGAGAGATGGCTCCTGGTCACAAATGAATGGCATTTGGTGGATTGACCTTGGTTGGCAACTAGGAACCATGCAGCCTCTAACTTGTTTTGTCCCACACAGTCTGGAATAGGAAGAGCAAAAGCAAGAAGACTTGGAGTTGAGATGAAGATAGCTAAATAGGGGAAGCAGAGTTCCATGTGCATGCAAAGCAGCAAGAGAAATTCATTTACTACACCATATCAGCAGCCAGATGCTCAGCCGCTTCCTGGGAAGCAAAGCCTCAGCATTTGTAGTGGCTGCTTGGAAAGACAAACATCTTAACCCCAAATGTGTTTCTCCCTTCATCCTCCTTTCTTCAGGCTTTTACTGCTGAGCCTGATGTTAGAATTGTAGAACTGTAGAATGGTTTGGGTTGGAAGGGACCTTAAAGCTCATCCAGTTCCAACCCCCTGCCACAGGCACCTTCCACTAGAGCAGGTTGCTCCAAGCCCTGTCCAACCTGGCCTTGAACACTGCCAGGGATAGGGCAGCCACAGCTTCTCTGGGCACCCTGTGCCAGTGTCTCATGACCCTCATAGTAAAGATTTTCTTCCTTACATCTAACCTAAATCTCCCTTGTTTAACTTTGAAGGGCATGCATGTCCCTTTGATCAGTTTGGGCCAGCTGTCCTGGTCATGTTCCCTTCCAGCCTACTCATTGCAGAGGTAGAGTGGGGAAAAAGCCCTGACACTGTGCAAACACTGTTCAGCAACAGCTACGACATGGGTGCCTTATCAACACTTGTAGTTACAAATCCAACACAGAGCATGGTGCAGGCTGCTGTGAAGAAAATGAACTCCTATCTCAGCCAGACCCAGTATTTGTCTTCAGATAACGTGTGCCTAAACCACAGCCTTTCTGATGGGTGGGTGTGTAAAAAAAGGGCTGGAAAACAAATCTGGTGCCGTTTCAGGAAACGGGTGTTGTGGCTCTGAAACCTCCTGTCTTGAAGTCGCTTTCTGAACCCTAGAGCCTTCATCTGGTCTGTAAGAAGAGGAAAGGTGAAGTTTTCCACATTAGGTTTTGGTGTGTGAGCTGTTTGTGCTCCCAGTGCCACAGTGAATGAAATTCAGGTTGGTAAAGGAGAAGGTTCCTGAAGTTCAGAGTTTGACTGATCCCTAGTACTGATGTTGGTGGGTGCAGTGTTACCTTTTTCTCAGGGATAGGAGGTTGCACATGCAGCTGACTTCATTTTTTGCAGCCTTAACATGTAAGAAGCAGCAGACACCCAAGATGCGCTTGGCCATGCACAGTCTCAAGACTATTATCTACCCTCCTGGACCATATTTAGAGCAGGGCTGTGTACACCCTGAAGTGTCTCCAAGTAGTAGGAATGCTGCACTGCATTTTCATGTAATGCCCTGAGCTAAATATCCTCCTGCACATGGTGATGGTAGTTTAAAGATGCTTAAAGTCTTTGTTTAACTTCAGATGTTTAGACCTTAGCAGCTGTTTAGCCATGGACTTGTTTATGCTTCACTTTAGTTGAAACAGTTGTTGGCTAATGATGAGAGCTCATTTCCTAGGACCTGTTTGAGGAGAAATGCTTGTTCCAGTGTAGTCTACAGTATAGCTTAGTTCAGATGCTCAACGGTGTATGTCCATGAGAGGGGAGGTGTGAGACGTGTTTGTTTGGAGTCTGATCTTGCCTACGCTGGTGTAAACCACAAGCTGCTTTGGAGCATGCCAGAACTTCTCCAGGTTTATTCTGGAAGACAGAGTAAAATCTGGCTCGTTGGTCTTTGGTTTGCTTTGAAGTGGTTTGTGTGTGAATAATGAAGAGAGATTAGAAACCTCCGTTATTTCGCTCTTAGGTGCAGGCAGTAAATCTCAGTAGCAATCATAAAGGCTTTGGAAGCAGATGTATTTAATTTGAACCAATTACTGCCAGCCCAGTTCAGTCTGACTCTGATAATGTCCAAGCTGGGTTTTGATGGGGAGCATTTCTTTGGAGGTGGTGAAAGTGGGATGAAGGCCAACAGAAGTGCTCCACAAATGGTATTCAGTCCAGAAAGCCACGTTTTGGTGATGAGGTCCTATCTCCATTGGCTTCCTGCCTGACTCGGTGCTTTCTGCTTCAGGTTAGTGTCTTGCATGTGGGATCTGGTTGGAGATCATTGTGTAACAGTGTTTTAATAGACTTCATGCTGTGTTGGAAAAGTGTCTTTGTTTCTTTCCCTTGGCGTCTAGGGATGGTTTTCTCCCTCTGTTCAGCTAATAAAATCTCTGGATTTCTGGTGCAAAAGACTTGCTTAGTGGTCATGCAAGTCTTGGTACTCGTGAAGAGTCTGCACAAGGTAACTAGTCACAGCAGACTTCCTTAGGCTTAAATCTGGCAGTTTCAGCACTGCATCTCCATAGGAAAATGTGCAGAAAATTCATAAAACTTATTATTTTATTATAATTTTTTTTTTCAGGGCATTTTACTGTAAGTATTGTAATGTTAAAATCATAGCATACTGGGATAGTTATATTTTTCTCTGGATGTAGACCTCTGTTATGTTCTATGTTCTTCAACATTCATGTGTAATGGAGAATGGAAGGTTGTTTGACAAGGGCAGTCTTTGTTTTTTGATCTGAAACATCTCTGTAAGGGAATGGGACTGGCCCTGGAAGCAGTCCTTGGGAAGGCTTTGTAATGCCACCCGTGCTTTACCTCATGTTGGATTCTTTGGTCTAGTGCCTGTAGCCTGCAAGGCTGCCGATGGGGCTGTTCCTGAAGCAGATACACTGTGCAAGTTTGACCTCTTTGGTAGAGGTGGGGTTGTTATTACCTGGTGAGAGGGAGATAAAACTCAGTGCAAGGTAAGGTTCAGCTAGTCTGTGCCCAGGCATCTCACTTGAGGCTACAACTGTGTGCACGCGCTTCCTCCCGCACACATGCGTAGAACACCAGGTTTTGGTGAGCTCTGCTTCTTTCATGGTGCTGACTGTGTCCCCTGGTTGTTCCATCTGAGAAGCCCTCAAGGAGGGCTTGGAGTGCTTGGAAAACGTGCACCCCCAGTACTGCTGGCAGGGTGGAAGCAAGGCATGGCAGGATGCACCATTGCCGAGGAGATAGAATTGTAGAATAGCAAGGGTTGGAAAGGACCTTAAGATCATCAAGTTCCAACCCCCCTGCCATGGGCAGGTACACCTCACACTAACCTATGCCAGCCAATGCTCTGTCCAAACCAGCCTTGAACACTGCCAGGGATGGAGCATTCACAACTTCCCTGGGCAACCCATTCCAGTGCCTCACCACCCTCACAGGAAAGAACTTCCTCCTTATATCCAACCTAAACCTCCCCTGTTTAAGTTTTAACCTGTTACCCCTTGTCCTATCACTACAGTCCCTAACGAAGAATCCCTCCCCAGCATCCCTATAGGCCCCCTTCAGATACTGGAAGGCTGCTATGAGGTCTCCACGCAGCCTTCTCTTCTCCAGGCTGAACAGCCCCAACTTTCTCAGCCTGTCTTCATACAGGAGGTGCTCCAGTCCCCTGATCATCCTCATGGCCCTCCTCTGGTGCACAATGTGCAGATGTGCAGGAGCACCAACTGTTCTGGTTGCCCCATGTCATTTATTATCCAGAAAAAATAAATATTTTGAAACTGGGAAGGCAGTGAGACCTTTGGTAGTACAGATTACCTCGTGGTTATATCTGTGCCTCCTTCAGTCTGTGGTCAGATTAGGGGAGGCAGATAATGCTCCTTTTGTAGTCTTATCTTTTGTAGCTTTATCTGTGGCTGTGAAACAACACCCTGCAGGGGTGATAGTGCACGTGGGATGCTGGTGTTTGGTCTCACAGTCTCACTGTTGCTCTGCAGTGTTACTCTCCAGCCCAGCCCCTTGGAATTGCAGGTTACAGTGCTGCTTGCATAAGTGGGCCTCAGGAAAGGCATGTTTCTGTTCATCATAATCAACGAGCACATGGGAATAAAGACAGCTAATGAGAACAAATAAATCTAGATGCTTAGTAGGGTCACAGAGCCTTAAGCTCCATTGGCAGTGGCTTCATCTAAGCACAGTTTTGCTTCCCTGTGTGAAGGAGGTTCTGTTTTGTGAGTTATACTTTGAGAACCGTGTTGGGAAGAGTATTGTAGTTTTCTTCCCGTGTTCTAAACCACGCAGTTTGAGTCTACAGCAGCACCTCAGCCAGTGCACAAGCTCTGAGTAACACTCGTTGTCATGCTTAATGAAAGATGGATATCCCAGACTGGCCTAGCCTATGATCCCTATGATGGCTGGCCTGCTGGGCTGAAAAACAGTTCAGTGGCAAAATTGCAGATGACTCCAGGCTGTTCTGATGGAGCTGTTCTGTTGCTATGCATTAGACTGTGTGCCTTAATTACAAAATATGCCTCTGTGTGTGTGGCTCAGAAGGCTTTTTTGTTCTGATGTGGGTCTTTTTCTTCTTCTTTTAAAGGATTAGCTGTTGGTCTGGGCATTGGGGCATTGGCAGAAGTTGCAAAGAAGAGCCTTAGACCTGAGGAACGCAATGGTAAGCCCTTCCTACAGCTGCATTCTTTCCCCCCCACCTCCCATTTCTTTCTTTCCTTTTTGGTCCCCGACACAGTTTACCTGCATTTGCAAGATCTTACTCTTCTGAAGGCCAGGATGGTGAGGCATCTGCAATAACAGCGGGATGTGGGTAGTTCTTCTGTTTGTAACATACTCCTTCTCTACCTCCAGACTCTTCTCCCACCAAAGTACACCGTAGCCTCATTACACAGAGGTCAGAGGTATATGTAAGAGAATGAGTTTATGCCAGCACGATTTCTACAGCTTGCTTTAGAACACACATCCCCTGAGTTTGAATACTGGCCCTGTGTTCATTCTTGGACTGTGTTGGCCTAACAATTGTGTTTTAAATTGTTCAGTGAAACCATATAGTTCTGTCAGTACAGAGACTGTTGTAGGTGAGCCTCTATGTCTGAAAACTGTTGGTGGTAGCAGTCTGGAAATTTAAGGATGTTCTGCTTAGGAGGAACTTGAAGGCTATCTGTTCTCTTTTGAGTGAGACACAACTCTTTATGAACATGTTAACTGGCAGTTACCTGCTTCCACTATCTGTATTTTGCCACCTTCTAAAGGATTCTTGTAACAGGTCAGGAGACTGTTGTGCAAATTGACCTGATCCTGTTTTTTTTCTCAGCTTGTTTAAACTTGGAGGTAATGTGTTGTACCTGGCCATGTCATGGGGGCTTTCTTCTAAGCCCGTGTGTTGGTAAAATAGGGTAGTACCAAATGGTTGTGTGTGTGTGTGTGTGAATGGTTTAGGGTGTAGAAAGTATGTGGTGTTCTTTCCTAGAAAACAGGAGATTACTCTAAAGGTTATGGCTCCATTCGCTTCTTCCTTATCCAGGAGAACCATTGGTGGGATACTTCAAAACGTAAAGTTCTTTGTTACGGTTACTGCAGGCTGTTTCTCCATTCTTGCTTCCCCTCTTGCTGTTTGGTCTTCAGCTTTGAGCTGACACACAAACATCCAAGCCTCTGGTTTGGCTAGGATGTTTGTGTGCTAGTTCCAGTGACTGGAGGGAACCTGATGAAAGGGTTAAGCATTTGCAGCTGGAAGTAAAAGTGATGTGTGATAGTTCCTGGTTCAGGGCATTGCTTTGAGAGGATGACAGCCTGTAATTTTGGGTAATTTTTAATGGTCCTTGTAATTTTATTCTGTGGCTAGTAGTGTTCTACGACAAGGCCAGTTTGTGCCTTCCCCCTGGTCATCTTTGGGGGTAGGGGGCAGATGAAGACTGAGCTAGTGTGACCCTCCATTGCAGCGAGTACTGGAGTGGCTGCCAACTGAAGAAATTTGGAGGTGTGAGAACCCTAAAAAAAGCCAACCAAAAAACCTCAAACCAAAACCCAGCACATGAAACACGTTCACTGTGGTGTGGGGACAGGGTTAAGGCATGAGCTGTGTGCCACCCAGGCCACTACTTGTTAATAAACTGCAGTTTTGTGCTCCCTGGGCAACTCAGCAATGCGGAACAGCCCAGCAGAGGAAAAAAAGGATCTTTGGCAAAGAGCAGTTGTTTCTCTCCATGACCCGAGGTGTTTGAGGCTGGGTGAGTTTCTTTGCTTTGATTTAAAAGCATCCATTCAGACAAACATGGCCCATCCTGTAGCAAATCCTTGAAGGCTTTTGCCTTCAGCACTTGTGTTTGACAGGCCCTTCATACCTGTTGGAAGCTGATGACTTGTTTTGCTTTTAACAGAGAAGGAGTTGCACAACTGTTGGTATTTCTTCGCTTGCCAGATGATTTTCTAATTGGGCACACCCCAAAGTGAAAACAGGAGCTTGCAGAGCTGTGGAATTTAAGGGAATAACAAGAGCTTTGTTTCTCTTCCTTACAGCAGGAGAAAGGATTATTTCTTTATTTAGAGGGTGGCAGGCACTTTTTCCTTGCAATAATGCAATTGCACCTATAGATTTCCTTTCTTCTTGCCAGGGAAACCTTTATTTTCCTGTGTGGCTATAACTTGGTGCCAGAATCCTGCTCTGCAGTTTGAGTCATGGTTTGGGAAGAGTAATTTCCTTGAACAAACCTTGATTAAACAACAAGGCAATGAACTGCTGACTTCAGTGCTAGGCAAGGGAGTTAGAAAAGGACCTGGCTTCTACTTTCGGCTCTCTTGCTTTTGTTCTTGCTTCCCCTCTTCTGTCAAGTCTGTGTAGATCAGAGCTTAGATGAGAGCTTGGAGCAGAGGTTACACTATAAAGAAGGGTGGTGGGACTGGGAATGAGTAAGAGCAGCAAGTTATTGAGGTGAGGCAGAAGTAAAAGACTTTCAGCCCTCAGTCTCTTGGAGCTTCTCAGGCCAAGGAAGGGCTCTAGCTGTGCCCCTGGGTGTGTTTTCCACAGCATTTTACAGTGGTGGGTAAGTCTGCATGGATGAGAACTCACTCCATGGGCTCTGCTTCTGCAGAAAGGCATGGCAGAGGATAAGTACTTAGCTTTTGAGTCCAAGATCCCGTGTTCTTACTGTTCTTATGGCAGTACCAGCCTTAGCTGTTGGGGAAATCTGTTGACATTGGTACCTCTGCAGTTCTTTAAAAATACCTCTTCACCCCTTCTGTGACTTCAGCTTGAGGCATTTGTGTCAGAGTTTTCTGGCTGCCAGCACCATAAGCTCAGGCTAAGACCTGTCTCAGTTGAAAATGACACACAGTCCTGTTCTCTGGAAGCTGGTCAAGGATGTCTTTTTCTCTCTCCACTGTTGCAATATTACGAGTTAACTTCTTGGCCCTTGAGACTTAAACAGGTGGGATGTGTATATGCCCAAAGGCATGCCTAAGAATTTCACACTCTCACTGGCATCCAGGAGTAATGAGAAAGAGCTTTCTCTTGTCCAGTGAGTACAAATGAAGGTGGCTTCACACCTTTAAAATGGAGCTATAAGCACTGACCCTTCAGTCACAAAACTGCAAGCTAGAAACCCCTGAGCTACAAGTGATCCGAGTAGCATGGCTTGTACTTGAGGGACCACAAATGTCTACTGTGAAGGTAGATCGATGCAGGTAGTTAAAAATAACCTCAGTCACTGGTGACCTTACTGGAGTCTCGGTATTTAGAGTGTGAATCTAAAGTGCCAGGCTGACATGAGGTGGGAATGGGAGGGTAGACTAAATGTCCAGGCATACAAGTAAGAGTGCCCAGATAAGTACTTGCTGTTGCTAGTAAAGAGACTTGGGGTTCAAGGTCAGCTTTAACTTACGAATGAGCTGTACTAGGCACTGTGCAAAATACCAGGCTAGGCAGAGCCCCAAAGGGCTGGCAGCTGGCCTAGGCTTGAATGCAGAGTTCTTATGAAAAGGAATAATGTGGTTTCTTTGAGTTGTCAGTCCTGAGTGCTAAGGCTGCCTTCGGGACTCTTACCTTGCCCCAGAGTGTGTGTGGCAGATGGTCCTAAAATTAAATGTATAGAAAGCCCAGTGGCTGGTTCTGCTTTTGAGAGTAGCAAAGGAGGTGGAAGAGCAGTGATGCAGCCAAGATGCACACAGATGTGGAAGGGGTCCTGCTGATCCTGGATTTGGAAAGGAAGTGTGGGTCAAGCACCCCTGAGGGCATCTGCCTGCTGCCTCTGCTGTGAACGTGCTGACAGGCCCCGGGCACTGTGGCTGCAGGAGCCTTCATTTCTGAGTTCTCCTTGTTGCCACAGCTTGTTTAGATGTGACTTCTGTTTGCCTTTTTTCCTTCCCTGATGAAATAGGTAAAAGAAAAACCAACCCAAAACCACAGCATGGCAATAACAAAACCCAAACCAACCCACCTTTGCCATTTTAAGATGGAGAGGGAATAATTTGTAGCATGAAAAGGTACAGCTTTGGAAAAAACATTGTCTTACTCAAAATGGGCACATTTCTTCATGAACTTGTTCTGGGTTTTATCCCCACTTCCTTTCCACCTAGCCTCAGACGCCTGTGTCTGTTTTCCCTTGCCATTTACAGAATCCTGCCTCTGACTCCTGCCTTCGGGTCACCTTCTTGTTCATGCCCTGTTTTAGCAATGTACACAAACAAGCAGGAGCTGTCACATGCTGTCAGACTGCCTGGTGATCCAGTAGTGCCCCTGTAGGCTTGACTTCAGTGAGAAGCATGACAGGAAGAAGAGGATGGGGAGTGCCTGTGTTCGCCTCTTTCTCTGATAAGACTCTTAAACCTGTCAGGGTTCACTGGCTTCTGGAGGCAATTTTAATCATTTAACTACCTTCCTTTATCATGCTGCAGACTCAAAAGGAGGATGTTTTTGTGTGCAGGTGGTGTGAAGAAATGCAAGGCTTTGACTTGGTACTTTCCCTAGCTCCTGTGTGTCTGATGGCGCTCATACAAGGGATTATTTGCCTTGTCATTGTGAAGGATACAGTTTCCTGGATGGGACAGTTGAGATGGGATTGTTTAGAGCCAGAGCTCTGTTAGACAGCTCTAAGCACTCTACTTTCCAGAGCTCCAAGTCTCCTGACTTGGAGATGTGAAAGCAGAGTCTGCTCTCAGCAGATTTCTAGTGCACACCCTGGACATGCAGTTGCACAGCAGTATGTGCTTGTGTATCAACATACATGTTTTGGGCAAGAATTGTTTGGATAAGAGGTTTGGCAAGGGCATGAATCCCTGTTTCCACCCTAAGAAGTACCAGCACATTCTCGGTCTACACCAGTGCGCTCCCAAGGCTTTTGACAACTCCCCCTTGTTGTGGCTCAGCCCTGCTGCTCTTCTGAGGCTCTGCTGTGCTGCAGCCTATGATGTGGGACTTGGGAGACCTTTATGTTGTGTTTTAGGCTGAGCTCGGTGGTGCAATTGGATCACGTGCCAAGGTATGCCCAAGATCCTGGACAGTTTGCATAGCAGCACAGGCATTCAGGGAGCCTGTGACTTGCTGCTGTTGGCTGCCAAGCCAGCAGTGGCAAAGCTGTCACAAGACACATGTGACAGCTTCGGATGGTGACCCTCGGCTGCAGTGAAGGCACTGAGGGTCATCCTGGTTTGACTTCTCTGGGGAAGGGCAAACCTCCTATTGAATGTGGTCTAACGCTACATCTTGGCAAGTGAGCTTGCTGGTAAGGGTGTTCCTCAGCCATGTGCCTTCTCCCCTTGTCCTCAGGGAAGAAGGCAGTGATGGATTCTAGCCCGTTCCTGTCGGAGGCCAATGCAGAAAGGATCGTGAGAACCTTGTGCAAGGTCCGGGGAGCAGCGCTGAAGCTGGGACAGATGTTAAGCATTCAAGGTAAGTGGCAGCATGGCACCTCGGTGGTGCTGCCAGCTGGGGCAGCCGAATTTTGTGATGCATGGTCAGCTGTCCGCAATCACTCGGTGCCAAGCGGATGTGGAGACAAGTGGCTTTTTCTTGAGAGCAGTGATGGAGAGGTGGTTGATTCAGTTCAGTCTAATCCCAGTGTGAAATAATCAGACGTGTGCACTCCAGACCACCACTTTCCCAATGTCTGTGTTGTGTCAGGCATATAACTGAAACTGGTTAAAAATAAGGTGACACTGTCTGTTAATTTTAATGCCTGTGTTGAAAGCAGCTGTTGAGAAGCAGAGCTGTATTACACACCACAGGCAGGTGTCCTGGAAAGGAGGAGGAGGATGACAAGAGCATCATGCTATTCTTTGTTCACCAAAGGTGGTCAAGGTTGTATCCACAGCCCTTTCCCATTACGCACCCTGTTTGTGGCTTACATGCTCTGTTGGCACTGCAGCTGTGCTGGAAGGGCCAGTCCAGCTGATACTCTTATTGGGCATAGACCACTTGTTTTCATCCTGAAGACTTCAAATGGGTACTTATTCCATTGGGCTCTGAAGTTGGTGATCACAGGTGAAGGCATGAGTGACATTAGTGTCTGCATGAACTGTTGGGCTACTCCTAGGAGAGAGCAGGTGTGTTGAATACAAACCTGATCTGGAACTATCCACTGTGCCTTCCTGCCCAACTTGATAGTGAAGGAAAGAACCAGCCAAAAATAGCTGTTACACTTGTCTGGATACAGCATTCAAGATGTCACTGAAACTGAGTCAGTGTCTGGGTGTTTGAAGTACTCTGCTTGCTTGGCTTGTGCTTCTACTTGAGTTTTTGTAGGTGTTGACTGATGAGGCTGATCTAGTATTGTATTAAATAGCTTGGGCAGGCCAATAAAGCAAGACAGCTCCCTGTTCCAGAGAGCCCCGATTGTGATACTCCATCGTCCTTCATTTGCTCATCACTTGGTTTAGGTGCGTGCCTGGCAATGTTAACACAGCTCAGTGGGAGGCAGCAGCTGCTGTGTCAAAGGCTGCCATCCATATCCTCTTTTCTCACCCTCTAGAAACTGCCAGGTGCCAAAAGGCTGATGGTTCCCGGTGCAGAGCCAAGAGGAGCTCTTGTGCTCCTTGCTTTCTGTGGCCAGTGCCTCTGGTATGTGGGGGTGAGCGAGCCATGTCTGGAAATCAGCTCTGAAGTTCAATTGTCTACCATACAGGGGGATTGATTTTAAATTCTTAGGACATTATAGAGTTGCACCTGATGTGTACCCCTGTACATGGTCATAGCTGCCCTAGCCTTGGATGTGAGTGAGGAGGGAATAGCTGTGAAAGGCCGGCTGTGGATTTTGTCACTTGCCCGCTGCCTCCTGATGTTACTGTGCTCTGGCAGGAGTGTCAAACGCTTGCTGATTGACTTCACTTTGGTGTCAGAACCTCTAGCAACATCAGTGTGCTGCCCAGCCCTTGTTTCGCTCTTGTGACAAGCACTTGTGGAGTGCTGCAATGCCTGGTGTGAACATAGGCCTCTGGTAACATGGCTGAGGGGCAGTTGTGGGGAAACAAGTTAGACACTCCCTGCAGTGCAGAGTGCCTGTTCCTGGGCTGGCTCTTTGGACAGGAGGGTTTCATGCAGGTCTGACACTTAATGGGCTTCTCTGTGGCCTGGTGAGTTTGAATTGGGTACTTCTATGAACAGGCACATGTGCTAGTTGAGCACAGGGGCTCTGTTGCCTTGCCCTGGTGCAGCTGAGCTATACCATGCAGAAGTTAGAAAGCAGTGTCTTTAAAAACCCTGATGTCTGCTTCAGGGAGTCAGTGGCTTTGTTAGGGACCCACATCCCTGGAGGTCATGCACAGAAAGGATGCCAGGGGCCCCAAATCATCCTGTGTTCTGGTGCGTGTGCTCTGGAAGGAAAGGCAACTGCGTTTGCCAGTCAAGAGTGCCTTGCCTGGACTCCAGTTTCGTGTTTTGTTCCAGTGAGGCCCCATCAGCTTACCACAAAGCTGTATAACCTTATGCATCAGCATGTGGTAAGCCTGGTTTTATCAGCTGCGTCTGTAGCATGACTGACTGACTTTGTGTTGGTGCTGAGTTTCTATACAGTCTCTCTAGACTTGCAGGTTTCTTGGCTATTTGGTGTTGCCCTCATGAGCAGAGGAGTGTTGGCCAAGCAGCCCCAGTTAAGAATGCCCTCTCAGGCTGAAATACCTGGTGAGGTTTTTGGATACCAGCAATAAGCCAAATAACAGAAGTTGATCCTGAATGCTTGTGGCAAAGCCTGATACCTTGACACAAACAGCTTCTGGGAGCAGGAGTTGATTTTAGTGACGTCCATTCACTTTCTGTGCAGTCATCATAGGAGGTGCAGGTTATCATGGTACAGCTTGATGATTAATGCTTTCATATACGTAGTTCTTACGATGCTCAGAGGCTTGGTGGTGATACACCATCAATGACAGAGCAGAAGTTTCTTTTGGTGTTGGGAGTATGCACACAAATGCAATGTTTAGCCTTCTTTGTAGGGTTGTAACATCACAGCAGGAGTTCCACTCACTGGTCCTGCAAAGCTGTTAAGCTTTGACTTGCAGTGACAGAATGGGAGGTCCTCTTGCAAACTCCTGTTGATTCCACAGTGGAGATGTGTTAGTACTCTTAAATGCTGCTTGTAGCTTCGGTGGGGATGTCTAGTGTTGAGTGTTAATGTCTCATCTCTGCTTTCTGTGTCTTTTTCTTGCCATATCTTTCCACCCCTCTTCCCAGGACAGTGCTCAGGGGGTAGCTGTTGCTTGTTTCCTGCGAGACAATTACAGTTGTACATGCATCTCTAAATGCAGAGGAATGGTAGAGTTTTGGTTGCATGTCACAAGCACACGTGCATCCTGAGTTCTCAAGGCTGATAGCCTGGATTTACCCACTGTTGGGGGAGCAGCAGATAAATCCAGTTCCTCCATAATCCTTTGAGAAGTTTGCCAGAACTGTTGGCCTTTCTGTAGAAGCCTTTGCTTAAAGAAGAGGATTAATCTTGTAGGATGCCCCTACCCCTCCTTTTTCTTTCAAGTGTAAATATTTGCTTGCTAAGTCCTTCTGACTCTTAACATAACTTACTTTTGCCTCAGCTGTGTTTTCTTCTTCCCACTTGCAGTTGCTTTGCATTTGGGTAGGTGTTTACAGTAGCAGATGCTGAATCCTGACTTCTCTAAGACTTCAGCACTTCCATAAGCGATGCTTTGCCATTGCAGAGCTTTCTAGAGAAGTTCCTGCCCCCTTAAAATGAACTGGATTAAACCACACCACGTAACTGGGAGTGCTGGGATACCTCTCTAGGGGGTTCCTTCTGGGACTTGTGTTTCCATGACACATTGGCCTCTCTTAGACCTGAATGCTGTACCGCTGTCAGCAAGAAGATGGGCTGGTGGATGACAGAGGCTGGTGCAGAGCACTCTGCTCTTGGGTTTGTGCAGCCTACCATCACATAGAAGCCTCTGTGCTGTGCAGAGCTGCCCACTGCTCTTGGCAGTGGTGCTGCACAAAGGGAGCACCGTGACAAGTGATGCTTGATTCCAAAGCATAAAAAGTTTCTTAGCGTGTTTTGTAGCCTATTCATACCCTGAATATGGTAATGGGGATGGGTGCATGGAATGTTCTCCTGCTGCAGCAGGAGGGTGGCCTGAGGAGACGTTTGGGTGAGATGCAGGTGTTTGCAAGAGGGAGAAGGAGGGAGGAGATTTCTATTTTGCTACTTGTGCACAGGACTTGTGTTTGCCTCATTTCTAGAGGTGCCATGCCTCAGGTGCTGCTTCTGGGTATGGAGAGCTTCTGAGCTAGGACTATTGAGGGTGTGCTCTGGGGCAGGACAGCCTGGCTTGTCTGGATGCATGTTTCTTTGTGTGCTGACCAACGGGAGAACGCGGCGCCTGCACTGACTGCTGTGTGCTGTTCCCTTGGCAGATGATGCCTTCATCAACCCCCATCTCCAGAGGATTTTTGAACGTGTACGTCAGAGTGCTGACTTCATGCCGATAAAGCAGATGATGGTGAGGAATGGCCCTTACTGGGGAGGTGGATGGGCATCTCTAGGAGTATCCTTTCTCTACTGTTGCATATTTTCAGCTGTGGGTAACATCCGATTCCTTTCCTCAGTTACATGTTGTTGTTTCTCTTCAAAACACTAAAGCTCAACTCTAGACAGAGGGGAAAAAAGGGGGGGGGTGTGTATGTCCCAAGACTGTGCTGAAGGAACAGGATGTTGCCTACAAATATGATTATAGGGTCTTGTTGACGTAGCCTTCTCTTCTGTTTCCTCTCTTACCTTTCTCATGGGTGTTAAGTCAGTGTCGAGCAGTGCCTACATCCCGTTTATTAAACAGACATGCATTAGTCTGATAGAAAATTAACAGTTAATTTGGTCCTTGCCTTTTTGGTTCAACCTAACACACCATCGAGAAGAGCCAGAATGAAGCAAACCAGGCTTGCTTTTCCCAGTGTACATGTTCTCGCTTTCACTCTAATTCCCCTCTGTAAATGAAGATGTGAAGGGTGATGCAGAAGGAATTGTGAGCACTAACTGTCTTGTGAAAGACACTGAGCAGAGCCACGACTTAAATATGGCAGTCTGGCAATGTAGCAAAAAAGCTGTTAAAGCAGGCTGTGATGTTTAATTGTCAGTATTGCCTTAGAGGGTCACTCTTGCATGCCTGGGTTGCTTCTGTCCAGCTTGGCAGCATGATGGAAGAGGAGAAATACCTAACTCCCTGCTCATTTTCTGGAAGATACGGTACCAGAAAGGGGACTTCTGTACTGCAAAGGCAGCAATGTTTTGTGCTAGAGATCTGTCCTTTCAGCCACAGCAACAGAGCCTCACACAGATATGATTGGAATCTGCTTAGTGTTGGGGGAGCACTGCTGGCTGGACTGCTCCTTGTGAGTGTGCAGTGGTGAGGAATGGAGGACAATCTGGAAAGCAGGGGGATAGGTACTCAGAACTGCTGTAGGCTGCGTGAGTCACCTTTAGAGTAATGGCATTTCCGACAGCAAAATCCTTCATCTTTGCTCCCCATACCCTGATGCTTTCTTTTTGCTTTAGAAAACTCTGAACAACGACCTTGGTCCCAACTGGAGGGATAAACTGGAGTCCTTTGAAGAACGTCCCTTTGCTGCTGCCTCAATTGGTCAGGTTCACCTGGCACGCTTGAAAAATGGAAAAGAAGTTGCCATGAAAATCCAGGTGGGCTGTAAGAGAGCAGCCTTTTCTCTTGCCTGTGCCCAGAGAAGGGCAGGGATGCTGCATGAGTATGGCTACTAGATGGATAAGGAACATTTTAATGCAAGTGAATATTTGGGTCCAGCAATATCTTACCTAGTGCAAGCAGAGGGAAAGGACAGAAAAGGTCACTGCAGCATGTGGGTAATGGTGGTGAGGGACCCCTTCTGTTTTTAGATTTTATCTTATTCTGTACAAACAGGTCATCTAATCTCACCACTGTCCTCCCCTATTCTGTCCTGCAGTACCCTGGAGTTGCCCAGAGCATCACCAGTGATGTTAACAACCTGATGACTGTCCTGAGCATGAGCAATATTCTCCCTGAAGGTAAGGAGAGAGAGCCCCCTTGGCAGGCCCTGTCCCCCTGCTGGCATGTGTTGAGTTCTGCCAGCCCCTTTCAAGCAGCACACTGCATGTCTTTCTGTAGACTGAAGGGAGGAAACAGTGAAAACGACTTCAGAATTGCTAAGCCTGCCCAGGAGCAGATCTCCTGCAGGAGGGATAGTGGGTGCAGGGCCAGTTAGGGGAGCCATGCTCTGCTCCTCTCCTGCTGCAGCCTCTCCTGGGCACATGCCTATTCCTAGTGGTAGGCAGATATGGTCTGGAGCTTTTTCTGCTCTTGCCTGGGGTGGTGTTTGGGTCCTTCCACTCTTGGTGTGTGTCTGTGCACAGTCATGCCAATACAGGGAATGGGCAGCTTGGGCTGTGGGGTGGGAGCTGGGGGAGGACAGAGCCCTGCACAAGAGCAGTGTGGGTGTACCTTGATTTAGGATCAGCTGCGTAGCCTTGGCCTGGGATTACCCAGAGAACCTGTATCTAGTTGGAAATGTGCTTTAGTTCTCTGGGGCCGCTTGTATTCAGCTGCAGCTCTGGAAAGCTTAGCCTGAGGGGGGTCCTTCTTTCTAAGCTTACTGTCTTCTCTGCTGTTTGACTTTGAGGTTTGTTCCCTGAGCACTTGATTGAAGTTGTGAGCAGAGAGTTGGCCCTGGAGTGTGACTACCTGAGAGAAGCTGCCTGTGCAAGGAAATTCCAGTATGATCACACCACTGCCTTCAACCCCTCCCATCTGTGTGTGTGTCAAATGCTGGGGGGGGGGGGTACTTACCTTGAGAGACAGCAGGAAGATGAATGCTGTGCCCTGGGATGTAGCACAGGGGAAGGGTGTGTGTGCGTGCCTTGAGCTGTCCTTTGGAATTACCACCTTGTCTCAGCCAGGCATGTTTTCAGTCAGCTGAAGCCTGATAGCATGTCCTGTCTCCTTCAGTGTCAGCCTGGCTGTTTCGCCACACGCACTGCAGTAAGTCCTGAAGCCAGGCTGCATTCTGTGTACTCTTATGTTGGCCTGTCACAAGCTTCTCCTGTCCTTCAGGAGGTTTTTCGGTTCAGCTCTTACAGCAGTTCACACCACCAGGACTGCCTGTGCTGTGGGGTCCAGATTGTTTCTATGTGAAGGCTGGATGGGGAAGAGCTGCCAGAGGATGCCTGGCTGCTCTCAGGGCTCCTAACCTTTTTCTCCCCTTTCTCTTTCCCCTAGGGAGCTGCTGAAAGATGACCCCTTCTTTTACATCCCCAAAGTCGTGGATGAGCTGTGCAGCAAGCATGTCTTGACCACAGAGCTGGTGTCTGGCTTCCCCTTGGATCAAGGTGTAGGGCTGAGCCAAGAGATCCGAAATGAGGTACTGTGGGGTGGTAATGATGCTTCTCTCCTTGCTCAGAGCAGTGTGCTTGGCCTGCCTGCTGACTGCTAGACCAGGGGATGCTTTGTGGAAGGGCAGACCCTGAGTAGCACAGAGAAGTGCTTGAGTTGGGAGCTGTCTAGAGCCTCTTGGAAGGATGCTGTTCAGGGAGTTTGGCAGTGTTGTGACATCTCTCCAGGCTGGCCTAGGCATTCAGCAGGGAGGGGTTGGAAGGGGTGCCTTGCAAGGGCTGCTGAAGAGGAAGTAGCTGAGCTGTGTAACTCACAGATGCCCTGTTTCTGACGACCCTAAGTTTGGGAGGGGTTGTCAGCTAGGGGAAGAGGGGTCTTGTTTTACAGCTGCTCTCTGGGCAGGAATGCAGCATCATCTTGGTGCAAGCAGTTGGGTGTCATCCACTCCTGTGGGACTGACCCGTGCTGTGCAGGGCTGCTGGAAAAGTACCTCTGTAAACAGGAGGGGGGATGTGGGGCTGGGTAGGCGTTGGTGCTGAACATAGCAAGGGATTGGAGGGCTGTGGTGGGACAAGCAGCTGCTCCATAGCAGAAATAACTGTCCTGGTATTTGGGGTTTTTATATTTTCTTTCTGCCTTGGTGTGAGCTCTCACCTGTTAGCGGGTCACAGGGGAGGGAGGCTGAGGGTGTTCTCTACATACGCATCTCTAGAGAGAAACATCTTGGTGTCACATCAGACTTGAAGCTCTGCCAGAGCTGGCTGCCTGAGACCCCTGAGCTGTCTGTTCCCAGGGCTTGCCCCCTCCAGTGAGCTGCTGTATCATCAGGGCTGCCTTTAAAAGGCTGTGAGGTGGGGTGTTGCTGCAAGAGGAGCCCTTCTTTCCTGTATGGGTCTGGCCTGGCTGACCCACAGCCTCCTCACCCAAATGGTGGTGTCCTGTAGCAGGGTCTGGCTTGCATTTGGTTCTCTCCTCCCTCCCTCTTGGATACGATGCTGCAGAAGGTGAAGAGGGGCAGAAGAGGCTGTCAGTTATTCTGCCGGACAGGTTCCAGTTTCACTCTCCTCACAGAAGAGCTTTGCTGTACTATGTCATTCAGCAGAAAGCTCTTCAGGGCCTGCTGCTCTTCCTTCCTCTGTGCCTGTCAGTCCTAACTGCCTTGCTTCTTTCTCTTCTTGCTTTTCAAGATCTGTCACAACATCCTGGTCCTGTGTCTGCGGGAGCTGTTTGAGTTCAGGTATATGCAGACTGATCCAAACTGGTCAAACTTCTTCTATGACCCGCAGTTGCACAAGGTAAGCCTGAGGAGCTGTTGTTCTGCCTGCACAGGAGCTGATTTTTCACTAGGTTTGGATTATTCCCTGCTCCCAAAGTTTAACAAGCCTTGACTGAGATTCTCAGATCCCTGTCCTCGAGCCTTGGACAGGTAGGACAGTGAAACCTGTCCCTTTGCCACTTGTCCTTGCTCAGTCTGGGTAGGAGAGCAGGGCTCCTGTAACCCTGGCTGGCTGCCTGCCTTTGGCCTGAGATTCAGTCACAGCTACTTCTATAGCCTCAGGATCTGTTTTGAAGCTGCTCAGTGGGAAGTTGCAGCTGGCAGTGCTCTACCAGTGCACACCTGAGCCAAGGACTCTTTTAACTGGATGCTCTTGTCTTCAGCTGTGCTGAAGATAAGGGTGGCAATTGCAGATGGTCCTGCTTGGGGGTTTGGCTGCTTGCTTGTGCCCTGCAGGTCAGATGGAACTGCTTGTTCCTCCCTGAGGTCTGTGTTGGAATGTGCTGGAAAAAAGTTCTGTATGGAAAGCCTGAGTGGAGTGACCAGCTGAGCAGGAGTGACAGTGTGAGCATAGGCCATGCCCTCTGCCATGTACAATGTCCAAATGCTTGTGCTGCTGTCGGGGGATAGAGGAGTTGGGGGAAGCTCAGCTGCAGTGGAAAGGCTCTCCATCCAGCTGAGCTTCCCAAGGACATCAGCAGTCTTAAGGTCAGGCTCTGCTTGAGTGGCTGGCACTGTACTATAGCTGGGTTTGTCCATTTCCAGGTGGCCCTGCTGGACTTTGGAGCAACACGAGGGTTTGATGAGAAGTTCACAGATGTCTACATCGAGGTGGGTGAGGGCTTGCTCTGTGTCCTGGAGTGCTGCACTGGGGCTCTTGGGAGTATTTGCAAACTTATGTTTATCTCTTGGCTGCATCGCTTTGCACTTGGATCCATTTGAGTGTGGAAGGAAGTGGGGCTGAGGAAGTGGAGGCAAGAGAGGGATCTCTGTTCCTGTTTCATCCCTTACCATAGTCTTCTGCAGGCCTCTGGCTGAGTCTGGATGTCTAAATTGCATGGCAAACATGGAGGACTGACATGTTGCTTACTGAGAGACTTGGGCAGCAGAGCACTCAGAGTTCAGTGATGAGGGTGTGCAGGACTTGCTTGTTCTGATCACTCTCTTCTTGTGCTTTCTAGCTTGCTTACAGACTGATAAATTTATGTGAAGTCATGTGTGCTTCCTTGGTGATCACCATGTTCTGCACTTGATAAACTGTGCTGCAGGGGCCAGGAGATGTTACCTAATGCTTCTCACAGTTCTATTACTTGGTTTGGGGAGGAACAGGTGGATTTGTGAAGCTTTTTTGATGTCCCTTATGCTCTCTGGGCTATGTGTAGCCTCACTGGGAAGAGCTTTGGAGAGCCAGCAGCTGTATTTTTTGGTCAGTAGCTCTTAAACTGCCCAATCTGCCCTGGAGGGTAAAGGCAAGGAAGTGAGCTGGCAGCATGTGCACCTGTAGCCTATGTAGTTGTTGTACTCAAACATGACTTGAGTCATCCCTAGCTCTTCTGAAAGTCGTCTTCTTCTTCTTCAGGTAATCAAGGCAGCTGCTGACATGAACAGAGAGAGAGTACTGAAGAAGTCTATAGAAATGAAATTCCTCACTGGTTATGAAGTCAAGGTATGGAGCCAAAGGGTCTGCTTTTGGTGGTGGCTGCTGACTGGTTTGTTGTGTGGCTGTGGACTCCCCAGATTCCTTGGTGTGGTAAAAGTCAATGTCCGTCTCAAAGCCCTGTTGACAGGATGAGGGAGGAGGGCAGACAGGCTTTGGCTTTTGTTCTGTGACTTCCTTTGGGGGGGCAGGAGCAGTAGTGATGACGCAGCTAACCCCAAACCTCGGTCCTTCCTTCTTTCCCCCTGCAGGACTGCTGAAATTCCATGACTGGGCAGGTGGCCTTCTGGAAGGCTTAGCTGCTCAAAATTGTATTAACCAAACATTCATTGGTCATGCTAGGGGCTGGAGGTTACCTGGGTTGTGGATACATGGGTATTTCTCCTGAGCTGCTGCTGTTAGCACTAGAACACCTCCTTTCCCTCCCTGGTGGTTAACATGGCTAGTGATGTTGTTTATGCCTCTTTCCTTTGGGTAGGAAATGGAAGATGCCCACTTAAATGCTGTCCTCATCCTGGGAGAGGCTTTTGCATCTGAGGAACCTTTTGATTTCGGCAACCAAAGCACTACTGAAAAGATCCATGGTTTAATCCCAGTCATGCTGAAGCATCGGCTTGTCCCTCCGCCGGAGGAGACATACTCTCTTCATCGGAAGATGGGGGGTTCTTTCCTTATCTGCACCAAACTGAAGGCCAAAATTCCCTGCAAAAACATGTTCCAAGAGGCATATAGCAAATACTGGAGCAGCAGGGGCAAGAAGCCTGGGGCATAGTAAGAATGAACTAATGACTCTTGTTCTGAGGGCGCAGTTCAGCTGAGCCTTGCAGAGAGCATTCTAGCCTCCCACGCATTGCACCCCAGCTCTCCATCCTGAGATGCAGCAGCCTGTGCCCTGGAAGCCAAGTGTGTGTTTCACAAGGACAGAGCTGTTCTTTCATGCTGTGTCTGTCCTACACTGACTGCCAGTACAGTCCAAAGGAAACTATCTTCTTGAGTGCTTCTGTACCGTGTCAAGGCACCAGCCAACTGCCTGGGCTGCATTTTTAACATTGTGATGGTGGCTGTGTATTGGTTGGGTTTTATACTGAGTGGGGGCAGGAGGACAGGAGCAGAATTTATATTGAAACCTGTTTGTAATTCTCAAAGAAGTTGTTTTTTAAAATCTTTCCCTCTTTTGTGCTAAGGTGGAGCTCAAGTAGTTTTCATACCGTGAATGAGAGAATGAATTATTAAGGTGTACCCTACCACAGACACATTCAGCACCTTCCCCCCCACGTTTCTGTAAGTGAGGTGGTGGCAGTCTAAGAACCCTCCTGGATTTTACTGACATAGGTATGATGCAAGGGTGGGGGTGTGTATATAGGATAAAGTTTTATGCTTTCTGCCGCCCTGCTTGCAAGGTAAAAACCTAGCCTGAGAATTGAGTGCTGATGTCTTTTAAACACACGCATACCTTCACACAACCCATCTTGGTTCTGGGAGTCAGATACACTCTCAACAGAGCTGGATTTGAGCACGAATGGTGGGATTCTTCACTGGCTGGTAGGTCCTGGCTTCTCTGAGGCTTACAGAAACTACAGCTCTGACGCAAATTGCTTGCTGGACTCTTAACCAAGAAGCTGGTCCGTTTCTCTGTTTTCCTGTAATGCAGAACTTAGGACAAGGCAGACAAACATGTTATGTCTCTCTGGAGCATTTCAAGCTTTCGCTGAAATGTCACATGTTTAAAACCAGACGCACAGTTTTAAACTGCTGGAGTCAAGCTAGGACGTTTACCTTAGTAGGTTTTTGTACAACGCCTGTACCTGTACGACTTCCTGGTTTCAATAAACAAGAGCTTGTGCGGTGGGCCTTCTGCCTGCAGTTCTTTTGTCATCTTCTGGTGAGGTAATGACTGGCCACGTGAACTGTGTCCTCTTCTGTGGGATAAACAGGAGCTGAGCCAGAAGGACAAGCTTCCAAGTCTCCTCTTGTTGCAGTTGCTGTCTGTTCCAAGAATGGTCTAAGGCTGCCTGTCTAAGGCTAGAGTGATGGTGACAAGTTTACCACTGAACCAGAAGGACATGATCCTGAACATTGTTCTGGCCATGAGAACCCCCGTTAACGACCTGTTTTCCTTTTTCCCCTTTGTTTTAATCATTCTATTACCAGTCTCTTTCTTTGCCTTTCTTCCACTTGTGCAGAAAGCATGGCTGTTGCAGTTGGTGCTTACCTGGTGCTAGTAAGGCAGATGTCCTTATCTGGCACTTGCCAGACATTTAGTAGCAGGCTCAGCTGGTCCTACTCACTGAACACAGCCCAGGAACACAGGTTATATGATCTTAAACTTCAGTATGTAAGAAATCCTGACTGGTGACCCTTGTAGAGGTAAAGAACAGGTAAGTGAATAAATGGGCTCGCTCAGGATGGACCTCTTGAGAAAGAAGGAAACGGGGTATTGTATTACCTTTATTCCAAGATTATAAATATAGAAACTGCTTCATCTAAGACTTGGTTGAGACAGATCCAGTGCTGTTTACTTCAACTCTAAGTAGTGGTCAGGTTATTCCTAACCCTTCGAGGAGAGTGAACTCTGTTGTTGAGTGAAGTAATTGTTTTGCATTAAACTGTTTAACTTTGCACACTGATAGGGCACCTTTTCTGTTGTTTTTGGGTTCTGACAGACATTGTTTAGTTTTTCTCCTTTGGATCTGGATCCTGCAGCTGTGAAAGCAGTGAAATCAAGATGTTAAATTCCTTTATTAAAGGTTAAAAAGCAAAGTGTAAAAAGCTGCCAAGGGCATTGGATATGGGGAGCTTCATAGCAGAACTTCTGAAACTGAAGATTCAGAGCTGGAATCTTCAGAGAACTTGCAAAGGCAGCAGAGTAACTCAGAGCATTACAGTTCACTTTTCCAGCAAGCACAACTAGGTGAAATGAGAATGTGCTTGTTCCTGTGGTCACAGATCTCTTGCATACCACGCTGGTGCATGTGTGTTTAACTCTCAGCAAACATTTTCCTTCCTTTGAGAGTCATGGAATTGTTTAGGTTGGAAAAGACCTTTTAAGAGAATCTGATCCAACTGAGAGAAAGCATGTTTAAGAATAGCATCAAGCTGAAAAATGGAGTCATTCTGCATTTGCCTGAAGGGTAGCAACTAGCAGAAGGTAAGATGTTTAGCAGGAGAGCAAATTGGAGCTGTTGGTCCTGTCCTTCTGTGTATGTTCTAAGAGCATTCATAATTTCTACAGTTCCATCCAGGGAGAGTTGTGGAGTTGTGACATGAGAAGCTGCACGTCAGTGTAACAGCCACAGAGAAAAGGTGAGCCAGAAACACTGTGCTCTGGCTTCAAGTCAAAGCAGCCATGACACTTTACAGTGAGCAGGTCTTTACACTTGATCACTGCTGCTTCCTCTTTCTAGCTGCTGCATTTGCTTGAACTATACACGTAGGTTGAGGATATGAGCACTGCTCTACTGCAGCAAGCTTCCATGTGTGGCAGCAGAGATTTTCCTACCTTTAGCCAGAAAATGAATGCTGAGGAGCTGAACAAGAAGCCTAACACGCAGCTTACTTTCTGCTTTTCTAATGTCCAAATCCCTTGACAGTAGAAGGCCCATTTCCCAAGACCTTCACAGCTGGGACGGTGCAACTGGAACCCTGGGGAATCAGAAATACAGCACTGATTGTAAAAGTCAAGAGCACAGGAAACAGATGGTATTTCGCAGAGCATCAGCAGTTAGGAGAAACCTGCAGTGGCCTAAATTGGATGAGCCCATGGGCTTAAATTCACATCAGCTGGGGGAGATGCTGAAAAAGTAATTTTGGCTGAAGGAGAGGGGGACATGAGTCACAGCACAGGCCTGTGTTCCTGCAGGAGGGTGCTTCTGTCTGAGGTGAAGCATGTAATCAAAGGTAGGATTTTTGGCAACAGGGTAATGAATGAAGAGGAACAACGAATGAAGAGGTCCCAACAGTCAGTCTCTGCTATGGACAAAATCCCAGGCTGAGAGCATTGGAAGGAACCGGTGGATGATGTGAAAGGGTCAGGGCACATGCAAAACTCCACAGGTATTTTGAGATGCACTTAAAGATGAATGAAAGTGACTTTGGTGACTCAGAAATCCAGCATCTAACACCAGGACAGGTAAACATTTGATATGTAACTAAATGAAGGAGGAACATTACAATGACTACATGTACTGACAGAACAGATGACCTAAGAAAAAGGTCAGGAGAAGTGTACTTGATGAAGTTCAATATACTAAAGCAGAACATAATGACTTCAGTTTGTTCTCAGATATTCCTTTTCTTCCCTCTGGGTACTTGGTACAGATGTGTTCGAACATGCTGGGTTTTATCTTCAAGAACACTGTTGTTCCCCTTTCCATTTCCTCCTCCAACCATGGAGAGGTAGGAAAAAAAGACAGCACGTGCATTTCTAACAGTTCCCTGTTTTATTGCAGTACATCAAAGTAGGTTAATATTAAGTGTGTTACCAACATAAAATATTGGCGGTAAGTCATTTTTACATTGTTGACTTTCCCACCTTAAATATTTCTGTGCAAAAGAATCTACATCATTGTTCTGTAGCAGAGAATCTCTTACAATGTCCCCTACAACATTGAGGGCATTAAACAAAAGAGTGAGAAGAGGCAAAAAGCAGAATCTTTCCCCCACACGCACACTTGTCAGCTTTTATACTCTAAAACAAAAAAAGTGATTACATCTATGCCATGCAAAACTGTACAATAATATTACAATGAAAAACCTAAAAAAAACCCATATTTTAAAAATAAATGATATGAAACTGTCATACATAAAAAGGCAGGTATAATTGCTCAGAAATACCAACACTGATTTGGTTGTGGATTTCTTCCCTGTGGATGAGACTTTCTTAAATGGAGAATGAAAATAGGTTGTACTGAGCTGCGGCTGAAATGAAAGACAAAGAGCTGGAATTTAGACCGGGGAGCCTGCAGCAGGGCTGTGTCTGGGAGCATTTATCAAATACAGTGGGTTAGTGCAGAAAGTTGTCCCATTTCCTCCCTGGAAATGACTCCTATTAACACAAAACCCCCAAGCAGAAGTACTACGTGCCACTTTGATTCTCAGCCTAAGGCTCAGGAGTGGGGGAACTTGCACTGCAATAAATTTTATCCTTAATGTATTCATTTGAACAGCGTGCATAAAATGAAAAGCAAACCTTCTTCCACCTAAGAGCATGTCTGTCCCGTCATCCAGGGTCTGGCCATGCAAAACAATATGGTGCCAGAATCTCTTGCTGTGTTAATACTCCAGCTGTTGTGTTCTGAAAGGCTGTGAACCAGTTACGTGCAGTTAAACTACAGTTCTATAAATAAACTATGCTTTTTAGACTCTTTTGGTATAACAAGACTGTTAACTTCCCTCTGCTGTATACCTGAGAATAGCACACCTGGCTTGTAATTTCATCAGAATCAAATCAAAGAGGTAACATTCCTGACTCAAGTTTGGAAACCCGTTCAAATGGGCAGAATGCACATTCATACCAAGCCACAGCAACTGAGAGGAAAAAGAAGCAACTATTTCACCACAGCCTCAGGAATGTCTGTTTGAAACCACCAGCTGTCTTCTACAGGTCAAAGGCAAGAGAGAAGAGAGTGCTCTAACCCTGCTTCTGGGTTTATGAAATGTGGAAGGAAGCCACATACCTGTGTGCGTGCACATGTAGGGGAAAACTTTTACCAACCCTTTTTCATTCTGTAACCTGGAATCCTTAGTAGCTGCCTGAATCTGTTCAGATCCTTTGTTGCCATCACAAGAGAAAGAAAATAATGCAGAAACCCAACAACCCAAATGTTTAAACTGTGTCAAAAATGCAAATGCCTTCAGTCTCAGCCAAAAGGAAAAAATCGGCTAGATAGATACATACTGTGTACAGAGAACATATGCTACAGTCAGAAACTCAATGGGAGATTTGAAAGCTCCCTGAACAAAATGCAGGCCTCTAACTGTGAAATTGAAGCGATGCTACAGTGCAACGTAGCAAACATCAAACCCTAAGAGACAACTGTCTTCGAGATACCAGTCAAGAGTCTTACAGTTCAAATGACCAAGTTACTTTTCCTAGCCCAATGAGTGTTTAGAAAGCTCAGCTACAGTATGCATATGGTTTCAGTGTTCATAGCAACAAAAAGAGATGAGTGTAGTTTAAAATTGAGTGTATCATCAAATGGTCCCCAAATCTACCAAACTATTTAAGTCCCAGGACAATTCTTCCCTTTTCAAATAAGTGATGTGGTCATTTGCTTTTCAACTGAGAGAACAGTTGCTGTTTCTCTTTTGAAGAAATGTGTATAAAACTGCACGGTACCAAACAGATGATTAAATATAGTAATCCTAAAGGAGACTGCCAAGGCTTAGAAACTGTGGTGTACAAAGGGTAGGGCTCTGGAGCTTAGTTTTGTAACACAGCTGACCTATGCTCTGCCTGAAAATGCCAGGTTTTGATATCAGTAAATTGCAGGCACCATAACAAGAGTAAACACAGGGGTTTACTCAATTATTTGCTGTGTTGTGGCTTTTCAGGTTCCATTTTCAGGTAGAGCATTAGCTCAACTGTTTGTTTGTTAATAGAAAAGATCCTGTGCCCCTCCCTCGGGACAGGCAAGCAGGCTGCTCTATCTTCAATGACTGCTGTTTCAATGCCTTCTCTCAACATCAAAATAAGATTAATGTTTAAATACAACATACAGCAAATACAAAACTAGTCTGCAAAGGCTTTGAGAAGTGTGTGGACATGCTTCACCAAAAGGAGGGAACTGTGGGGAAAAAGCAGTGGCTATACTTGAAGCAATACGCAGCCTTTAAAGAGAAGCTGATGTGGAATTTTAATAATGCCAATACCACCCTGCATCTCTGTCCCTAAGAAAGACTGAACACTTCTCTGGGAGGAATTAATTTCAAGAGCTTCAGCTGTTTGGTAAAGCTTTTAATATTAAATGTCAGGCTTGCAAAAATAGAAGCCTTGAAGTGGAAACAAGCAACACAACCAGCTTCGCCACTCTGAAAAACCCAAACAGGAGAGAGACGGGCTTTTGACATAATGGGTTTTAAACAAATTTCTTGAATTCCTGTCCCCAAATAACATTTAATGAGCTTAAAACCTGGCCAAGGCTCTTGATTCAGAGTGAAAGAGAAATCTTACCTAGGAGACCCAACATGATTAAATGGATTAGAGGATTCTGTGCCTCATTCCCTGTTTCACATTTAGATCATACCTGGAAATGTCTGTACATGGTCTGAAATGACCTAGAACTTCTGTAAGAGAAGACAGAATCTGGAGAACTCCAAACAATCTCTGTGTGGGAGAAACACTACATACTGCTGACTGCCAGAAAATGGAATGGTTTAACAAGAGCCGTAACAAGTTTCCAAAACCCACAAAAACAGTATTCTAATTACAAAAAGCCCTTACGTGTTTTGAGTATGGTCATAGTATAAAGCCAGCAACAGTACTATGGAGAGGCTTATCTGAACACGCTCCCAAATGAAAAACACATCTACCTTGCTAAGTAGATACATCCTCCTGTTAGCATCCATTTGTACATCAGTCTCTCACTTTATGCTGTTGACTGCATGACCAACTTCAGTGGGCTCTGTCTTCCACTGCAATACTTTCCGCCCTCGAGCCTGACCTGCTATTGGAACCAAACAGCAGGTGAGCACATAGAAACAACTGCCAATTGCACAAACCCACAGCACGGGGAGGGAGGGAGAAGAAAACCAACCTTGCCAGCATGGCAGTTGTGGGTGACTAGACATCTTTGACTACCACAGTGTGAACAGTCTGAGGTCAGTCTTCAAGGTTCTTGGTTGCTACAGTGACAGCATAGCTAGCCAGGGCTAGCTTTGGGCTAAGGGCACTCATTTGGCTGATGTGTGTTAGAAACTAGTATTTGGTAATGCCAGTAACAGTTTTATGGTTAGGGATGTTCAAGGAGATGTGGAAGACTGCTCCCTTCTGAGTTAAACCTGGCCAAAGTCTGACCCAGGGAAACAGTTTTCCTGTTGAATCCTGCTGCACTGAACTCCCTTTCTGCCTTAAGGACCTCTACTGTAGCATGCTGTAAGGTTCCTCAAGCTGCACAGCTAGCACACTAGAAACTAGGGCAGCCACTGGCTGACCCTGGTGGTTGGGACAGGGGGTTGCTTCCCAACTGTCGTTTTTGCAAAGAACGGGGATTAACATGAAAGTAGGAATTACAGCTTCAGTTATGCTACTGCCAGAAGGAAAGAAATACGGTGAAAGCACCGCAGGGACCTCTCCTGCAGTGCAGCGAGTGCTACGCAAAAGGGGTGTCTGTCCTGCAAAAGGTTTTAGGCCAGGCCTCCAAGTCTGTATATTACCAAGCATGAAAACAGGGACAACACAAATCTTAAATTAAAGGCTCTCTTAAATAAGCATCCATCTTCTGCTGCATACACAATGCTTTTTTTTTTCTTTGAATATATACATACGTATTTTAATCTAACATCTGCCTATTTATTTAAACTCTGTACTGTAGTAAAATATGCATCATTTTAATCAATAAGGATTTGCTGGCGACAATCAGATTGACATTCAAACGTGGTGGCTGAAAGCTTTTATGTGCCTCTGACATACTGATCATTCCCCATGCAGGGGAAGGGGTCTCTGTGCTACTTTTGTACAGTACGATGAGCTATTGTATGAAAACAAAATCCCTCTGCAGTTTCTCTTGTTGATACTGGTCTGGTCTACTTAAGCTACTTTTGGGGAGATGGAAAGGGGGGTGGGATAAATATATCTTTAAAAATGAAGCAGCTGTAACCACAAAAAGGAAACCAATACGAATACAGATCTACAGCATCTGATATTTACCAACACCCTAGCTTTGCTCATTTGCTGCTGTCAAATCTGGGGAAGGGAGGGTGAGGCAGTGCCGAACGGTGCTGAAGACAACCAGCTTCTACCTTCCTCTGTACCCCACTCCCAGATCACTTTCAGACAGGGAATGGGGAGGGTTAGGATGATGAAGGCGAGAACTGGAACAAGTGAAGGGGACAGCCATGGGGACAGCAAGCTGCTGTGATGTCAAATCTGAATGCTAAAGCAGTTCATGAGTCCCAACTCACGTGGTCAGAGCTCTCCAGGGAGAGGCTCTTGGTCTTGTGAGGAGAAACAGGGCTGGGAGGGCTGCTGAGGTTGGAGCTGTTCGATGCAGTAGAGTGTCTCGGAGAGTCAGAGTCCTGCAGCCCAAAGACAGAAGAACACCAGTAAGTATCAGGACAGCAAGTCTGAGTGTGACTCAGGGTGTCTGAGCAACACGTGACTGCATTGAACATGTACTTTGCTTGCGTCCAAAAATACTGAGGGATTTTTTTTTTTGCTCAGAATTTCCTGGTCTGGGGAGACTTAAGAGCAAGTGGTCAGATCACTGCTTTCAGCAGGCACAACAGAGGGACACGGGACCTGTGGGATTCCTGCATCTGTATGTTGCCGAGGGCCTCTTGGTAAAAGAGCGTGCAAGCTTCAGGTTGCTTGTGAAGCTCCAGTAGCTTCTGCTTTTTCACAGATTATGATCTGAGATGCTATTGCACTGAAAAATCTTTGTGGCTTAATCACAGCTACCTCTTCAGCATCACTCCCAGGATATTAACTCAAAGCATCCTATCAGGTTACTCCAGTTAAATCTTCCAGAGTACACTAGAATGCAACTATGTCTGAGCTTGAGTTTCAATTGACAGTTGCCTTCTAGCTTCAACTGGAAGGATATGCTTGGTAGCATGAAAAGCCTGTGGGACCTGCTATTTTCTCACTCCTTGGTAAGAAAATGGGCCGGGGAAGTTTTGCTGCCCAACTTGAGACTGAGCCCTCCCAAGATATCCTTGGTTGAAGGACTGAGCTTAGCACTAGGCAGGACTGCAGTCCTATCATAATAATAGTCTTGTTCTGCACAGAATACAAGCTATTAAATCCAGTTTCTGCTCAAAAATAAACTACTATAATTAATTCTGAAGTTACTTTTTTAACTTCAGGCACTCTGAGTACAGAGCATCTCCTGTGATATGGCTGCTGAGACAGCGCAAGAGTCTTTGAAAATAAAGGGCAGAAGGAGTATCATCACTTCAAGTTGTTACTCTACAGGACCAGGATTTTTGGGAGCCTCACTACCCACGTATCTCCAGGTGAGGAGCGCAAGGAACATTTTCTGCATGTTACGCACCAGGACCAGAGCTGACACAGTCTGGCCAAAGTCTTTTGTCAGGATAGCTTGAAATACAAGAAATCCCAGTCTTCACTATCAACGAGTGCCAACCTTACAGCCAACGCCATGACAGAATTTAACTTCATCTTTATCAACACACATGAATTTTCTCTTGTCACTCACCTCTCGCTCATAGTCCCTTGTTGGTGCATCGCTGCCTTGGTCCAGACCGCCAGAGGATAAGGAGCCATCTGAGGGTGATGCCATAGGCTGACGCTTTGCTCCATAGCTACCTCCCGAGAATTCCCTCCGCAGAGCACTGCCGTTTTGTGCAGACGATCCTAGAACATGCACAGGAATTAAACTGGGTTATGGACTCCCGCTTAACGTACCAGATACTTGTTAGCTGTTTGGTTAGTTCTGCTTCCCTCCAGCATGGCCCAAGGTTCTCAGCTTGTGGCCTGAAGGCTATGTGGGTTTTTACATTGTCTGCTGCTTGCTGCAGTTTTCCCTAGGGACTCTCTGGTCCTTCCCTTGGCATGTCAGCATTAGCACAGTCACTACGTTCCTGACAAAGACAGCAGTTGTAGACATTGCTATGGTGGCAGCCTAGTTCCAGTGGCCTCTTTTCCTAGGAGTCAGTGGGTTGTACCAGCAGGTACAGACTACAGCAGGCACACACGTCCTCTGCAAGCAGTTGGCAACGTGCAGCAAACACTGCTTGTGGCACAGGGAGGGGACAACCCCTAGAAAAGTCAGACACGAGTCTTGCCTCTATTTTCACATGTCCATTACATTGTCACTTTCCTCGTCTCTGCACAGGTCACTGTGCTGACTCTGGCTCACAAAGGCAGCATGGCAGTGCTAGGAAAGGCATTTCCAATGCAATGCAACTCTTCCATAGCAGCTGCCAGTTTTCTATTGCTTTCTCTTTGCACTAGCAGCAAGACAGGCCTCGAGAGTTCCGTATGGTTCAGCACCCAAGTTAACCATGGAGCTTCTGAACAACTTGCCCTGACTTAAAACACTCAAGCAGCAGCATTACCTCAGGATAAGAATGTCATTTTAATTCTAATGTTTTAAAAATTTGACAAATTCTCACAAGCATTGGCTGCTTATTCCTGTGCTCCTTTGAAAGCAAGACCAAAACACTGTGCTTTGCCCTCAACAGGAACATTTCTAAAAATCCTGGCTGGTGCCAGTATAGATAGAAGCAAAGGCAGGGAGCCCATTCCCTAAAAACCTTGTGCACAGAACCCAAAGTGACACAGCTCCATTTGCTTACGTGCTGCTAACCCGCTGCTCGCACTCATCGATCGTCCTGGTTCCGTGCGGGATTTGGTGATTGATGGGATGCTGACAGAGCCACTGAACACGGTCCGGCTTTCCTGAGGCCGAAGATTCTGCAATGCAGACACACACAGAGACATGTTTACTTACTGACTGCTGCTGCAACCTTGGATGTTATGAAGTAAGGCCCCAAAATCCATGACAGCCCCAACCTTACCAGAGCTGAATTATCTGGGCAGCAAGTCAGCAAAAGTGGCAAAAGAACGTTCTGCAGTTTAGTGCAGAGACTGAAGCACACGCAACGCAACAGTGAAGTGCTGAATTACATGGACATATGCAGACAACTGGAAGAGTATGTGTAATAATTCCCTTGAAAGGATGGTGTTGCCAGCCTCATTAATCTGCTGGAGATGCATTAAAGTTATCTCACATAATGCATTCTCTCTGAAGACAAGCTTCCAAGGATCTTATTAAACTGTCTGTCTTTGATGCCATCATTTGTGCCATGCAGCTTTACTCAATAACCATGTTAATCCCTAATGCCTATGAGTTATAAACACATGTGGATCAATCTGTATTTCAATTACTTCTGTAATTCAAAAGGTATTAGCAGTATTACTCCAGACCTATAGCAGTTGAGCCAAAGTGACAGTCAGCCTCCTGTTTCCAGCCTGCTCATCCAGGGTGACCAGAGCACATGCTGCTGGTTTTCTGCATATTTTTGACTATTGCTCCTGTTTTACATCCCAAGTGCTCCAGTGTGATTTTCTGAACTGGTATGTTACTGAAGTGGTCTTTTACTGAGGGAGGAGATTAAACAAAATTTCTCTACTTGCATATGATAGTTCCTTAAACAAAAGTTGTCTCTAAAAAGTTCTGGGAGATTTTGTTTCTGCTTCTGTTAAGTTACAGCTGACCTTAGGAGAAAAGGCTTAGCTTATTCAGCCCACCTTTCTGTATATGAGCTGGCTCCTTAGCCCAGAGGGACTTTCTAATGCCCATGCTTATCATTTACTCTCTGGCTAAATATGAGACTTTATCCTGCCCCTAACATGCATTTGTGCTATTAAGTCATCAGCAGTAACTAGAATTAGGTTTAGGGAACCTTTACAGATGCAGAATGTGAAAAGAACTGCAGGCAGCTCTGAGCATTACTTTATTTCCACTTTATACTCCTTCCCAACTGTTAATTTCTTCCTACTTCTATGTAATTAGTTCCCCATGCTCACTCTGAGATAAAGTAACCACACATAAAACAACCATTGGAATTACAATGGCTTTTTAAGCTAGGATGTTATGGGAATTTTAGATCACAACAAAGATCCCACCCTTCAGAAGGGTATTCTCAGAATCCCATAGCTACTACCCATTTCTCTATTTTAAAATGGATAATCAGAGAATGAACAGGTTTTGTACAGTTCAGACTTCATCAGCTGTTACCAACCTGCTGTCAAACCCAGTCCTACACTGATCCTTAGAGTCACTGCTATAACAGACCCCTTTGCTCTCACAGTCAACCCTTTGCTTCTCATTCTCCCATTGGGCTAGAAGGGCTGATTTTTAGCATGCAACAAACAAGAAAGAATCAAAATCTCTCCTGCTCCCAGATCTCTCTCAAACACCAACAAAAGAGAATCAGAGACCTACCAGTGAACAGTGCTGTTTGATTCTCCCCTCATCCATCGCTGCCCTATTCTCAATGAGGATTTATAAAGGTTTAACATCTCTTATGTCATTTGTGGCATTATATTCCTGTCTCTTGCTTACTTTCTCCCCCTTGACAGTGTATTCTAATGATGACTATTTTTCATGTCCTCAGTTTGCAAAGTCCATGTAATTCCTCATAGGAAGTTTCTCCATGAAGCAAATCTTTCATTGTTCTTTGGTCTAGAAATGAAATAAGCACATGCCAGCGAGCCTGGCATTTTGGTCCAAACCCCCTAGAAGTGGTACGCACATGATGCAGGAAGGGGATTCAAATCAAAATAAAGGGTGGTTATTAGCAGTAGTTATAAAGCAGCAAAATGCAGCAAGTTAAAAAGAAAGGGGAAAAAAAAGGAGACCTGAGCTTGCTTTACTTAGAGAGAGAGACAAAAACCCCTCATGTAGAGCAACAATTCAAATCCTAGCAGGGAAATTCAACCCCACTGCTGAACCAAATGGAGAAAGGTAAATGAAGAGGGGAAAAAAGACAACCAGCCGCAGAGAAGCTGCTTGCTGAGCAAACCTAGGCACTGTGAAATAGGGTGGAAGACCCAGCTCAAGTTCAGTGCATCCCATTCCCAGTCCGAGAATGGAGCTGCTGTGGGTTGTGTACGTGCAATCACTGCTCACAGCTCTGCAGCTCCAGCACCCTCACTCACTGCTCCCACGCTGCCTCCTCAGGCAGTGAGGCCAGAACACACGTACAGGGTCTAACTGAACAGTTACACCACCTACAGGAAATCGCTGGTCTCTGTTTCTCTGTCCATCGCAATGCTGCTGCTTGTTTCGGGGTTTTTGTTTTGAAGTAGTGTTCTATTCATTGATATGGCAGGGGGTTGGAACTAGATGATCTTAAGGTCCTTTCCAACCCTAACTATTCTATGACTCTATGATAAACCTGAGCTTTTAATTCTGCCATGATACAATGCACCGATCTAAAAGCCCACTCTTCCAACTCACCTATGAATTCAATACTGTTGTGATTCCAATACTGCACCTGAACGTGGGACCATGGTCCCCTCAAGAGGGAGTGCTACCCTTCTTACACCAACATCTACAAACACAAAAGGGAGGATGGACAGACACAAACCCAAAACTCTCAGCCTTGCTTTCCATACAGCTTACAGCATTCCTACCCTACAGCCACAAAGGAGACAAGATCTTTCCTTCATACAAGACTAAACCTCTGTTGCTCTAAGGAACTAACAGGCACAAGATGTCTACACACTTCACTGTTTTTCCTCTATTTGGTGCTAGTAGGCTGCAACATTAGGATGAAGGATGCTCCTGAGGCAAACATTAAGATCTACTGTCTGATACACCAGGGGTCACTCCTGACTGATCCCAGGGAGACTACTCACATGAGCAAGGGAAGGCAGAGGGATGGGTCACAGTCCACTGATAGATCACTGCCTATCAAGCACAGAAAATGTAGAGTGCAGTTGGATTAAGGAAAGCCCTGTTAAAACCGGAACTGAACTACTGCTTGAGGGAGCCTTTATAATGACTCACTAAGAGAGAAACAACTTTCAGCTTAAAATTAATGTTTGCTGCATTTCAGCAATTTCTCATTCCTCTTGTGCATTTGCACCTCTTCTCCTACCAGAACAGCCAGGATGGATGCAGACCCCTCATCACAAAATGCTGCCACTTCCCTTTTGAATATTAATGGTTGTGATGACTGGGACTTTGTAACAGTGAGACATGGCCATGCATGTGACCAGTCAAAGCTGTGCAGATTTGTAGCCACATGGAAGAGGTTGATTTTCCTCCTGCATTTTTATATTCTCTGCAGTGTTGTAGGCAGATACGTATCCAAAACCCTCGCTGGTGATAGGGATCTAGAACAGCAACTAAAAGGCACTCAAAGCAGCCTGGCAGTGAAGATTTGCCATGCATGTCTGAAGGGTGTCCAAAGGCCACAGAAACCAACAGCTGTGTTTCCATTACAGCAACAGACATGGCTCAGATCCGTACAAACCCTGAGCAACCAGCCACCATCATGTCCATCTACCTCACAGATTAGTCCTGATTTATGTGCCCCAAGCAGCAGTGCAGGCCACGGCATGGTACATGCACAGCATGTACTTATGTGCCTGTTTTAGCATGGCTTCTACCTCTGCACGACCTAGCAACCCCCATGGAGTCAGACCATGATGCACAATTACAAGAGAAAAACACAGGACCACTTCTGTCCCCCCAGTTTACATTCCAACTAGAAGGATACTCACAGAACAGCATCCTACCTCAGCCTCTGCTTAAAGCTACCACAATTGAAAGGATCTACATCAGCAAGTTGCCATCATATTTCACTTCTGATCTTTCTTGTACATGTTCTAGTTTCACTTACTTTAACCTAGGAACTGTCTGAGGCATAACCTGTGCCTGCCTCTCCCAGTCCCAATGCGCAGCGCTGTGTAAAAGTTCTTGCATTCCACATGATTTCCTCATAAACAAGCAGTTTGAAAGTTATGTCCAACACAGACAGATCCAAAACCTTTTCCTAATACAATCTGATCCACAGCATCCTGCTACTGACTGCTGGAGGATGCACACTGTGGAACACAGGACCATTCCAAATTCCCACGTCCTTTCTGGTGATTGAAAATGCTGTTCTCATAGCAAAAGGTTCAGCCCAGTTATTATACACTTCCTTTCTCTAAAGCTGTAAGTAAGTATCTCTGGTTCCTGGCGTGTCAGAGCCGTGGAAAGACCAGAGCCGATAGCAGAAAATGAGTCATCTGGGTCAGAAGAACGTTAAGGGGTGAGGATAACCAACCGCTTTACAAGGGTTTTTCTCCCATGTTAATAGCCAGGCAAAGGAAAACCACACAGTGTTAGTAAAGTGAACACCTGACTCAGCTGTTCGTACCCTCCGAGTCATAAAGTCTGGAGTACCGAGGACAGAGCGTGGAGGCGGGGAAAATGCAGGGTTTATGGAATCGTAAGAGAGGAATTTTTCAGCTGAATTAACAGTCATGTGGTAGATGTGCTCAAAGTTGCTCGGAGAGGAGATCAGGCGGGAGTGATGATGAGGGAATTGATAAGGGGAACGCTGCTATCAAAGACAACAGAGAGAGAAAGCAATGAAGGATGGTTGTACAGGTTAACATCAGCAACAGCAGTCCACAAGAGCAGTCAAACACTGAAGGACAGCCAGACAGCAGCCCTGCTCGCCCGTCAGCACACAGGTTCTTACATTGTCACCCCCAGTCCTCTGAGCACCTTCCTTACATGGTGTCACAGGGGCCTGCTGCCCTTGCTGTGGCTAAAACATTAAAAACAAATAAAACTTTTAACTCATTGGGAATCGATTCTAATATTTATTATTATTCGATATTTCAAAGAGCACCACAGTTGTAAAAGGTGCTTTACAGACAGTTGAGAAGCATTAGTTCCCTGCCTTGAGGAGCTTACAATCTAAAATAGACATAACACAAAGGAAGGTGAACACAGGTGAGATGGTGTGGGGAGAAGAAAAGATGAGAATACACAACGGTTAAAGAGTGTAAGAGATTTCCTTCTGTTATTCATGCATTAAAAATAAGTATCACCCGTACAACAAACACAGAGTATTTCTAAGGGGAGGGAACAGTCTTCCAACAGGATAGGGACACAGGTTGTGTGGGGATGTGCAGTGGTTAGTGTCAGACAACTGGAACAATTCACTTGGCTGCAGATAGACAACACAAGGCCTATGTCCTTCTGCAGGCTCACTTAATCCTCACAGTGCTTTAGTGACAAAGGGGCTTTGCACTCCTGCCTCTGTGCTGCAAAAGACTAGGCCCTTAGCAGATAAGGTGCAGAAGCATTGGGAAATTCACATGGTTTTGAGAGGTCAACTGAGCAATGTGCTCCCAATGTGTGACGTAAAGAAAGAGAGGGGAGAAATAATCCTGCAAATTAAACAGAAACAACTTCTACTTCATCTCTGCAGGATGGGCTGACATAAGTGCTCTTGTAATTTAAAGTCATCTAACTCCAGATTCAATGGAAGAGCATTTCAAGGCTCGGTCTCCCTCCCTGTGCTACCTGTACACACTCAGCAGGTCGGCCTGCTAGGGGGTGCTTTGCTCAATGGCCACCAGCAAAGCAGAACACCTTTTCTCATTTATAACTTTTAATTTCCCCTTGTCCAACTGATTTCATCACCTTCAAACAAACAGCTCTGAGTAACATTAGAAATGTTAGGACTTAAAAAAATAATATATGGTAAAAATATTACTTACTCCTCTGCTAAACCTAAGGCACTACTTTTTGTATGTGGAACGTATTAAAGTCTGGAAGAACATTAAGTCACATCCCAATACATATTATCAAACATTATTATTACTGTTTTCATAATTTCAGCTGGTAAAATCCAACTTTTGTTGTTGTTTTTTTTTTTTAAACACACAGTTATTATGAGGCTTTGCATGTTAACCGAAACACCAATTACCACATTATGGCATATAAGATATAATATACATTAAATAGTTATTAGTAAGTTTAGCAGCATCTAAATACCGGTATAAGAAGCCACCATTCCAGGAATGGTCAAGGGAAGCAACCTTTGCTGAGTTATCTGCTCACAACAGAGAACTGGCAGCAAAGCCAGCCAAGTTCATAAAAGCCAATAAGGGAAAATGGGAGTGTCTAAAATCACAAGCTAAAAGCAGAGGGTGGGCCAGCTGCAGACCATGGAAATACTTAGCCAGCATTGATGAATGTGAGAAAGCCACAACATGGCAACATTTTACAAATGATCCTCCGTGGCACTTTCTCCATGGACTTCACCATTAGATGCATGCATGGGGTTCCCACTTTCTTTAAAGAATACCAAATACAAGGTAAGTATTCATTTACTCTAAAAGTTTCTCATTTGAAACAAGCAAAGCTTCACATACTGCCTAGAATGGAAGTAAAATGGCTCATGTATAATGAGGTCAAACTGAAGCATGTTCAAATAGAATGGCAGTCAAGACTAGCTTTTGTATATAAAATACTTAGGCATGCAGAATATGAAAGCAAAATCAATCCTGTACATCTGATGTACACAGAGAGGTGGTCTGTGCTGCAGTAAGTGCAGTTCCAGATTTCAGATCTTCACTACAAAGGAGCGTCCACGATAAAGTGGCTTCAAGGGACAAGAGGGCAGAAGGGAGGCCAGACTGTACGGCCAGTTAATTGGTGACAGGCTGCTAGGGAAGAAAAACATGTAAATAAATAAGTTTGGGGATACACTAACAGGAACGATTCCAAATTGTACAAAACAAGACAATGACCCAGATCTAGTATCCACATCAATAAAATACAAATACGTACTGATTATGGCTCTGGTAATAGCAAGAACTTCTGGTGTCTGTTGTGTTGTAGCCCATGAACTTGCTTGTTCAAAGCCAGACCCCTGAGTAACTGCTCGCCATGAAGAAAAGAAGGATGCAAACTTAAAATTGCCCGATAGCCTCTAATCTTTTCTTTCTTAAATCTGATCTCACACTGAGCCTTTGGCATGCTCCTTTCTGCCCAAACATAGGGCTATGCTGGTCAAAGGTGTCTGTTCATGGGGAGAATAACATGGGACTGGGTAATAAGACTGCAATTTGCCTTAACATTATCTCACTGTTCCTGTTCCATGGAACCTTGGAAACAACACAAAGAAAGTCATTTCCCTCTAGTGTGGCTGCATCAGCAAGGGCAATCACATGCAGATATGTATGTTGCACATATGTAGGCAATTGATACAACATATCAAATAGCCCGAAGGAGTTTAAAGCATTCCTTTTATCCAGTTTTCATTCTGTACATTTACAATACAATTTAAACCCTCAAAATTTATCTTTCAAAAGCCATCATTAAGAATAGTAGCGGGCAGGGAGCAAAAAAGCTCCCACTGGCTCTGCATGCATCGTCAGGCAGCACAAGTGTACGTCCCCTCCTGCCCGCTGTCATACCGCAGCCCAGCCATGCAAGAGCCATCACTACCAGTTCTAACTCTGTGCTTTGTTCATTTTTTGGCATTTCCTCTGAAAAAGGCAGCAGAGGCAGGTTAGCATGACTGCAGAGATGAGTTCTGATTGGATTGACATTGCATATATAAAGTGAGTATGTATATATTCATAAATAAATAGATATATATATAAATTGTCATTTGCTTTATGAACTTCATCCCTGGATGCTAGATAAATGCAATACTGAGCTGGCTGTTTATAGTTTGTGACAATCTCATCCAACTCAGAGATTAAAATATCTATGTTCTACTAAAACCTGTTTATTACTAAGGACTCTTCTGCCTACATAGCACTATACTGACTTCAGTGAAAGCTCACGTTGGATGAGCAGATTTGTATCAGCAGATCCAGCCAAATCTGAAATTGCTCAAGTCAGAAGAAACTGCACATGAAAAGGCCCACTCCATTCTTTCATATACTTTCTACATTCCAGTATCTCATAAAAAAAGAAGCTGCCTCGTCTAAAACAACAGGATGAAGAGAGAGTTTGAGGAAACTATTAGCTTTGCCCTACTTGTTCCCTCTAGTGGCAGCCCTCTTTAGACGCAAAAACGTATTTTCCATAAACAGAAACTGGCACTGGCAAAGCAAAACGCTGCAGTCTTTCTCATAGTTCCTAAGAAACCCCTTTTCTTCTGGAAAACACTCATTTATTTACAAATACAAAGAACATATTCCAGGTGCAAAATCATTATATATGCCAAGAAGGGCACACACACAAAAAACCTCTATTCATCATTTTGGAACAAGGTATGAATCAAGTGGAATAATTCTACGTCCTTGTAATGAGACTTCCATCCACATAAACTGTACACAGGGCTGTTCTTCACCTGATTCTCCAGGAAACACCCTGTCTTTTCATTCTAAATTTATCTTTCAAATAAAACATTAGACTCAATGCATAACACCATACACACACAACTCCTCCTCTCCTGTTTTTGTGCCTGAGAAACAAAGTAGGTAGTTTGGAACAGACTAAATGAAAACTTAGCCAAGTACCTTACAGGAAGCTTACAGGAAAAGAAAAAGCTGCCTGGACCAAAGCAACTTATTTCCTAATCCCAAGTTACACTTTCACATTCACAATTTCGAGACCTGTGATTGACGCAATTCTGTACCCATTAAGTTAGGAATACAAATACAATATGATATGGCAAGGAGCTGCTGGAAAAATACATGTCAATTTTGCTTTATCTGCAAAAGACAGCGGTATCTCCCAGCAGTAAGACCGATACCTACTTGCAAAAAGAGTTTTTGATAGTAACTTTAAAAAGAAGCTGCAGGAGTGGAACCAATGCAGAAATCAGTTCTACACTGTACACCTTTTCTAATACCTTCTCATCACTTTTAAGTGTGGAAAGTGACTCATGAATTCCTGTCAAAACATCATATTGATTGGTAAGAAGCAAAGTACCAGTCCTAACTTCAAATATGACCTTTGAACTAGTACAAGGCTTCCATTATTAGAATTCAAAGGTAAAAGCCTTTTACAGATGACACAGCTGATGAAATATTAATCCTTGCAAGTCTAGAAAATCCCCTCCAATAGATAAAATCATTCCTCATTCTATACTTGCCAGATCTGGGGCTCGATTAAGAGTTCTTGCAGCTTTTGATTCCCATGAACTTAAAACTACTGATGGTGTTAAATGGGATGTTTTTTGCCCTACCTTTAGCAGCAGCAGATTATTTTCTCTGCTTTAGAAAAGCCAGAAATGTTTTAAAGAACCCACCAGAAATGGAAAATAATAATAATAATGGTTCTGATCTGCATCCTGCCCTGAAGCATTCTCACATCCAGGTAAGATTAAACACTGCCTGCCAACTTCCCTTGGATTTGGCCTGTGTTTTCTAGAAGCAGCTCCTTCCTTATTTATTAATTTATAAATACACACACACACACACTCTGCTGCTTTTTGCTCAATTGCACCAGCATATTTGTTATTTGGAGTTTTCTCAGAGCGTCTCTACTATAAGATTTAAAGTAAATCTTATTCTTTCCTTGCATATTCTCATCTAAAGAAAACACGGTGCCAGAAGGGCTCAGGCACAACATGCAGACTTTATGGTAAAGTATAATATAAAAATAATATCTGCTGCAAAAGGAAGGTAAAATGAGTATCTGAACACCAAACGTGTTATGCTCCTCGAGGCCCCAAACTAGTGCAACTGTACAGCATGCTTTATTTTCCAGTCTTACTGCAGTTTCCTTTGGGATTTTAAGTATCTGCAAATCCCACTTTCAGCATCTACTTGCTGCTTTCTGCACAGACTCCAGGTTAACAATGATTATCATTTTAGACAGCACTTCTGTACTAATGCCCTTATCTTACTGTGGTGATCGTATCACCTGTTTGGTATTGTATCATATGACCTTTCTCACAGTGCTAATTAGCATCTTCTGAATCCCATCTGTGTCATCATGGACAACACAGAAATCACAAACAAGATGCTCAAGGTATCTTGAGGCAAGCAGTATGATACTCTCCTATGAAAAATATTAATTGGTCTTTATCTCAACAGAAATTTCAGCAACTTCAAGATGAGTATTTCCTAAATGAGGTTTTGTGGAAACGAACACGTCTGTGTGCTATCACGCTTTCTTTTCCGTTTCTCAACTTGTTTCATTGAGGCTAGTTAATTTGGAGGAAAAAAAGGCATCTTGGGCATAGAAAGAAATTTGGGCATTTGCTACAGTTCCACTGTCTGTGAGGAAAAGATGCTGTAAAGAGAGAAGCCAAGTTAGAGTTAAAGATGGGAAGAGAGGAAAAGAACTGAACTACAATTCGCAGAGAATGGAATTTTCTCTTTCCATTCCCACATAGAACACAGGCCCAAACCCTCTTAATTTTGTCCCTTCATATGGATCATAAAAATTATCAACACTGCGAGGCCAACCTGCCTTAAAACGCAAGAGTCATCAGGCACTCCACGAAGCTTAAGTGTCACCCTCACATACAGCAGAGCATGTTCAGTTTCATTTCCCTAGTGACTGCTCCTGATATGAAACACATCAACACTCTGAATATGTATTTTAAGTGGTACTTGTCTTTCTGTCACTAATTTGCAGCCCCTGTCGCAGTCACTCTCACATGTACTTTTGTACTTACCATTGGAAGGTCTTTGAGGATCTGGATACCGTCTCCTGGACCCATATGTGCTATGTGGTTAAAATTAGTTGGGTTAGAAATTAATTTATTTCTCATTTCTGGATCGCGTAGCATCTCCCTGGAAGAGAAAATACTTTGTTTAGATATTTGGTTCGAGGTGCGGATGGACACTTACAAAACATGTACAGCTTTGATTATCAGATACTTTTAAATGGAAATTAACTCTTTAGCCATGTTAACAGCGATAAACCCTTCCTATCAGCACTGGCATGGACAAGCTGTCAACTTGAAGAGAGGGCACAGGGCCAGAAGAATGCTGTTTGCAGGCTAATAGCCCATGCCCAGTAGTTACTGACATTCAAAGAATATACAACCGCTATGAGCTGATACAAAGCTCCGTAAGATGAGTAAAAGCAGAACTCGTTTGTGATGTATTACAAAGTGGAGATGAAAATGAAGTACAAAATATGAAAATAGAATTAAAATATACTGCAGTACCTTTCTCGGTCTGTGGTCAGAATTAAAAGCTCTTCAAAATGGCAAGGATGCATTTCAGAACTCAGAATACATAACATTTTAAAAGACCAAACCACGAACAGCTCAGAAAAGGCAAAGACAAGAACTGGAATTTCATCTCCACTGTACACAGCTGTTACTCTTCTTAGAGCCAAACAGAAAGGAAAGCTGGGAGCCAACCATCGGTGGAAGACGTTGAAAGTTAGAAAACTGAAATACTCAGTTCTTGGAGTGTAGCTTAGCACAGTAGGTGGTCATCTTTAATGAGTGACAGTAAATGGTCAGTAACATCTTCCATGAATGCTGTGAGCAGTGCAGACCTATTTTTATTGCCAGTTAGGAAAGTATTTGTGACCTGTTTAAGACTTCTATTAGAAACACAGCCTGAAGTCCTATGTCCTCTGAAGAGGTGAGTTTTCTGAGATTTACAGAATGTTTATGTAGTTAAATCTATAAATCAAAAAAGCAGATGCCTTGGAATACTGCTGAGAGTAGAATTGCCTTCAGAAAGAAAAGCAGAACCAGAGTCTGAAAGTAATTAATTCATATGCATAGTTAGCAATGTCACCTCCTTTTGCACAGTGTTTATTACAGATCTTTATATACACAGTATTATGTGCACACCTACGTACCTATACACAGTATGTGGAGACATGCATTCCAAATCACAGCTGTTTCACATAATTAATTTGAGCTAATGAATATTTATGTATCCAGTGCATATCCACATCCAAATTGGTATTAACACAAATTAAACATTGAGGATTAACACGGTAGTGAAGAGACAGAAACATTTGAAGCAACAAATGAAGTACCACATTGGCATCAGTCACCGTTCTTCAGGGCCTACAGGCATGTACAGAACACAGGTACATGTTGAATACCGACCTCCTCTGCTGCATCCTCTCCTCCTCTGGTACTCTGAATGAATAGCGGCGCTTGTTGTTGATGTTTCGGACCATTTGCTTCCTGCTGTTATCTGATGTCTCAGGAACTACCAGTTCATCACCCTCTGAAATAATATATACATGATGATCATAGAACGGTTTGGGTTGGAAGGACTTTAAATATCATCTAGTTCCAACACACTGCCATGGGCAGTGACACCTTCCACTACAGCAGGTTGTTCAAAGCCCTGTCCAACCTGGCTTGATCCAAACACAATGCAGTGGGACAATTCAAATTCATGGAATTTGAATTCAAAGACATTTTCTCCTTCTGCTCTTACTAGTGTTGGACATCACCTATTTCCCATGAAACCTGAACAAATGCTCCTTGGTTTATGGATTTTCTTGGTCATTACCTACCCTGTTTTACAGCAACAGACTTAACCCTTCCTCCCACACAAGCTGCCACAACCGTGTTCTCAAACTACCACTGACTGATTTTTTCAAACACAACAATTAGGTGGGCAGGAAAGGATCTCAGTCCTCTATCTCGAACTTTCTTTGGCAGTTCTCACTGAAAATCACTAGAACAGCCTCTTGTTCTGCCAGACGTCTGGAACTGAAGATTCTTTTTCATTCCTTCTCTCCTCCAAAGAGACTAAACCTTCTGAAATGTTTGAACAATGATGTGTTTTGGTGCAACTGTGGGAAAAAGGAAGATTTCTTCCACATGTGTGTGTCTGGCCAAGGTGTCTTTATTATAATAAGACATGAAGTGTATAGCAGTGATGATCATACAACAGGAGTGCTGCACTGAATGAATGCTGCAACTGCTCTGTCTTGTTTGTTTATACATATATATATATGGAGACTAAAGTTACGCTTAATAAGCTTGAACATCCTAACATGTACTGCTCACTGCCAAGACAGTTTTTGCATGGAGCTGAAAGCTTTTCTTTCGTTAAGATCAAGTGGAGATTTCATGAAGTGTGGGCTCTACTGGGTAAGTACCTTCAGGAACAAAACTTCACACTTACAGAGATACACCTGGAGAATACTTTTACTGTTTGGCAGCCTCTTCTGAAAGACGGTGAGAAGCGTACAGGAGCAAAGCACTAGCCTTACTTCTGATCCTAGGCTTTCCATTTTTCCCCCTCTTCTGCTCTGCTTTTAATGCCCAGTCTTTATTAGACTTGAAAATTCTTTATATGTACTTTGCCCATATTGCTCTTCTCTCCCACAGTCATTCCTTTTGTACTAATCTGCTAGCAATTTAAATAAACGCTGAAACACTGCCAACAGCACTATGTGTTTCTGGAGCTTTGTTTCCACTGTTTTCAGAATAGTTGCTAAAAAGAATTATAGCTTTTGACTGTTAAAGCACATCCCCTCTCTATCTAACAGATTAAACAGAAAATGAAGGAAATTACTCAGTATGGTTATAAAATGAGCTGTAAAAAGGAAAAAGGTCAAGAGGACACATAAGAAAAACAGAGTTCTGAAGCTAAAACTCTGGCACATAATCATATGTGGCCCTAATAATAAGTTATGAATACATAATATTATATCACTTTCTGATCCTTGGGCAAGGTTTGTTTAGTATAATACCAATTTTAATCTAGTACTGCCAAGATCGCTATTAAAGTCTTCAGTTGTGCAGGCATTTTCAGATAGTATTCTGGTAGGTGATCACAGATCTGAAGGGAGCATTTAGTCATTCTGTTTTCTATTTCTAGTCTTCACTGAATATTCAAAAGGGAAACAAGAGTTCAGAGTAGCTGCCTAGCAGACATCACTGTGGAATCTGTAAGCTTTGGCTCTCTCCAAACATAACATATGTTTGAGAGATCACTTTCTATAATACACAGACCCAGGCCAAAGGAAAATGCTCTAAGCAGAAATTCACATGATAAAAATTGGCTTGTCTTTACTTACCTGCCATTTTGTTTTTGAAATAAATTAATCTAACTGTCTCCAGGCCTAAAAGGTTTAGTGATCCTTCTGTATTCAAGGGTCGTACCTGAAACAAGGAAAAACCAGCCCTTGTAATAGTAATAACTCACATATATATAGTGCATCTTACTCTGAAAGCTCCAAGGTACCATTATAAACCCTGTTAAAGGAGCACTGTTACAAAGCCAGCAAGAGGGCAGGACAGTGTAACTGGCCAGAGCAAAGCCTGCTCCACAGAACTGCAGGCTGAAGGGAACAGGGTCTCCTATCTCCAGTGACACGTGCCTGCTCTCTAGATTAGCAATTTTGAGTCATTAAAGCCATGCAACAGAGTTAAAAACAGTTTTAGATTTTAAACTTCTGTTTGGAGATCAAGTACAGAAGGAGCTGCCTAATATCCTAAAGACATGGGCTTAACACCATTCCTCTCTAAATTCTGTCTACTTCTTATAGTAGTTCAATTTTGTCTACTAGATGCACAAAGCAATAAGCTGCACTTTTATTTTGTGTTAGTAGCATATCAGTTTCTTTGCAACTTGAGAGAGGTAAATACAGATTGCTAAAGCCTATTGGTATTTGTGATTTCTAACTTAAAATTGAAAGAAGCACTCCACTGAATCTGCAAATTGTGTTAGAAACAAACTCATCATAATAAACGGCCGGTTTTCAGTCTCCTAGATGTAGCAATTCCTGTTTGTAGAAAGTAGCTTCATTTATTAAATGGGCAGTCTTGAGACAAATATTAATCAATATACTAAATCATACTATGATCTGGGGGGGGAAGAAAAACCACTCTAACTGCTTAACTCAACATCTGAAGATCAGAAGGAGTAGAGGAAATCTGTAAAAGGCCATATTCTTCTCTCCTGAAGATGGTAAATAGCTGAGCACCTCGATCTTGGCATTATTTATCCTTACAGCATTGTTGTAATATCCTGGTCTGCATCTGACATGTGGGAAATTGATATGCAGAGAGACTGAATGACTTACACAAGATCACAAGGGCAATTTCTTGTGGTTCTGTGTCACTGGAATGCCAGTCAAGGAATTAAGTTGACAAAAATACAAAGTTCAAGTCAGTCCAAACTATGGGGAAAACAACATCTTTCTTTTGACTTTCCAAACACAGCTGAGCAAACACCTCCCAAATACCAAGAAGTGTCAGCTTTCAAAAACTTCTGTCTTTTGATAAGCGATCCAAACCTGACATCATCCTGGGTTTTAATATTTGTTCTGGTTGAAGCAAAGTGTTCTAACTTTGTCCACAATGTTCTCAAGAACCAGAACGCAGCTTTCTGAAGGCAGGTTTAATTATGATAACATCCGCCATCTTCTGGCAATAACATATATGCAATCAGGCCCAATGGAGTCATACGCAATTAATACCAGAAACCTGATCCCTACAGTAAGTCTTTACATGCTTTACATGCTCCAGATTGATCATCCACCTAAGAAAGCAAAACCACATGCAACACACATTTGGCATCTTACATTTTGACCAAAAAGCCCTAGTTTCCTTGCAATAGCTTTTCTAGTTCAATTGTGTTTTGATAAGCAGTTATAATGATAGCTTCAATGTGCTTAAAAATCCTGGTATGACTGCAGCAAAGCAAGATTGAGTCTAGATATGTTCTTTAACTGATACCGAAACAGCAAGTTACCTTTTTGAGAGGAATAGTCTGAATCCACTCCATGGAGTTCACATCGAAGATATCAATTGCATTTTCACTGTACACAGAGAGGTATGGTGCATTGTAACCTGAGAGAGGATGATCAGGTATAGTGTGATGTGCTTTTAGACAGGGCTCAAAATATACAATTGCTTATGGTTTAATCATATTTATGGAAAACAACCCGACACCCCACAACGCAACAACAGTATTTGCAAAATATGTTTTAACTCAAAATTGCCAAGAAATTTATCCTGAAGACAATCCAGCACTACCAAAAAACTTAAAACCTCCATGGCTTTTCTTTTAACTTTGCAGAACCAAACTACTTTTTGAACTACAAGGGATTACAGTTTACTCTGCCAAACACTGATGTGGTTTCAAAGGGTTTTTTTGTTCTTCTAAAACCCCTATTTTTAAGAGCTCATATTTTGTAAATTATCTGGTAGGAAAATACACTCTCATTAGTTAATAACTGTCATTTGAACGAACTGAGCTCTTAGTTTTTGGACCAGGTACTAAATGAACATCAGCTGGATCTAAGCACTGTGACACAGTCATAAAAATCTTTATGCTTCCTTTTAGCTTTAATTCTCTTATTTTCTGGATTGTAAAGAGAATTCTCGTGCTGCTGATCTGGCACATTTCCCCAGGATTAAATTCGTTCCACTGGGACCACTTCTAAGGCAGAATTCAGTATTTCCATGTCAGCAACAAGACTGCCATGGCCTGCCAAGACTAGCAAGATCATCCAATTTGTGCTTCAATGTAACAGGTTTTGCTACAAAATATACCTCCATTCTGAACTGCACTAACATCAAATCACTTCATTTAAGGCAATCAAAAATCTTTCACAAATATCAATGACCAATACAGAAGAACTACACATGAAAGTGCCTGATTTTCAACTGATCACAAAATGTTTCAATGCATCCATTCTCTGAGTCCTGTATAATTATTACACTCTTGCTGGAAACCCAGAAGTGAGGTAGAGCCTGTGGAAGTTGCTCATTCCACATTCAGAAGGGGCTTCACTCAAGCAAGGTGAAACATTCCTCTCAGCTTCAGAGTGACTGTACTGCTCTCACAGGTACAACGGTAGACCGTGCTAAAAATCAACCTAAGACTGGGCTCGTGCACAAATACTTTGAGGACAAATGTGGCTAATCTTTATCTGCATTCAGAAAGACATCAAAAAGATGACAGGCATTGCAGGGTTTTTCCTCCCTGCAACTGACAAAGCCCCAGCTTTCAAAAAATGTGCAATAAATGTTTTACAGTTCTTGCTGGAAACATAAATCTTGAAAAATTATAGTATTTCCCTTAAGGTTACGAAATACATTATCTATGCTGCCTGCCATACATTGTATTTTAGAAGGGAAGAGGGAAACAGACGGGGAATTTAAAAATCTTTTTTTTTTTTAAAGAGCAAAGAGAGGAGATGAATGAGAAGTGTCCATGAAACTGCCAAGGAAGAGAGAATGACAGAATAAGGAAAGAAAAGTTAAAAAAACCCAAACCCATTAAATAGGAAACAAGCACCATTAAAGAAAGGCAAGTCAAACTACCAGATCCTGACAACTGGGCATCACGGAAGGTTGAATCACAATGCTGAGCCAAAGTACAGCTGAATTTTAAGACTTTAAATAACAACAGTCCTATCTGTATCAGCAGTAGTGAATGCATAGTTCCCATTAGCCTCTGTAGGACCTGAGGCCATGTGTTTACAAAGCGGACATCAGATTTAGAAATCCTGATTCCTCTTCATGTTCCAGCAGTACAAGTCAGTGACAGCTTTGTCAAGCCTAGCATAAGTGACATCAGGTAAAACCCTCTGACTAGACTAAACATGCTGACAGATGCTGAGACCATTCATTTACCTGCCAGGTAATTATCCTTGCGTTTCACTTCCTGTGGATATTAATAAAAGCAGTGATCACTTCAATGAATAACAGCAAATACAGGGACACACAGAGCAACTTACAGCAAGAAGATGGAGTTGCAGGCCACATCAACTCTTGTTGTCTGGATCTTCGGCCCTGGCAGTCAACGTAAACCCCTACGCTGCTAAAACACAGCAGGTACTCTTTATTTGAGATTTCGACTGCACAGATGGCATCAGTTGGCTGCTGCGAGATAAATGAGAGTGTGTGGTCATCGGGATGGAGCAGACTGTATGGACTGCCTTCTCCGTGAAGGGGGTATTTTAGGAAGCCGGACTGGTAGCCCACACAAAGACGATCGCTGAAGACTGACATCCACTGGACATTGCCCTGGACTTGGATCTCCTTGATCTTTTTGTGGCGTGTCTTGCTCTGATTTAGTTCATAACAGAGGACCTGCCTTTTCATAGCTACACACAGGCAGGTAAGAGCTCCGTGGCGCACATGTCCAGAAACTATTGACTGACAGCCTTTTGTCTCTGCCAGCTTATAGAACTCAGTCTCCCTTCCATCCAGGGCAGCCATAGGGAAAAGGCGCACGTGACGGTTCCGTCCTGAGATCACTGCAATGAGCTGTTCACTTGGGATAAGCTCAATCTGATGAACCTTCTTATTGTCACCAACACGGATGATCTCTGAAAAAGAAACCCCAAAACAAACCCCCCAAATCCAAGTAAATAATATTGAAGTGTGAATTGTTCATAACATACATATTTGTTAAGATATATTACCAAGGAAAGCCAAGAAATCCCCTTTATTGCTTCCCTGCAATACTAAAAAGTACAGAATCAAAACGTGTAGTTTAATAATACCAGATGTGGCAATGCTGGACAGACCTTTGGCTCTGCCCCATCAGAAGAAGAGAGAAGATTCAATGCAGTAACAACTGCTGTATCATTTTATACATTTTATAAACCAGTTTATAGCCACAAACTACTCAATAAAGGAAAACTCTCAAAGAACCAAAATGTACAGTTAAACATCTTGCTTGTTGAATTAGCTTGGGCATCTGTAATTACATCTCTCTACAATACTGAACTGAATAAAGTTTTCATTTCCAATACCACAGTGGAGGTTACAGGAAGGACCAAGTCAGGCTCCTTAGTGAGGTGCACAGCAGGATAAGGGGAGACAAGAGTCACAAATTGAAATGAGGGAGGTTCCTACTGCATAATATGAAGGAAATGCTTCACTGTGAGGATAATTTGCAACAGGCAGCCCAGGGAGATTATGGAACCTCTGTCCTTGGGGATTTTCAAGACCCAACTGGACAAACTCCTGAGCAACCTGCTCTGAATTCAGTATTGAGCCTGCTTCAAACAAGGGAATAAAACCTTCAATTGCATTCCAGATGCTTGATCTTTCTCATCTGAAAGGATACCCAAACCAGAGAGTGCACACACACCACCCTTCATGATTATCAGCTCTCACATGGGCTTGTCCAGCCAATAATGTAGTAAATTAAGAAAAATGAAGGACATTGATAGAGAAAAAAAGGATTACAAAGTCACTTTGTGATTATTTAAATTAGGGAACTTATTACCAGTTCCTCATCTCTTACCGTCTTTGGTGACATGCACAACAAACAACCCTTCTTCATTCCCCAGAGCTATTCGTTCATGGTCTGTGATATTCAGGGAATAAAAAAAAAAAAAAAAGAAAGAAAAAGTTATTTTTCAAAACTTGTTCAGCAATAGTCAAAATTCCTATTAACAGAGATGTTTTTAATACCTTGAAATAAACAAATATAAAGCTAAACCCAACACATTTATATACCAAACACTGGTAACCTCCCAGTCTTTCAATTTCCTGTTAAAAGAAGTAACAGCAAGAAATATCATTTTTAACAAACCATTCAGAGCATTTAAGTGTAATACTGACTTTGAAATAACTACAGGATATTCTAATTACTTAAATAACTAGAGTTTAAGATATTTTATGCTGTGGCATTTAAAATTACTAAATTCATGCTTTGATTTTGTGTTTTTATGTATTCTCCCTGGTCCCACAAGCACATTTTGTAAAGTCAGTGATTTATATCCATTCTATAGTACTAGTTTTGCCCAGTTCTGGAATTATGTATATAGACTAACAGAAGAGTAATGTCCAATTCTCAAAATTATTCATAATTATGAATAAGTGCGAATAGGGGGAAATATTCGTAAAGATCTGACAAAAGTACTGAACAGTGAACTGCATTTCCCCCAAACCCATATGCATTTCCATATGGGATAAAACCACCATGTATTACTCTATTCGGTATATAATGCTATTTAACACGAGGGTTTCTTGCATAAACCCCCCCATGCTTTTAGCATACCTATTTTTCTTATTCATTTCATACCTATGATCGCTGCTGACTGGGTTGTTTTGATGAGGGGTAAGGTGCTGTCATAAGCTTCTTTGGGAACATAGACTGAACGGTCTTTGAGTTTATTCTTCTTCAAGATCCTATGCAATTCATTCAGCACTCCTACCCACTTGCTTTTCTCATTCTCACCGTCTGCTAGAATCAGGATTGAACACTTATTACTGGATGCAGAGAGCTGGGAAGCTGTAACCTGGAAAATGTTAAAATACACATTTTAAGTCATAAGCAAAAGAAGTAAATAAATTCATGATCATTTTTACAAGGGTATCAAATGCCTGTAAGCACCCTTGTAAGTAGCTGTCTGAACCAAGAATGAGAAAATGTAGCCTTCGTTAATAGAATATACTCAATCAAGAACCCACAGCAGAAAAATCTGCAGATGTAACTCAGCAAAGGTACTGAAATGTCTGCCCTAAATAAGGTAGTCAGTTGTTTCTCAAAGCAATTTATAATGAAAAGCATTTCTTACAAAGTATTCTTTAAGACCAACAGTTTTCATTAATAATTTAATGCAGCACGAATGGTCTTTATGGAAGAATGGTCTACAATCCTTTTCATTTATTTGGTACAGCTACTATAGATAAAAACGAAAGCCTCTTTTGCAGGTTTATCTTCACTCAGCAGGCAGAGTAATGGACAGCTTGAAAGCTGGAAAAACAAGAATGAAATACAATGGTGCAGTAAAGAAATGATAGAGGAATTGATAAGGACACCGAAAGTACTTCATTGAGGTCAAAGCTTCATTAGAATACCTAGTAAATGTAATATTAGAAAAAGCCAATGATGGCAAAAACCTGATATTAGACATAAGTCTTGATGAGCATTTTACACTAGATTTCTATACTGACTACCTGACGAATGGCAGTTTTCGAGATCCAATGGATATATACAAAGAAAATACATAAAACAAAGACTTCAGAATTTCATTTACAAATGAAATTGTAAAGCAGGAGGCAACTCTAGGAAATGAACATGCAGAAGGTCATGAAGAACAAGAAGAATTCCAAATGACTAACAGGAGGGTGAGAAAAGGATGTCTTACTGTGAAGGTCAAAAAAAAAAAATAGAACCCAGGTAAAGGGGAGATGAGAGCTTGTCTAAATGTGCCAGTGCTATTTTTAGCACAAAAATGATATTATGTACAGACCCTTATGTATTGCTGCTGCTGCCATGGATACCACCCAGCCAGAACTTGTGAAGAAAATAAAACACTAGTGAGCTGTCAGTGGATGCACACTCTAACATGACACTGTGAAGCCCTGTACTGCTGGGTTACTAGGTTCAAGACGTAATACTTACCCTAAAGATACAGGGGATATCTTTTCTGTTTGCGTGGATGACATCTGAGGCCAAGACAGAACTCACTGAGAATTCTTCATCCCTTATGGAGACCACAAACACAATTGGAAAAGAGTTAAAGAATAAAATCTGTGTGTTTGGTTTTCACTTTTATTTCCATAGTGCCAGTAGCTTTGTTTTGGGAAGGACACATCAACACAGTCCTGAGATCTAGTTTTAAAAATCATCCTTTCTTCTCTATCTGCAGATCAAACTCACAAATGCAATGTTGCATAATTAATTCCTGGTAAATGCTGATGGAGATGAATCTATTCAGAGAATCTGGGGTTTCTCTCTTTAAATTAAAACTCTTAAAAAAGCAATAAATAGTGAAACTTATTGGACCAAGAGCCCCTCTCCAAGCTTCATAAAAACACAAACTCACTCGAAGCTATAACCTACAGCTGCTTGACACTCCCTGGATAAACCCATCTAGTTCAGAGATGAGCTTTGCTTAGTTGTTATGTTAAAAGTTAAGTATTTCAGTAATACTGAAGAGGGAACAAACTATTTAGCCCTTCTGAACCAAAACTTGTATTAGTTTTACACTATAACAAAATTCCATGTGTCTTCCAAAACTCTATTCAACCCCAAAAGAATGTATTTTTCTTCTTTGTTCATTGCAGATCTTCTACACAGCTGAACAGATGCATTTTGGCACATGATGTGGTAATGGAAGTTTAAATTGCCACATACGAACATACAAGTTCAGGCTAGCTGCTAATAATGCCTTTTTCTGGAAAATCAGAGGCTCTCAACATGGATCACAGTGTTTCATAAAAGCCTGGAAGCTTGCTTACTGATTTCATAAAAAGAAAAAACAGGAAAAAACCCTCCCAGTGCCTCTGAAAAGCTCACACTGAGCACCAAAGTGCTTACCTCATGTCTATGACCTGACTCACTACCACGCTGGGCTGGGCTGCTTTTCCTTCTGCTACATCGTAGAGGAAGAGTTTAAAATCACAGATCACTGCCAGCGCTCTTTGCCAGCCTTTCTTTACTCCAGCTGGTTTTGGTACCTTTAACAAAACAAATTCCCATCAACTCTCTGTAAGCTTGCATGCAATCAAAGATCAGACAATACAAAAATCAATTCTCTTTTCTAGGCTGACAAGCTTTTATTCAGCGATAATGTTAAGCAACATAACCTGTAGCAGAGGTGCAGTCAGCACCAAACACAGCCACACAGACACCACAAAATATGACTTTAAAAATCCATAGCACTACAGATTCTTTGTTCTTATTCACAAGCTGATTCAAAGATGAATTAACCAATATAGAGAAAGAATCACAGAATCATAGAATCATCGAAGAGTTAGGGTTGGAAAGGACCTTAATATCGTCTACTTCCAACCCCCCTGCCGTAGGCAGGGACACCTCACACTAAACCTTGCCACCCAAGGCTCCATCCAAAGAAACCCATCTCTAGTTGGTCAACAGGAATATGGCCCAAAGTACGTTTAATAATTTGATAGTGTTTACACACAAGTATTCACACCAATGACTCTAGACAGTACCAGCAGCAACAGAAAGACCCAAAAACTCACAGGGCCTCATAGATGGTCTGGTCTCTAGAGATGGACTGAACAAGACCAACTCAAAGCACAATGGCCAACAGAGGATGCTAAGTCTTGCTTTGTCAAAATTTAGGCCTTAGTTTCCAAACTGTTAAATTATAACTGAATCCATTTCCACCCTAATGCTCCAATAAAGAGTTTAATTGCAGGTCTGGAAAACAACAAATTTAATGTAAGTGCCCCAAATGTAGCTACCTGATACTTACTCGGACATGTCCTTCATAAGCTGTTCCTATGCCCTTCTGTGGATCTATTCCCAAAGGTCCTTTAGTCTGGTCGGGAGGGATTGGACATACTGCAGGAGCCTTGTCTGCACAGGTCACGTGGCAAGAGAATCCACATACTTGTGAAGAGGAGGAGAAACAAAGAGATTTAATGGTTCTTTCTTGTGCAATTCAAAAGCTATGATAATGATGATATTTATAAAGGAAAGGTCTCTTTTTTTGCCCAACAACTGAATGGTTTCACTGAACTTTGCTAAGCCGAGACAGAAATGGAAGTTTGTGCACAGCAGCAGTTCATGCTTTCATCTACTCTAAATTCTGATTTTCTGATTTTCAGAGGTACATGGACAGAGTCTGGTTTCACCCAGGTAAAAAAGAGCCTATTCAGAAGTTCATCATGAGATAATCTCTATGATTTCCTCACGGCTCAACTTTGCTAGCAAGCAAAAAGATGGAAGCTCCTCAAAATGATAGGTATCATTCTCTTTACATACAATCCCAGTATAAATTAGTCCTGGCAAGAAGCAAAACTGGTACTGAAAGGGAAAGCTGTCTTACATGTTCCCCACCAAGTCGGAAAGCAAAGCTGCTGTCAGCATACTTGACTGTGGCCGTTCATTGTTATTTTCTGTAAACTGAACTAAGCTCTTCCACCCCAACTGGAATAAGTATGCCCCCAGGTAACTGGGTCATCTGTTACTTAAGATGTTCAAACCATTTGGCATCTACTGTCAAAAGACTGAAGCATGGTAACATACTTTGTTATTCAAAATATAAACAGAAGACTACAATATCTGCTGTCCGATTTGCATCTGAAAGAACTACAGTTCACACTTCCTGCTTTCACAAGTGCTTACCTTCACAGGTACAGCCCTGTCGTATTAAACCAACCATCAGAGACGTACACTGATTGCATTTTGTTGGTGTATTAAATGATTTCACTACAAACTGGTGGGCTTTAGGCTGAAAAACAAGCAGACAAGGATGTTAATGCCTGTAAGGCTTCTGAAGAACTGTAATTTTTTTCACAGACATAGGTGCACAGCTGCATTTAAAAAGGGAGCTTATTTGTGTTTACTGAAATGAGATCCGTGCTCCTAACACTGAAAAAACTTCCTTATCAGTGCTCATTATTGATAATCTAAACCATCCTCTGTAAATGAAACCGTGGAAACTGGACCTTGCCTCAGAACATGAGTTCATTTCCACTGCAGATAGGAAAGTTGCCAGAATTATTCCATTACACTCTAAAAATTAAAGGTGTGTTTGTAATGTTCTCGGTGGGCACCCCGCAGCCAAGTCAAGGTCAAACCCTTCCCTAAACTGCAAATTCAATGTTCCTCTATAAGGAGTGTTGCCTTGGTTCAAAGAAAAATATCATACTTTAATTTGCACACCAGAAATCTATGACAGAGTTCAGTTTTATGGTGTCAGGCACAGGCAATTTCAGAACACCCAGTTTAAAAGCAAGAGTGTAGGTGAAGCTGATTTTGAAAGGGCTTCTTCTTAGTTCTTGAGAACACAGACTACATGAGTGTTTTAATTCTCTCTCTCCCCACAAGGATAGCAGTGCTGATGCTATGATACCAAGGCTAAATGACTATGTAATGTGGTAGTATGATTCATAAAAAGACCTTATATATAATCCAGGAAGCTGCTTGGCTGTTCTAGAAATAACACCCAGGAAAGTAACAACTGGTAGGTGGAGAAAGGATACAGCCCAGGGTGAACACAAAGGCTGTTCAAACAACCTGAATAATGTGATTTGAAATAAGACAACTTTGCAGACTATTTTAACGAGTAGGTATATTAAAATTTTACTCAGTTTCCTGCTTTTCACAGCATAAGATGTCACAGTTAAGGACTCAGACTTCATCCATATTTAATAACAGTTTTACTGTTAGAATGGAAACTTTCTGTCTGCAGATGGGTGTCTTGTTTTGAAACTTGCAGGGAAACAATACTTTGCTTTAAAAACTGATGCAATCATAAAATAAGAAGGCTCTTTATGGAATGTAATAAATTAGAAAGACAATCATGATTTACTGAGCAAAATATTTGCAACCATTAAATAATGTGCAAAGTAAAATTACCAAAATCAGTTAAGTTGATCTATTAAGATGCTGCCAACAAAACAGACTGCTTTCCTTTACACAAATTAAGTCTTTTGCTATTTCTCCATTTATTAAAGCAGAGAAACAGATCTGTATTTTTTATGTATATATTTTAAATATATACATATTTAAAGAAGATCCCTAAGCCATCGAGGCACTTCTGAAACTTTTATGAGAGACTTTTTCCTTTAATAGCTTGTGCCTTATTCCTCACTTGCTTGAATATATACAATTCACTGTGAATTAGCATACACTGACTGGCTTATTTGGCCAACAGCAAAATAATTTCAACAACTGATGTAAAAAAATCAGTATTTATGCCGGTAAAAAGCCAGAAGACAATAAAACTGGAATTCCTTCTCCCAGTCCAGCACTGAAGCGCTCCCTCTACACTGCTTATAAAATGCAAATCTAGAGGTTAATTTTATAGCCTTACTCTTTGCCTTTGCTCAAAAATAAGCATTTAATTAGCACACAGACCTCCTAAGCAGAGACTGGCCCACAGTGATATCAATTTTATTGTATGCAGAATACAGAGGCAGGGTGGTCAGACACATGCAGGAAAACACTTGTTTTCGATGAAGTCTCCTTTTACTTTCTTCGTGTTCTGGTTCATTTATCTCTTTCTAATGTCCAAACTACTGTTTTTCCTATAATCAAGCCCCCGTGTGCTGCTACAGGGGAATGCCTAGTACAACTCGTCACACCACATAATGTAAGAATGAGGGTTTTAAATATTAGAAAGCAACCAGCTTGCACATAAGCAACCCTTCCGGGCAGTTCTGCTAAGATTACTGTGATACACAGTTCTGAAGCTGTTGCTCAGGAGTGATGCTTTCCCCCTTACACTGTAAGAAGTGTGAACGCTTGACTTAATACCTTTGGTGCAGAGAGTCCCGATCCAATATATGCTGTCCTCATGGTTGGTGTGTGAATTGAACGGGGAGGATGATCTGTAACCTGAACACAGTCCCCAAAGGATCAGTAAGATTATCAAGTACACACTATTAAGGGTAGCTTGAATAAAGTAAAAACACTACAATATTCCACCCACCCCATCCCCAAACGTAGGAAAGGGCTCAGAAAAATGACATGTAAGATTCATCTCCTAAATGTCAAAAATAATTTTACCTTAAACGTTTGACTGAATGTTTTATAATGCAAAATAATCACGGAGTTAAATTTCTTAATAGTGAAAGGGGATACATTATGATAGTTGCAGAGCTGGCTAACATTTTGTATTGACAAGACTTTCAGCAGGACTCCAAAGTCTTCTCTTACAAACTACAGTGTAACATTATCTTTGTGACAACATTTCTTCATTATTCATGACTGAGGATATGTTATGAAGAGAGACTGTATCTGATAACTGATACAACACAGTTCCCATCCCTAACCAATCAGCTATACGTGAATGTGAAATGCCACATTCCCCAAAATACAGTTCACTACTAGTGCAGAAGACTATTACAAGGCTATTACTAAATAGTCTTGCTGAAAAGGAGTGAGCTTCATTCTAAACAAAAGGATCTGCAGTGGCAATTTTTGTATGAGTGAAACTAGTATTCCTAAAAAACAAAAAGCAAGACAAAACTTTGTCAAGTCTGAGGTACCTCAATTGGTTCAATCTCACTAGCTGTAGAAGGAGACCTTGATCTTGAATGAAGGTGAGACTTGCTATCTTCATCCCGTGACGGAGTATTCGACAACGTAAAATTCTCAACTGAGTCAATCTAGGAGAACAAGTTGAGAGAAAAACAACAACCAAAAAAATAAATCAAAGACATCATTAAAAAAAGAATTCTCAACTCTTACCAAAACAAGATATGGGAGCAGTAGAATTCCTAAGAGAGAACTGGGAGAATAAAAAGTCAGTTTTAAGCAACTTCCTAATTAAAGGACAGAAATGCAACGGAAATTATTGAATATGAGAACACCAAGGCTTCTGCTAAGAGGTGAGCACATGCATAACAGCTGCTAGTGCAGGGGCCCAAGAAATACCCAATTCAGCATTTTAAATAGGTATTTTCTAAACACTACTGGGGTTTCTCCACTGGTGGTAGAGATTTTTTTAGAAGTGAATGCCCATATTGCCCATGTAAATCACTGCAAGCACGTTTAGAAGAAAATAAGGAGAAAAGGCAGAGCATACAACCCATTTCCTGAGGTTAGTGTTAATTATATTTGTGGAGAATCAAGGGGGTTTTTGTTCCCCACTTGAACTACAAAGACATCCTTACCAGGAATACAGCTTCTTCAGGGGAATATTTTCCTAGTCCTCGATATACAATGAAACTAAGCCCAACACAGAGCTTCACTGAACAAGAACGCAGATAGGTACAACCAGGTATCTTGGATAACAAGTCAGCTTTTGTCAGTGCAATTGGAAAGTCAGAGAATGCAAAGTTCTTCCTTGAAAATAAGGCATCTCCCCATCAAAGTTTTGTAGATCGATATATTTTAAAATAAAGTGTAATGAGACGAGGATGCTTTTCTCCACTAACAATAAAAGCATGAGGCTTACTGAAGGCTCCACTGTATGCATGGCTTTTCTGAAGTAATGCTACCATCAGCTCCCCATGGCTAAGGACTCGGCAGGCTTGCACACCAGCTAAAATATGCAGCAACATTTACAGAAAGCATTTGAACATTACAGTATTTTGGGGTTTTGTTGGGTTTTTTTATCTCATTTGCCATTGCCATCATACTAAAGATTCCACAAACTTTACTGCTTTGGGGGAATAAAATAAATTGCCAAGCCAATCTTACACATGCATATACAGCCCTGTTCTCCAGAAACTCAGTCATGGTAGTTAACAGGTGCAGTTGCTGGTTTTTTCTATTATCATTAATAGTCATATTATTAAAATAGGAGTGAGTTAAGTTTGATGGCTTCTATTTTTATCACAGCCTTCAAAAGAATGATCCGGTGGAGAATGCTCACCAGCTTAATCAACTCAGGCATATTAAGATGCCTGGAAGTATTTCTGTAAAGAAACCAGGAAATTCTCACCCTGGGATACACCTGTTTTCTACACATAGATGATGTGTTTCAAGCATTGAGGTAAGAACTAGCAGTAAAGCAACGATTCTGTGCTCAGGTTTATCAGAAGCAAACAGTAATTGCAAGCTTTATCCAGTGTTAGAAACACTGATGTCTTTAAGCAGTAAATCCCCAGACACATAACATTGTTCCAATTACTTTAAAGCTTTTTTTAATCAAGTCTAAACATCTGATAACTTGGGAGTCCAAGGACTGTTCAACCTCCAATAATTTGCCTTAACAGTGTTATTAAAAAATAAGCCCAATGAGTAACTACAGGCAAATTTCTCATAGCAAGAAACAGACATTCCTTTTCTTCTGCAAGTTAAACTCAGAGGTGCAATCTATCATCGCATAAATGTTTCCACATACTCCAAAGGCTTTCCCTTTCAAAGCAGCATCTGCATACCAAAGAATTTTCATGGTGTCTCTTAAAAAATTTAATACAAGCATGATAGAAATGACAGAACTCTTCTGGAATGTGCTACAAAGCCTTTGTGGTTAAAGACAACTGCTGAACCAGTAACAAACGTCTTTTTACTTTAGTTATGAACATAAAAAGCCCGTGAAACATACCAAACCTGATCTACCATTACAGAATTTGAAGGGATTTTAATCACCACCTTTACTGCAGAAACAGGGCCTTAAGCTGTGCTGCTGCAGTAATTTCCTGGTTCCTTGCTTTAATGAGAAGAACTTCATATAAAACCTGCCTCAAGTATGGCTAAAATCTTACATGGACTGTATTAACACCATTAAAATTAGTTTTAAACTAATTCACTGGATTATCAAAAGCGTACTTCAGTATTTCCTACCAAACTGTAATAGCCCTGTGAGCTTCCACAGCATCACCTGTATAGGTCTGAGACAAAGCCGGATGGTGTACAAACACATCTTGAGGAGAGACAAGCTTCAGAATGGGAGCCACAGCTGACAAAATGAAGCAGTTACTCTAAGTTTGTTGCCTGAGACACTGAGTGGTATGTGTTGAACTGGTCCTTATTAGAGCTGTTGGGCATTATTGCTTATTTATTGAATCTTCAATAGAAACACTTTTATGCTTCTCTATTCCTATCATCATACATGTCTAAAACACACAGAAGTGGCAGTACGAGTTTAAAACAGAGCATACCTGGTACGAATTCAGTCTGACAAAGCTTTGATAACACCACGCTTAACAATCCACCTTGATTTTTGAAACATCACAGAGCTTTCCAGCTTCACAGCTGTTTTCCTTGTATGAATTCTTCCTGCCATCCTTCATCCTCCAATTTGCTCAGTTCCCCACTTCCTATTTATATTTATCTCTGTACTGTGGGATTTTCTATCCTTTGCTATGACATGCCAAATGCCAGATTTCTACCTTCTACAGGCAATACCTATAACTCAACACCTGCCCTCTGCTAAGGGCAAGGAAACAAACAGGTCCTCATTTGACACTGACTCACCTGTCCAACCTGCATCTACCTGATCAGCTTTCATAAACAATTTTGATACTGAAATAAGAATGTACTAAATCATCTTCTCCAGTTACTGCGATATTCTGCTTATAGGATTCCCAAATTAAATACTCCAAAAGCTTTTAGCCCACAGCTGTAAAACAACAAAAAGCACAGCAGCAGCAGCAAACAGTAGCAGCAGCACAAGACATGCAGTGAGGGAAGTACACAATCCACACATTAAACAAAGGCATGTACACAACAGGCAAAAAATAAAGGGCCACATAGAGTAGGACAGCCTCTTACACGTCTGCCTTTGTTAGCTGGAGTACAGGAAGGAGAGCGCTTTAACAAAGAGAGGAGAATATGTTACAAAACCAAACAGTGACACATACATCAGCTCAGAATTGGTCACTCTACATCTCCAGAAGTAGTGCTTAGACACACACAGACATGTTCATTTTTACAAGGGTTCTGAAAACAAGATGTTCTGGGGCAACAAGTGGGAAAACACATCCGAAAAAAGAAAGGAACATTTGTTTTAAAGTGTAGTTTTGCACTGGACAACTGCAGATACATTAGACTAATAATATCAAATAATAGCATCTCTGTACTGTGAACAGGGTGAATAAAGCTATCTTTTGGAGGCACAATATACCCAATTGAAAGTATCACCAAGAACCAGAATTATTCTAAACTTAATTACAAATGTGCAGGTAGAGTCAGGGCTCTCACCACAGAACACCATGGCTTATTCTGTTTAATAATGAGAATTCAGAACATGATTTATTCTGTGCTTATTTACAAAGTTCAGATTTGTTTCATCTAGCCCAAGCCCATGGGGACTGCATGTGAGGAGAACCTGGAGGAGGATTTAAGACATGTGTTTTTAGTTTGTAATGGGTTGATAACAGGGGAAAAATAGTATCATCTAGCAAGTGGGGAAAATAATTTTGCCAAGGAAAAATGGGATCCCATTTTATTAAGTCCAAATTCATCTTTAAATAAAACAAGCTGATTGCTTCTGGTAGCTAGCAAGATACACAAGGCTCCACCCGGCAAGAAACCCAAATCAAATCCAACACTTCCATTATCAGACACTTGTAGTGAACACAGGAGACTGAACACCTAGACAACATTACTGAGAGACAGCCTGCAACACATGGGAGAAACAGCAGCAAAGATTTAGAAGTTAGTATATTAGAGTCCATGAGGGTGACTTTCCCTCCCCACCAAAATCAGAAACTAGGGACAGCAAAACCCATCCCTACTTCCCTTTGCACCCTACCATGCGCACAGGAGATATAATGAACACATGGACTTCCACGGCTATGACTGTTTAGGCACCAGTTCTGCCACCTCACCAAGTATCTTCTCCAGGAGGGATAGCTGTAACCAACAATGACTGCTATTCCTCTGGATAGTGAGATACCACTTCTCCTGCTCAGCATCTGCAGGCTACAGAGGTATCTATTTTTACTTTTCTCCAGTAGAAACTGCAAGACTACTGTTTTCCTCATAAAAAAATTGGAATTCACTCCAGCCATTCACAAAGTGCTATATACAGTTACGCTGTTTGGATGGCAGACATACAGGACATACCAATCCCAGTAATCTCCAAATGTCACCAACGGGCCAAAATCAGTGCTGCTTACACATCCACAGGGTAAACAGATCTGAGATCTTGCAAAGAGTGCTAGATAACTGCAACTGCATGTTACTCTGTCACTTCCTCATGAAACACAGACGCTGAAGGAACAATAAAGGCCATCAGTAAAATTTACTTGGCCCCTTGATTAGGAGAGGCTTTCCTGAAACCCATGCAATAGCGCAGCACTGTTTAAATCCTACCTGAGGACTTCTAATTCTTCCTTAGCCTTAATGTAAGGCGCTAGCACAGGGTGCCCAGAGAAGCTGTGGCTGCCCCATCTCTGGCAGTGTTCAAGGCCAGGTTGGACAGGGCTTGGAGCAGTCTGGCCTGTTGGAAGGTGTCCCTGCCCATGGCAGGGGGTTGGAACTGGATGAGCTTTAAGGTCCCTTCCAACCCAAACTGTTTTATGATTCTATGATTCTCAGGTTTAACTGAGCACAGATTAATTCTTCTCGAGATGCTGCAAGAAACACTGACCTTCAATGTAACTACTGCCAAAAAGAGACAATGGAAAGGGAATGGAGGTCAAATTCAGTGGGAATGGATTTTTAAAACCCTTATTTTCATTTAAGTGTGCCAAATATTTTTATATTGAACCAACTCAATGAGCTAAACATAAATTAACCAGTAATTTTGATGATTCAGTTACAAATTTCTCTATGAATGACTCAAGTAACTGTCCAATACTTGAAAGATGCAGAGCTGACTTCAAGCACAACTGCATTAAGGCACTTTTCGCCTACTAACACCTACATCAGCTTTATTTACCTAATAAAGACAGGTAGCTCAACAAGCCTTGTATTTGCCTGCATAGTACCCTTTCCCATCTTTGAACAGTCAAATCCCTTCTTCTGCCATTTTAGTAGATGAGATACAATTCTGCCCTGGTGTTAAGAGATGTTAGCCCCTGGCCAGCCCAGTCCAGAAATGCACCTGTGCCCAAGGCAACTAAGGAAAACCTGCTCCTGTTGGACTCAGACTGAAGATGTAACAGCGAAAGTTTGATTCTGTGTGTTCGAAGTCATCCACACGCAACAGTATAGCCATTAATACCTGGAGTTTTACCTAAAAGATGGGTATTTGAAAAGATTTGACCTGGGTGGACTGATGAAGAAGAATGTCTCAATAAATACACAATAAAGCACTGATGTCCCTCAAAATTAACCAGATAGCAATCAGGAAAGCTTTCTTTTCCTCATTTTCCTCTTGTAAAACAGAACATTATCAGTTCCTCTGCCATGTATATACTTTATTTCTCTTTTATCAGGTTTTAGGAGAGGGTATTAGGTATTTTTAAAAGTAACTTTCTATGAAATAACCTGTTGCTACACACTAAGTGTTCTTAATACTCAGGCAACATAGAGAACACTTCTTTAACCCCCATAAAGTTATAAATATTATTCATTTATTGTAGATTTAATGTGACAGGAAACTAATTGTGGTTTTGGGTTTTTTTTTGGTGTAAGATGGAGTTTTCTGTATGCTTTGCAAAAATACAGGCAAATAGTCCCTGCTGCAGTACCCAAGATGTACCTTCACATTTTGGCTAAGGAATATATCTGATCTAGGGGGAAAAAAAGCATCTAGAAGAAAAGCATTCTTTCAGTGTTTGTGCAAGGTAATGCCACTAACACAACAGGCCCATGCACTATATACCTTCCCTGTTACACCCCTCACAGCAGCCATTTCTAGAATAAATTTCATTATATTTTAATGCAGACAGGACTATAGTATTTTATATATAAATGTGTATACACATATATAGAAGCACACACAGACATACACAATATACCTGTAGAGCTGTAATGGATGGTTCTCTACTATACATGCATTGCATATACTCTGATTTTAATAAACTTATTATTATTTACTTCTATGTGCCTACTGCTTCAGCCTGGAAGAAATATAATGCAGTCAAGTTTTCAGCTTTAAACTCAATTCCCTTATTATGCAACTAACTAGGATAAATACTGAACAGTCTCCTGACAAAAAACTAGCATCTCAAGTGGCAATGAAAAGCAGTAAGTTCACTTCAGTTATAATGAAGTTATATTTTAGCCTATATTCTTACAACATAAGCTAAAAAAAGAGATTTTCTTTATTTGAGCAAACAGAAATTAACTGTATGCAAGGAAAATGTTTTCACTAAAGTGATCAGAAAACTACTGGAAACAACTGATGATAAAGTAATAATACGAAGCAATAGAACTAAATTTAATCAACATGCCGGGGGTTTTAGAACCATTTCCCACAGGCCATATCAGTAGATAAGGCCCAAAAGCAGCTGCTCCCCATTAGAAAAACTGATTGTAAATAATAATTCTTCACCTTAACCTACAGAAAAACATTTACTTTAAAATCTAACATCTGTCTATATAAATAGGTGTAAGTATGCTATTTTAGGAAGTCTGTTCTCTACTGCACTTGCAGATTTAAATTGACTGCATTAATGTTTGACTATTCCAAATCAAACAACTGCTCTCTTATTGGGGGATTTACTGGTTTAAAAGTCAGACTTACGTCATCCATAAAATCAATCAATGAGGATGAAGAGGAGGAAAAGGAATCCTATTTTAATGAAAACAGCAGTAAAAAAAAAAAGAGAGAGAAAGACAGAGATGGATGAAGAAAACTGTTCAGTATAAATAAAAGTGCAAGACTAAAGAACTGTAAATAACTAGTGCCAGTAACAGATACATCAGTAAGTTGCCATTAATTGCCTTTCACAGACAATTAATAAACTACCTGTATAAACCCCAATGTTTTTCCAGCATTCTTTCAATAAAATAATATTCGTGCACTCCAACAGGAGTTTTATCTTGAAAGTAACTTGTAAGAGAAGTAATTCAAAAGCAAATAAAAAATGGTATTAATGTGAGGACTTCAAGAGAGAACAATGAATTAATGAATGTGTAATGAAAAGAAAATAAATCTGGGGACATGAGTAACATCAGGGATTATGCTTGTTCATGTGATGACCTTGTAAACCCATCACGAAAAACACAGGGGGGAATTTTAGACCAGTGTGTAACTGTACAGGTGCCTTGTCCCCTCTGAAGTCACTTCGACCAATATTTCACCCCAGCTGTTCTTTTCAGATAAAAACAGTGCGTTGCTTACTGTTGATTAAAAACAGAAGATTGGAAATGTACAGTGTCATTTCAAGTTTTTTCTTCCAGGTTTTCTACCTAAAGGGGCTTTTTGTCTAGAACTGGCAAAGGAATTATACAGATTTATTTTTAAGTATTTAGGATCTGTGGGGAGGAGATGCATATTAATTATCTGGATTTTACAGATCTGTGTAAAACGAATAGAAAATGAAAACTATCTGATAAATACATGGTACCAAGGACTTCACAGAATACACCCAAGGATTATTTATGTGTTTTCTCTCATTTTTACGAAGCCCATATCTGCAGTACTTAGCATTTTTCTAAATACAAAGAAAAGCCATTTCAACAACTACACTTTCCATGTTCACTACAAAACCAGGAGAATTTCTGCAGCCAAGGTTTGAGAGAGAAATCACCATGATCACCAGTGTTCAAGAGAAGACAGCCAGCACTGTAAATGACAATTCTCACATATTATTACACACAAATATAAATGGAGCAATATGGCAAAACCAGTAGCAAACTCTCAGTAAATGTGCATATAACCTGCACGTAACAGCAGTAGCTCCACTGACTAACAGAGAGTTAGAATAGCTGTACACTTACTTCAAATTGATCCAGAGCAGAGGTAGGCGCATTCAAAAATGCCAAGAAAGAATTCTGTGAGTCTTGGTGCTTTACACCTAGAAAACAGCAGCAGGTTTTTAAGCTACAGAAAAATGACCTTTTCATGGAGGACCTTTGCCTTGCTGAATCAGGCTCTGAGTATCCACCTGAACCACCTACATTTTTTGAAGTGAGTTGTCACATTTGGTCTGGTTTCCAGAGTAAGAGTTTTTTAACAGATGTGCATGCCCTAAGCAAGCAGCCTGTGTTTAATTAATGTTTTCTAAGGTAGGATATGCGTGGTGCGAATTCAACATGAAAACATACTGTAAGCACCTGTCTGTTACACAGAAGGTACAGATTCCTTATGTGCAACAAGCAGTGCATGACACACTGGCACAGAGGCTAACACCATGGATGTCACCCAGCTCTAGTCACACGCTGGACAGCCTATGGTAACAGGATGGCTGTAGCCAACAGTGAGGTTCCACAGCAATGCACAGAACATGGTTGGAGAATATACTGCATTCACAAATAATACAGGTTCCTTGATCCATGCTCCATGCATGCCTGCTACCTCTCACTTTCGAATGTCCAGGAGTAATACAATCCTGGGCAAGCTTCAAATGTCTCTGTCAAGATACACCACGTCCATGGTTTTCAGCCAGTAAGCAGAGCAGGAATGCTGCACCCTCCAGAGCTGCAGAGGCTGGCACACCTTGATTGTTATTTTAACTTGCTCCAACTGATATATTTCTTTTTATTTCTCCTTTTCTTTGGGGCATAATATCAAGTTGCTATGTGGGTGTTCCTAAATCACAGATGTGTACAAACTCTAGCTCCCTGATGTGAGTATATAAATATTACATGTATATACACATACACACATATATTTATACTTATTATGACCAGAGCCTCCAGGACTGTGCGCATCTCCAAAGACTGATGCTATCAAAGGACACTTATCTTAGAAAATCTCAGTGTTTTGCTCTTACTAGATGTATCACCTTGTTTGTTCTAAATAAAACCCACAGTGAACAAAGAGTTACAAAGAACCCTTTCCTCTTCAAAACATAAATACACTGAAATCCCACTAAAATACTAAAAACAATTCTCAAATTACCTGCTGCTTTACAGAATCTTTTTTTTAGTAATTTTTTTTCCCCCCATCCTTCTAAATTTTTGGAAATCATTTATAAAGAGCAATGGATTCAAGTGCTAATCTAAGTAATCCCTTCCTAGAAATCAATTCCCACACACAAGAAGCTACTCTACCACTGTACATTGACTAAATCTGAATCCTCCATACAGTTCATAATTCAAACATCAATATTTATTCTTATAAGAGAAAACCAAGCCCAAAGAGGATAAGGATTTTGGATTAAGGTGTATTTCTAAAAATAATATTTGAATAGTTGCAGTAGAATCTTATTAATTTACTTCTGGCAAAAAGTGTAATAAGTTAACTGTTCCTTAAACAGCACATTTTCTTTCTTTTCTTTAGGAAAAGAGTAAAAGTTTATCTCCATTTTCACAAAAAAACAGTAAGGTCTCAAACACTAGAAAAAATACAGCATAAAATATTAATTATAAATTCTTAACACATTGCTTAACACAAAGGAAGACTTCAGAAGTTGAGTAGCCATGCAGAATATTTAAGACAGTTCAAGAATCTGTAAAGTGAAAGCTGTTGTCTCCAGGGAGATGCTATCAAGAGTTCCTCTCCAAGGACTTGGAAAAAGCACAATCCTGGTATCAGTGCTAAGCATCAAGATGAACAAGTATCAGTTCCCTCAGTCTTATTTGCTTATTGGCATCAGTCATTTTTTAATGTTATGTATAGGTCTGTATTATTTTTACCAGTCAACCAGCACTTGGAGGCTGAATATAGGAGATGAATGTACAATACATTATTGACTGACATGCTCTTAGGTTGCAGAGGCTGAAGAGTATTTGGCATCCCTATGCAGCAATTGTTGCAGGGTTTTGAAACTCTGGAGTTCAAACAGCTCCCTGCTGAAAATTAGGTAATTCCATTTGGCCTGAAAAATCACTTCTTCCCATGTGACTCATAAGATTCAAAGAACACAGCTACTGGAAAGAATCAGCCAAATCATTTATCATCTCGTAATGAATTCTTTTTTCATTTCAGAATTACCAAAAAGTCTTTTCTCCCAGCAACAATGCGAAATACTGTTAAGACAGATGCACTAGAAAACCCAGAACATACTCTTAAAACCACAGCAAAGCAAACACGACCACACTGCTCACTGCGTGGTTACAATGCCAATCAACAAAAGTCACCCCACAAAACAAATAAAAGCTATGAATGCCTCGGCCATTGTCTACTCCCTGTGCAGACAGGCCCCAAGCTTCCATAAAACACCACTATGGTCAGTATTGAAGTCTGACTACCTTCACCCATGGTAAAGGGGGAAAAAAATTGTATCTGTACTTGTAACAGTTTTCTGGCACCACACGTATGCCAAACAAAAACAATGCAATTCCAATTCAAATAATAGCTTCCTGGTTCAAGCTTATCAACAAGCCCGAAATGCAATACAAGTACGTGTTAAAAATGCAAATGCAACTGCTGTGGGTACATCTTAACATGCAATTGTTGTGCTCACATTTTGTATGCCAAAGTCTGTCAGTACCATATTCTACTTGCAAGGTGACAACTGATAAGATGTACCCACCAAAGTGAAACATGTTATTTACTTGGATATCAGTTGCCATACCCTTTTCTGATCTAAGCTCTTCTGTCTCCTTTTTCAGCCTTTCAATATCTGTCAACAGCTCCATGTTCTTCTTCTCGGCTTCTTGCAATTTACTTCAAAAGAATACAAACAAAAAAACCATGTAAATATTGAGAACCCACGATACAAGTCACTTTTTTTTGTCTACAGAATCACAGAATGGATTGGAAAGGAGCTTAAGATCCAACCCCCTGCCATGGGCAGAGACCCCTCACACTAGACCATGTCACTCAAGGCTCTGTCCAGCCTGGCCTTGAGCACTGCCAGGGATGGAGCATTTACCACTTCTCTGGGCAACCTGTGCCAGTGCCTCACCAGCCTCACAGTAAAGAACTTCTTCCTTATATCTGTCCTGAACTTCTGTTTTAGTTTAAACCCATTCCCCCTTGTCCTATCACTACAGTCCATCTTTGCATGCTATTTAAAAATTAATGCTCAGCAAGCTTCTGGATGTCATCAAATGCAGAATGAATTCAGAAATCTATTGGGACCTGTTTAGTATGGTATTTAAAAAACCCAAGCCAACATAAAAAGCAATTAATTGCCCCTGTTTACTCATTAGATAGGCTCATGTTTCTAATTAAAGAGTAATTTTGTATCCTGTGAATGAGAAAAAAAGACCACATGTTATTTTATGCTTAAAACTGTTGTTTTTTTTAATTTGTTAATTCACAGTGCCTGTGATTCTCATAGATGATATTGCACTATTTTAGTTCTCAGTTACTTCATAGGTAGCTGTCCCAGTGCTTGCTGATTCACAGTCAACAGGTAACACATTTGTACCACACTTCTCATCTTGTCTACCAAAGGAAACATCCTGTTAGAGGATCTACAGTGCTGCCCATCATGTTATGTGACCTGAAAAACATCCAGGTCAGGTGGACATGGTATTCCCACTTTAGAGACAACGTATTTGAATCTCAGCTCTGTCCAGCTGAGAGCAACTGAAAGTTTGCAACTTTTCTGAAGTTGCAAAACAAGTCAATCGCTCTAAGCTATATTGAACCTGGAAACCTAGAAATGGAATGTCTTCCCACTAATCCCTGCTTTAGGCATTCACCTAAATGAAGTCTAAAAAGGGGGGGAGGATGTGTCTGAGGAAGGCATACAAGAATTCATAACCTTCCATAACCACATCTTATTACTGTGCAAATCTCTATGCAAGAGTTGATTTTTGTCAGCTAACCCAATGAAGCTATCAACAGAATGGAAGAGAGTATGTTAAAGACGCAAAAGCAAACTCTGCTTGCATTAGAACTTAACACAACTAGGAGAGATTGTATTATTAAACTGTCCCCTCTGAAAAGTCTTCAATATGGGTGAACAGTGTGCAGCTGCAGCAAGCCAAGGATGCTGGGTTACATCAACAAGGGCACCACCACCAGAGATTAAGAAGTCATTATCCCACTCTACTCTGCACTTTCCAAACCACAACTAGAATACTGAGTTCAGTTTCGGTCCCCACTATTCAAAAAGAAGATGTGGACAGGCTGGAGAGGGTTCAGAGAAGGGCTACAAAGATGATCCAAGAACTGGGAACCTGCTTTGTGAGGAAAGCCTGAGAACTGGGTTTGTTCAGCCTGGAGAAAAGAATACTCAGGACAGACTTCATCACCATGTGCCAGTACTTAAAGGGTGGCTACAAGGAAGATGGGAGACTCCCTTTTTACATGGAGAAGACGAGGGATGATGATGGGCACAAGTTACTCCTGAGGAGATTCTGATCAGATACAAGAGAAAAATTTTTCACGATGAAAACAACCAGCCATTGGAATAATCTCTCCAGGGAAGTGGTGGATTCCCCAACACTGGACTTTTTTAAGATGCAGCTGGACAGGACACTGGAACATCTAGTCTAGGTCATGCCATGCCTAGAAAGCTTGGACCAGATGATCTGTTCCAGTCTGGTATTCAGCTGCTTACACCATAAAGAGACGTGGTCTTTTTTTCACATTCGGATGTAAGGAACTGGCACATCATTCATTATCAAATTTTGACAGACAAGATAAAAAAAAAAAAAAAAAAAATCAAGATTTGATGACACTCCCTAGGAGGTATCACAGTAAATTTCCATCAGAACAATTCAGTCTTACCATTCTGTAGATATACAGGAAGCTTTGACTTTGTTCAACTCATCCTGAATAGCCTGTTTGGCTCGGATTTCAGCATCGAGAGCAGACTGTAGTTCCAACCTCGCAGACATATCCAGTTTTGCAAAGCGGCGCATCTTCCATGGCATGTCCTAACAAAGAATAATAAAAGGGAAAAGAAAGGCTAAGAGGAAGGAAAGCTGAAACTGAGGAATAGAACTAACTTCAAACAATTACATTTCTGTCTATTAGGTTCTTAATGTCAGAGTTCATTAATTTCAAAGTAATCTAAAAAAAAAAAAGAATTGTTACTAGCAGTATTATTTTTAAACTCAAGTATTAGATGGCAAAATGAACATCTTACACTGTTATGATCCTAAAACCACTGTGAATTCTAGTTTGGATGTGCCTCAATTCATATGACAGCTATGAAGGACATTCACATTTCACAAGACTAAGTTTTTCACTACCCAAAGTATAGATTTACTTCAACAAATTCATATATGATTATAAACCAGCTACTTCAACAACAACATAGATAAAATCACATTATAAAGATGTTGGTGTTTAATTCATTGATAAACAATAAATTTGCTATTCAGTTATTCAGAAGGGAAGCTCTGGAAAAGTCTAACTTTTGACTAACACAGGCTCTACTGACAGGTAAAAATTGCAGCTGAAACTATCAAATTAGTGTTTTTACAAACAAAATCCCCTGACATATAGAAATATTCTTACTGTAGCTCTTGCACCCAAACTGGAGTTCCTCAGTGCCTCTAGCTCTTCTGTCATTTTAGAGGCCAAGGCTTGAAGATAACCTCGAGCGTCTTTTTCATCACTTACCCTAAACAATTACAGAAGAAAAGGGTGTTTTAAAAAGGAATTGAAAGGAAAAAGTAATCCACAAATCCCTTCAACAAAATAGCAACCAGAAACACAAACTAGCAGAATACAAAACAAAAAGCATAAAGCATAAAGAAACAAAAAAAATGTACTAAGAAGAAAACCACACAGAACTAAACCTTTATGGCTTTGCAAACATCCAATAAAAATATCCATCTTTAAGAGAAGGAATAAAGATTAAAGAACTATGTATCTAAGAAAGCAATATATGTCTCAGTATAATACAGTATTGGAACTAGAGGTTTGCTTTACTGTATCAACTGACTATGAGAACTAGTAGAATCAGTGATATTGTTTCAAGAAATGATAATTAAAGGGAAAGAATATAAGTCCATTGTTATTAAACAACATAAGCCCGAAGAGGCTCTCTGAGCTTGCTTTCTATCAAGGTGTGTTTTCTGGGTGTGAAGACATCAAGGAGGAGATGTGTCTGGTTTTGAGATTCTTCCACCATCAGTTACAAAGAGGAAAAAAAGACTTTGTGATTAATGACAGCAGAAGGATCTTTCTTTACTTTGCCTCAGGTTTTAACATAGAAAAGGAAGTTGCCAAAAAATTATGTCACTGAAAACTAAGTAGCTTATGAAAAACTTTACCCAAACAGACACACACACACCCCTAGTTCCTTTCGCCTCACATGCCAGGCTCTGGACACACTCATCTAACCCACAGAAGAACAGACACAGCTCTGCAACACCAGGGTACACCCAAGTCTCTGAGCTGGTCCTGAAGACAAGCAGTCTAATACCACAGCTTGATCGCAGTTAGATCTGTCAGCACTAACCACAGAAATGTTTAGGATGTGCTCTAAGTAATGAGCATCTAATAGTTTAAAATAACAGAGGAATGTGGGAAAATAATATTTCTATTTAACAGAAATTAACTTTTCCTTGCTTTCCTTCATAGCTGTAATTCTGTTGGAGTGATTCCCCTTCCCAACATCAGTTTCTCTAGTTGATGCTACGGACTTCATGCACACAATGAATATGGAAATGGTTCTACTTGCAAGTTTACCATTAATAAATAAACTCAGTATTTCAACAAAGATTTAGAGACTAGGAGGCAAGAAAGACAGAGAGCACACACTCTGAACCGCCACGGGGAGGAACAGAAGGACTTTCCCACAGTGACTTTATGGCAAGATCTTAATGCAAAAGCAATGGACTAAACAGCTACGGGTTGTACTCACTTCTGGCTGAGCAGTCTGAAGTTTACATAAGAAAAATTGCTTTAATACGGAGGAGGCTAATGCAAAAATAGCGACCACAAAACTCACACTCAACATGAAAAACTAAGCACTTATTCATGCTTTGGCCTTTATCTGCTTTGCCTCCTGCTTGTAATTTAGCTCAAGAGATAGGGAAGAGACTGGAAAAGAACACAACTTTATTAAAGTCAGGGAGAGTTTTGATATTAATGAGTCACTATTTTTCCCAAGGTATACTAGAACTCAATGGAAGCAGCACTCCAACTTCTTTTCCCATAATAGGCTGGATACATTGCAATGACTAGATATAGATAAACTTGGCCTATACAAACTATTTAGCGTATAAGAGTGGGCAAAAGATGTGAGGAAATAGCACTGAGATGCTTGGGGGGGGGGGGTGGAAGGTGCGTAATACATAGTAAAAACAAAAGAGTGTAATGTAAGCAGGAGTAAAAGGAATGTGACGCTCTCAAGGCAAGAAAGTAAGTGATGTAGAAGGAACAAAAAGTGATGTAGGAATCAGCATTTATCTTCGTTTTTAATGCGTAAAAACTTTGAGGAAAAAGGGGATAATGTCAGATTAAATTGATTTGGAGTCTTATTCTTTTAACTTTTCTCACTAAAGCTGACAAACTTTCAATGTCCAATTTCTTTGTCAAGTTTTAGCATGCCATATAGATCCTTCTTTATAGAAGGTAAGGAAACATTTCAGTTATTTGGTCTATGATGTACAGAACCTCCAGGCTCTGAATGCTGAAAAGCTGCACATGGAAAAACCTCAGAAAGATGCTTCACAGAACATGTGAAAAACTAGAAAATGAAAAGATAAAGTCAATGTTTTGCAGAAATCTATCCCGAGTTCAAGGAACCTCCTCAGACTTCGGAAGACACTAAACAGCACTACAAATTGGAGGAGATAGTTTTGTTGTCCACTAGATGGCAAAATTCCCTCGATAATGACTAGTGATTAAAGGCATGTTTGCAAACATTGATGTGAAATGCCTTGCGTGAACCAAGGAGTCTTGTAGATTTCTGATTTCCTACTGTTTTGCTGGGTTGCTTTTGTTTGCTTGGCTTTAAAAACAAACAAAAAACCAGAGCAAGAATGGTAAAGTTACTCTTACTAATGTTTCTCTTCGTGCCCCACTTCCTGGGGACAGCCCTACCAAGCACAACAAAAGACCTAAGGCAGAAAAAGTTCTTCAGGTTCCACAGAGTCAACTTTGTTTACTGAAAATTTAGCTGAGGTTAACTGTTCTGTTTTCATATGTAACAGAAGTGCCCTTGCAAGCTTAGCTCATTAACTATAACGAACCGACAACAGCCACATCGTACAAATTCCTGTCACATTAAATTCAACTGTTTGGTTGGAGCTAACACCGTGACAACCTTCGAATAAGCACTAATACCTAGTTGCTATTTGTCAGGCTGCTCAGAAACTTAAGACTCTCCAGGTCTCTGTCTCCTACTTTACAATACAATACGGACCCAGAAGCCTAAACGGTTTTGCTGAACAGGAGTGGTCTTAAAGCCCTAGGGTCTTAGGCCAAGCTGCATCTTACCTGATTTAAAACCACTAAGGAAGTTCAAGAGCCATCACTCCCAGTTCTCCTGGTTTCTCTATGCTTTTAAATTTGTCTTTGTATCACTATGCTCAAACCCTGCATCTTTTTTCTTCCCCCCAACTCTCCTCAACAAAATGTGGATTTCAAGCTGCTTCTCTAAGAAGTTTCAACACTTCCCTCTGCTCCCAAACACTGACATTTCCCACTGCCCTCCTGAATTTCTATTTCATAGATACTAAACTTCTGATTATTCACACCACAAGCATGATGCATCTCAGGATTTTTCATGTTTTGAGTTTCTTACAGTTGAATTTTCCCAAAGTTTTTGCTAATCCTCTTCCCCAATTTGTGTGTGCTTTCTCCTGAGAGCCACCCAGCTGAATCTAAGCCTAACATCCACTAGGTAAATTAGGTAGGATTTAGCTCATCCATATAAACATACTCAACAATACAGTTATTCATTTGAACTAGTTGCCTAGGCTTCGTTTTCAATCAATGGGGAGAAAAAGTGATTTCTAAAGTACTACTAATGGGATTTATTTGTCTGCCTTAGGACTTCTAGAACAAGGTTACATGAATCCCTCCTAGAAAGACTCGTAAGATTCTTGCCAAGTACAATGGGAATCACTACCAAGATTTCCATCGACCTCCTTTCTGCAGCAGAACAGAAATACGGTAGCATGGCTATTTAAAGGATTCTTTTTTGAAGAGACTGCATGAAACTCCCATGCAATCAATCTCTTTCCCATCTCCCAAAGGAAAATTTATAGCTGACAATAAAAGCCTCAATACTTCTTACTCTTGTCAAGGAATGATGAATGATTTGGCTAATATAAATTGTCAATATAATAGCTCCATTAAGGCTGAATGATCTGTGAGGGTCTGTTGCTACCATATTAGAATTTGCAATGACAGTTTGATTCAAGTGTTTGTATCAAAATCTGGCTGTATTTATAGAATCTTGGTATAATAACAGCAAAAATAAAAAGGCTTTTGTACATTTGCCCTAAAAAGATTCAAAGAGCACAGCAAGAAAGCAGGAAAAAGCTAAAGGGAACATAATAGGCCATCCAAGTAACTCACAAGTTATAAAATCTAAAGGAAATAATGATTTAAAAGGGTGCAAGGAGTCATGAAGAAAGTGACAATCTTAACCACCCAAAATGTGCATTCGAACAGGGGACAGATTTCCTGAGAGAGATATCTGTTAGATGGCAAAGCAATCAAAGAACATATGGGACTCCTCGGGCTTGAGTTACTCACAACAGGACTACACCAAATCCCTCAAACTACCATGGGCAGCTGAACAAACTGTTTACAAACCCAGTAATTAAGTCCATCTACTGCCTCCCATCCTTCATAAATCTTGGTACAAAACGATGATGGTGGCCAAACCCCAAGAGGTGGAAAGTATGCACCCCAAATCCCTATCTTAAGGTAGTATCATGTGAATAATCTGTCAGTTTTGAAGAGGGAGCCTAAAAGCTTTCCCCCACTTTGTTAGCACCAAAGCATTCTGTTATCATGCTGAAGAGGTGGGCAGGTACAGATTAAAACTGTGCATTCTTCTGAAGAAAATAGGGCTTGTGAAAGGTTAAAGAAGACTAATTTTCTTTTTTTCTCCTTTAAAAAATGTTTATCATTATTATAGATGTTTAAATACTTGATATAGCATCCCATGTTCACAGTAAAAAAAATCCCCAGAAAAGGACCTGCTTTCAGTATGCAGTGCTGAATTCTACGGCCAGCAGAAGGACATGACCAGATTACCCGGGTAACAAATAGAAAACCTAAACATAATGAGAAAAAAATATGTGAGTCAAGCTAAGGCCTCACATTGCTGAAAAACGTTAACATCAGCAGAGAGAAGTATGGAGAGCAAGTATTGGGATGTGTTATCGTGATTAGGAACTGGAACCAAGCCACATCTTTTTAATCTCTTGCAAGTCTGCTCACAGTACTATCTTTTTTTTTCCTCTTTTTATAGAATTGCTTAATTTTTAGTTCCATACTTAAAAAAAAACAAAAAAACAACATTATATCATCATAAGGGATCAGTAAAATGGTATTTCATTCAGAAAGTTAGTCTTGCGTGTACCTGATTGGTTTCATTAGGTATCTTCAGAGATACAAAACACTCATACCTCTTTTACCCCCACAGCCACATCTCTAATACATGCGAGATCCTTTATCGCAAGCCTAAACCACATCAGTAGCACATCTTAAAATATTAAACACACTCATAAATTGGAGCAGGGACATTCTTAATGGCTGTTGGTATGTTTTTACATAGTGTTAAGTAATTCAGACTTGGCTTTTGCCAGAACTGCCAAGTTTCAGGAGGACTTTCACATTTAAATCTGAAAAATGGGGTTTGGTTACCTTGGTGCATTAAGAACGATAAGCTTTACCTTATTACAATATGGAATGTGAAGTAATAGACTTGTCTGTCTTGTTACCTTGATTTTTTTTCCCCAAATAAACATTTCTGATTATCTAGAAATTAACTGGTCATTTAAACAACTTTTATGCATTTTTTATTTCCGTGATGCCATCTACTATACTCAGCTATGAGAGATAAGATTGAAAAGGAATATGCACAAAGTGGACCCTGTACATTTGTTAACCTCTGCTAGAAATATAATGGCCTGAGACGCTATGGACTTCATAGCACAGATTGGCATTACATACTTCATGTTACAATCACTGCTTAAAACACTTCAAGAAGCCCAGAGGGTAGCCCTTCTTTCCTGTTACATATTCACATGGCAATATGCAAAAACCAAATTTCTATGATACTGACATTACAAAAATACCAAACAGTTTCATTATAGGAAACGTTTCCCATTTTGGCTTTGACACAACAAATTAGATCTTTTTACTAACATGAGATGAGAATAATGGGGGGGGAATAACCAAGTAGTAATCCAAAAAAAAAGATGACTATATGATGATGAAATCTTCCCAGAAGTGGGTAATCTGTAAAGAAAGTATGTGGATGAAAACTGGTTTTGTAGATGCTAAACACTGCAACAGACCATAAAAGGGAGGAGAGAGAAGCAGGCATGGAGAGGAAAAATAAAAGACCACCTAGATAAAACAATCTTTTTCTCCGAATAGTTTCAACTTGGCTTTTTGGTCCTTGATTTATTAGAACTGCCCAGAAGACTTTAGAAACATAACGTCACTATTTATTTGTGGTAGTCTCAAATGCCCTCCTTGTAAAAAAACCCATCACATAAAAGTTGCACTGTATTTGTTTCATTCTGCCACATGACAAGCAGATGAAGGAAATTAATGCCGAGACACAAGCACTCAGCCACTGCTTTTCCCAGGCTTGTTCCCTCTCCGAGGCGTGAGCCCAGCACATGATCCTTCCAGCATTCTTCCAAACCCACAAGCCACACCCAATGGCCGTGATTCTTCTGTACTTAAAGAAGTTGTGTTTGGTTAGACACTTTCACTCTTAAGGAGGATTTAGGTATTATTAAAATCTCATGGAAAAATACAGCACAATCCAGGCCGGTTGTAAGATTTTACCTACGCGCTTCCAAGTGCCACGTGCAAAGGTGAAAACTAAGTAACAGCCCTACCACATCCTGAGGGGATTCTGCAGTGACATTAGAGCAGAGGACTCACCACTGGATGATCTCAGTGATTTGGGCCTCCCAGTGGGCCACGGACTCCTTTTTATCAGCCAGATCTCTCATCTCTTCTTCCAGCTGCCGGTTATTCATACTCAGCCTCTCAAACATGGCAGTGAGCTGAATGAGAATTTGAACAACTTGTTAAAGGTATAAGCTGCTGTGATTCCAGCTTTGCAGACTCAAACCCATGTGGTCCTCTCACTCACAATGCTTTAGAAACTGATACTACCCATCACGATAAACACTATGCAACAAAAAAAGCCAGAATCTCTCCTTATGTATGACCTTAGCTGTGCTGCAAGACCACCTTTAAGGACTAGAACTGCATTTTTACTCTAATTAATTAGTTTTCTGAGAATTAGTCTCTAAATACCTCCAGAACTCTTAGGAGGTTTCTGCTTTGCAGCATATAGGTGTGGAATGTTCTAGATGAAAAAACCTACACTGTAAGGGCAAAGCAAGGGCACAAAAATTGTTATAGTTCAGATAAAGCTGCCAAACCTCTCCCTTGTTTAGTAACCATGGAGAATGAGAGGCTTAACAGATACAGGCATGAGTCAGTCCTGAGATTCTCCAGGTGTCTCACATTCCCCTCTTTTTTTCATTTTACTTACTTGCAGTCAGGGAAATTGAAATTAAATGCACATCTGTAAGTACAATATGTTATACCCAACAATTAACCTCTCACATTCACAGAGCTGTCATTCATACATGCACATTCTGCAAGACAAAGCCACAGCTAACCTGGCTTGGTATGGGGAACTAAACCTTCATTGCATTAAATGGCTATTCCGAAAGTCAAACTGGAATCAGAGATCAGACAGACTTTACAGGAAGCCCTGCTTAGGATAATGGCTCTCAAGTAAAAAGCTTCCTTTAGTACTGAAATACATTAACAAATTGAAGTGGTGAAAAAAATATCAGTTTCAAATCTCTTCTGCTTTTTACTCCAAAGTACTCTACTCCATACTTATTTAAATGGACTTACAATTTAAATATGACTGACACTAAGCATTAAAACTATTGAAGTGACAGATCTCTTACTGCTCTTCGACTAAGCCTACATACAGGCAAAGCATGTGTCTTATAGTGGTATGAAAACAGGATTCAATTTGAAGGCTGGCATGCACACATGCTTACTTTGAAGAACATTCTACTTTCATCATATTTTTAGAAAACCTAATATATTACAAAAAGAATAGACTAGTTTAGCAAAGCTTAGCTAATCCACAATGAACTTGAACAACCTGTCAAAATGAACAATAAAGAGATAATCTAAATGCACGAAACGATTTTTCCTTGCTCAACAGACTTCAATTAATATGCTTTATCATTTGTATCTTTTTAATATCTCAAGGTAACACTTCATCTCAATGGATGGGAGGGCCCTGCTTTTTCACAGTAATTGACATGCAGATATACCCTAAGTAACCACATCATTAACTATGTATTTTTATGTTGGGGTCATACAATGAAATAAATCACCTTTTTTTCTTGGCTTAAGGTATTGACTAAGATGAATCTTACTAAACTGTAAGAGCATCTAACTCAATTCCTTCACACAAATACACATACATGCACATATATATATATATGCACACATTCTCAAGTTCTAAATGCTCCAACCCTGACAGTGCTCAAGGCCAGGCTGGACAGAGCCTTGGGCGACATGGTCTAGTATATGCTGTCCCTGCCCCTCTGCAGTGGGTTGTAACTTGATGAACTTAAGGTCCTTTCCAACCCAAACCATTCTATGATTCTATGTAGATGCCCTATTCAAATCAAATACTGATCACCACTTTTGGTGTAATATAAATTTCTGCTATCAATTAACAGTTAATAATAACCAATACAGCTCCAACATTTCCAATTTATACATAGCCTAATTGTAAACTCAGGACACAACTAATCAGCACTTACCTTATCGAGTTCATTTGAAAGTTTCTTGTTTTCCTCTGTCAGCAGAATCTTTTCTCGCTCATACTTCTGTTTGAACTCTGTTTCAAATTCCTCTCTCTCACTTTGGCTAAGAAATAAAATGAAGCAGAATTAGAAAGTTTCTTATTCCAAAACTCATTACACTGTTCACTTATAGACAAAAAGATCAATACACACACCAGCTGAAAAGGAAGTACTATGCTGGTAATACCACAACCTATTTAAGTAATGTATTGTAGGGCTGTAAGATGGTGTGTTTAATATTAAGACATTGATCTTTCCTTCAGTATGGAACTGATGCAGCTCCACTGAGCTACTGTTTATCATCAATCCACTTACACTTACTACATTGTTCAGATGAACCACCCCGACACTGGGTAGCTGTAATTCTGCAGCTCAAAGCACGTGTCAATATGCTGAGAGGCTCAGGGTAAATTCTCAGCTCACAGAAACATTATTCTAACTTTGTATTGCTAGAAATCCAAGTTTCACATAGAGTGACAAGAAAAATGACCATGTTATGAAACCAGAACATACAGAAGCTAAATCAGTACACTCACAGCTGGGTCAATAATGAGGAAAGCTTATGCAGGCTAGTTTTTGGACAATTTAGAACAGACAGGACACACTGGAACTGTTAATTCAGGTACTATATGCCTACTATCGCCCAAAACTGGGTGGATAACCTACACACTAAATATCACCAGATTCTACAGCAGGCTTGGACCATTCTTTCTGAGAACAAGTTTCAAAATAGCTGTTCCCCTCAAACCTTCCCTTTCCCTGTGAATGTCACTCAGCAGAGGAGAACCCCTGATTAATTCCACTTAACATCAGCTTTGATCTTGCACAATGAATAAGAGACCCTGAAAATAAATGAAGCTGCAGGTGCTCTGTTTGCCAAAGAACACCGTAATTTCCTGAAAGTGGTGTTACAGCAGTGTTTTGGACATGCAATTTCCACCTCACATCCACTCTTTTCAGACTTGCTACATTTGCATCTTGTATTCACCATTTCACTAGCTATCCAGCTAACTGGCACAAAGTTCATCAGTAGGTTGATGGAGCTATACTATAAATGTCAGAGATGCAGTAAACATTCAGCAAACACCACTGTGCAGCCTTAAAAAGGTTTGAAAAAGTACTTGGGATAAAAGGGTAGCACTGTAGAAATAAAATCCAGGGGAAACCTTGTCCTGAGCACTGTGATTTTTCTTCTGGGTACTGATTTGGATTTTACATTGTACAACAGAGATATTACATCCTTGCCTCTTTTTCTGAGCTGCTGAACTACTAAAGCTCTGCCAAACTGACAGAGCACCCTTAAAAGATGAGACCTTAAAAGATGTCAGTGGTTACAGTGAACCCAGTTAAGAGTAATGCTGGTTTGAATTTCCTATTCCTAATTTAAAATTCATTTAGTGCTTCAACCACTCTTTGAAATCCAGTACAGCATGTTAAGACTCATGGTGAAATTGTATGTTGCTAGGCATCCTTTGAAACGTAACACTCCATCCTAGTAAAGTAACAGACTACCCTTACTGCATAAACGCCAAGTTTGAAATTTACCACCACTTCTTTTCTGTATCAACAGATTCCATGCATATGATGAGCAGTCTAGGGAAAAGGCAGGAAGAGATTAAAGCATTGGCTGTCAGGGGAATTAATAACAGGTCCTGCTTCTGTTTGCAAGGCACAGATTCAAAGCTAATTCCTCAGACAGTAGACCGAACTAAATCTGTATTTATTTCTTTTATTTAGCTTTTATGGTTTTCTTCAGGGTTTTTTATTCTCTATTTGTCTAAAATTTGTTCTTTTAAGGCTTTAGGGCTCAAAGCAGCCATAAATAGTGGTGGGTTAAGGAAGCTTTGGAGCAGTAAAATAGCCAACATACTTGTAGTTTTCTGTATTTTATAGTCTTAATTTAACTCGTGATTGTCACTAACTCAGTAAGTCAGACTGCTATAGTGTAATACAGAAACAAAGATACATTTTAGACATAGGAGAATGTGGGTGCAATATATCACACCCAAATATCAACTCAGAAAAGCATGGAACAGACTCCATAGGCATACCTTGGACAGCCAGGAAGATCAAAATAAGGCATTTGCTTTGAAACCTGGTACCCTCCTCTACCATCAACCTTTTTCTCTCATCTGAAATTTAGCTCTGTATCTGCCCTTCAAGTTTAAGAAAGCATACATGATCCACCTTTCTTTTTATCAGTAAAATAACTCTATCAAACCACATGCAAGCAATGTCAAATACAGCTTCATGGTATCACTCTGTCCCTCCAGCTCTTTACTGCAGCTGTACAAAGTGGAGAGATACTCATTGCTTTGAAACCAAGGAAAGCAGACTGGAACAAACACCAGCCCCCAGGCTTCTTTGTATCACACAATTTAAAACCCCCAAACGCTGGGTGATAGAGCTCTCTGCTTCATAAATCTGCCATTAAATGACAGGTTTAAAAGAAACTTCTACAAACATGATTCTAAGAAATGGAATTTTGTGCTAAACAGATCACTGGCCTGATATCACGCTCCTACATTCCCAATTTTAATCGCACGGAGGTTAGGAGACTTTAGCAAAGGGCAAGTACAGAAAGGGAGTTTCTCCCCCTTCAAAACTTACATTGTTGAAATAGCAGAAGAAAACATAAATTTGAAGGAAACAAAGAAAACAATACCTATTTTTAAAAAATAAACCAGAAACTACCCACAAGCAAGTTACACAAAAATACTGTGCACAGATTCTGACCACGCTCTGACTGACCCTTGTTTAGAATAACCTACGTAATTCACTCTATGCTATAAACCCTCACGAAGTAATGCGACCACACCCTTTTACCAAAGCCTTTCATAAGCACTAAAGATTATTTTTAGACCTCCAAAATGTTTTTGCCAAACTGTATTACACACACTTTAACCCTCACACCCACCCCAAGCCCATTGCTGAAATAATTCCAGCATAAAGGCCCCAGGTGCTTCCTCTTCAACTCTCACATTGAACACCTCTGAACTGGAAGGCTCACAAAAGGCTCTGCATGCCTGACCACAAAAGCTAAAAGAAGAGCAGCTTCTTCCTAATGTCTAATTTAGATCTCCCCTCTTTCAGCTTAAAGTCATTCCCCCTCATCCTACCACAACATTCGCTTGTGTTAAGTCCCTCTCCAGTTTTCTTTTAGGTGTATCCAGCCTATGAATACCTGTATTCTAGGAAGGAATAGCTCACGCACTGCATTCTAAGTTGCATGATCCACTTCCCCTGGTGCAAAAGGACTATCAGAGAAGCAGTGTTTCCACCGCTATGGGCATAAGCTTTATTTACTACTTATATTTAAGAACTCCCTACAGTTTGGCTAAGCTTTCAGCAGGAACTTGTTATGCCATCTTGCTACAGCAGCAAAAAGCAGCACCTCTGGTAGTGTCTATAAGCATTCTGAATTTTTTATGAATGAAAATGAACACATTTGATTTATGAGTATTTCCATCACTACACTATCCAACAGAAAAACTTGTTTTTACTGATGAACGCCTCGAAGAACATTCTCAAGGCCAGTTATAAGCTCCAACCATGTGGGAGAGAAAAAAGCAGGTCTCTAACAAAATTACTGTGCCAGAAGAGATAAAGCAGCTTAATGCCTGCAGTAGTCTGATGACTGATATTAACACTGGATGGAACCCAGCATGGATTAGCCTTAGTCCGCATTAAGTGGCTGTCCCTGTGCTGGCAGAAATGTAAGCAACAGTTGATCTCTAACACCATTTTGCATCAAAAGATGAAACAGAAGAAAAATGTCAAAAAACTCTTTTAAACTGCAACATAAGCTCCAGGGGTTAACCTACCCCAAAGTCTGCAACTCAAGTTACATACCTTGGATGGTCAGCTAGGGCACAAATTCTGCAAAATTAACTGTTTCAGGCCAGGGATGTACATTTTTTGGTGGTACTTTGTTTTTAAAAGGTGACTGTTTTCAACCCTGGCTCAGCCAAAATGCACCTGCCTGTATTACAGTGAAGGAAGTGACAGTGTGTTTGGAAACACAGCAGGAGTCTTCAAAAGATATTTTCAGCTTAAAGGTAAATTCTATGCAATACTCACTTTTCTCTTCTGGTTTTCTCTAACTTGTCTTTCAAAATCATTATCTCCTTCTTGAGGGCAAGCTGCTGGCTCTCTGCATCCCGCAGTTCTTTCTTCAGGCTTTTTATTTCATTAGCATGCATGATTTCCCGTTTAGATAGTTCCTCTTCATAGAAAACACTTTTCTTCTCCAGGTCTGCCTTTAATTTAGTGATCTCTTGCTGGTGTTCTATACTGCTTACTCCAGGTGAGCGACCAACCTGTTTTTGCTAAAATAAACAGCCCTAAATTAGTACTCAAGGATGCAGAAAATGAAGCTCAATAACAACTCAATATTCCTAAGCATATGTTTAGAAAATATCCCATTACAGATCTGAGTTAAACACACCTATCCCAATGTTCTTGAAAATTTGTTACAGCCTAAATCTGAACTGTACTCTTTATCAGTTTGTGATTTAAATAGAGTAATAGATTTCAATCCACTGAAAATTTGATCATCTCTTTAAATATCTCTGGCCCCATTCTGACCCCCCTTTACATGCAGTCAGAAAGTGACCACAGAATTGGAGGACTTTAATGTTCCCACTCACACCACTGATAGCAACAAGTTCACGTGACTTTGAGGAATGCAGAATAAGGACTATGATATACAGACAGCATATTTTAAAGCACAGATAAGTAGTGGAAGAGCTATACTAAGACAAGCAGAGTCTTAACTGAAGGCTAAAATCTAGCTACAGAAACACTATAAGGATTGAATAGGTCAGGAGGGAAACCTGACCTATTTTACTTAAACTGATCATTTACATCAGAGTGGATTAATAGGAAAAACAAGCTTTAAACAATAAGAGTAATTACTTCACTTCTCGCAGCTGCATAGCTCTCTTAGTGAGGTCTTCTGGCATGTCAATAGTCTTTACACATTGCTTCAGGATACATACACATTTGCACCAAATGCTGCACTCACTAAACTCAATGTCCTGCCATAACATAGAGGAGGAGCAAGATCAGGTTCAAAATGAGATAGTGGCATGACATGCACTGAAATCCAAGTATGGAAATACTTTTGTATGTAAACACATGTATAACTTGGTTTGGATTTTTTTCTATTATTTAAATCTGTAATTAAAGCTAGTCTAAGGAAAGGAAATTACTTAATACAAACACTGTGCCTTGAGATAGTGCAGGTAACTGGAAAACCTCCTTCCTTACAGTGACTGACTCACAACTTTGGGAGGATTGAAGATACTTTGTTAATTATACCTCCAGTCGTACCATGAGATATTAAAAACCTTTCAGTCACCCTTAATTAAACATGGCTTTGGGTACCAATTTCCTTTTCTTGATGTATGAATAGACTTTAAGAGCTAAATGTCATTGTGGAACATTCAGATGAGCTGAGTTCCTAGGAGAAAGCTGGGCCTTGCTCTTAGTATCAGCAGAACACCGAAGAACCCCCTAAATGTATGAGCCAGATTGTGCTGCTACCACATCGTTTTCTGTAACTCATCAAAACAACCATCTGTTTTGATCCAAGAGTAAAATCCTGTCCTTGGCATGCACAATGTTGAATTGGAGAAAGAAGATGCCACCCTAACAGGAGATGGTTTGGAGAAAGAAAGAATTAAAAAAAAATATAATTTATACACACGAAAGAAAATAAAAGAAAAAAAAGATGATACAGAAACTTTCTTTCATGCATAGGCAGTTAACTACTGAACTTGTTTGTTACTGCCCAACATACTGAATTGCCTACTCATATATGGCAATGCAGCACATAAGTTTAGGCTGCGCAACATCATCTATCAGGTATGTAAAATGTTTTGGTGGTGGTTCACATTTTTTTTGCACAATGAAAAGGTAATACTAAGACAGTAAGACAGATGGTGCAGAAGAACTGAAAGCTGGATGGTGTTATGCAATGCCTTATACAGAGCTAGAGTAACAGAATAAACAGAGTACACATTTTGAATTGATGTAAGCCTAAATTCCAAATAGGTGTTTCCACACATGCCTGTTTCAAGTGGACAAATGATGCAAGAGAGACATAATGTATTGCCTGGTACACAGGTAATTTAGATGCTGTTGAATGCACCCCAGGATGCAGTTTGCCCTCTTGGCTGCCAGGTCACAATGCTGACTCCTACTGAGCCTTTGTTTTGTATATCCAAATACATGACACACACTAGCTCCCCTTTGTCCACGCACTTACTGACAACTTCACAGAACCCCAGCAGGTCAGTGTTGTTTGCAGGATTTGGCTAGATGGGAGGCGCGCTGCCTTCTCAGCAGGCTCTGCTTCATCCATGAGCTCACTGACCTTATTGCTGACTACAGCCTCTACCCCTTTCCTAAGTTGCACCCACTCTTCCGCAGTTTCCAGGACCTTCTGGATAAGGGTTACAGTCGCACAGTGGGCCAATATAAGAGGGTGCATGTCCTGGTCAATAGTTCTCTTACTTCTCACCTGAGTTCCTCCAGAACCCCCTTGGTGAGGCCACTGGTCCGGGGGTAACTTCACATCTGCCAGCTCTACCGCTTCCTGCACATCTGGCTCAGAGCAACCCAGCTCATCTGACCAACCTGCTGCAGAGCACACATTCTTTGTGGCAATCTCCCCTGCTTCAGCAGTAAAGTTGGTCACACCAAAAACTCACTGAGTGTTTCTGCCACACCTCTATCAACTCAGAGATTTCCTTTTCATCCCTGCCAACAAGCAGCCCCATGAGTTTCTTAAGGTGGCTTTTTGGTTTTTATTTAAAGAACTTCCCACAATCACTCTGAACATCTTTTGTTAAGTATTGGCTAAATTCTCTTTATTTAGCCATCAACATCCTGTTTACACTTGATCTGCCATCATTTATGGGCTTTTCTATTCTCATTTAGAGAAGCTTCCCTTTTTACATTACATATTGACCTTTCTCTATGACAGGCTTCTGAACTTAACTATGGACAACAACCTCACATGATCCAAACTGTGTTCACTGAATTACAAATTATGACTAAGAAAGCTACAAGTCCCCTTTCCTCTTCTGATAAACTTGGCCTGGTGTTATAAATCAGCATATCATTTATTATCAACAGATCTCCAATACATTCTTCTCGCCTTCAACTGTCATATAAACTCTTCATTGATGGCGAAAATTCATGAAAGGAGGTGAAATACATCTTAATTTTCAGATAACCATCTGAATTCACAGCAGTAAAAACTTTATAAATCCAGACTTCATAGTGAATGGATTTCCTTATTTTCATTTAACAAAGGAAGGCAAAATAAAAGAATGCAAAATAACCCCCAAATTCTCTGTGTACTGACTCAATGTTGACAACTGGCCCACGGAATTCTAATTAAAGAAACATGTTTATTCATGTAAATTAATGCCAGAATAGGCCTAACCTGACATTTTGCAAAGGAAGTGTAGAATTCTCCTGGTGAACGAACACTGCAATGATCTTGCTGTAAACGAACAATAACCCTGATGTGAAAACTAAAAACTTTCTTATTCAATTTCTGAGAAAGTCTATTTCTTCAAAGCACCATATAAAATGCTACATCATAGAATAACAGTTTACATTCTTGGCTTACTTAAATTTCTGCTCCTAAAAAACACATTACACATGTAAGCAATCTCATCCATATAATGCCTTCATGCTCAATGCTGTTCTTGTGCAAAAACATCTCAACTCCTGGCTGAGAGGCAGAATACACTAAAACTTCTCCTTTACAGTTACATCATATGACAGCTATTGCGGAGGAAACACCATCTTTCTTTTGACTGACACACTGAGGAACAACACAGTACACCAAAAAACCTATACAGAAACCTGCCTAAGTTGCAGGTTTATCTTCAAATACCCAACCATCCTTCATGAAAAAAACCCTAAACAAAACCCCCCAAACAAATGGTTTTGCCAGGTAAAGTTAAACAAAGTAATAATGGGAGCAAACGGGTAAGAAATCATCACATATTAAGAAGTAGTTCAGTGAGCAGTGAACACTCTGGCCTGAAAAGTACATTAGGCAAATGTTCATTTTTCTGGACAATAATGCCATGCATGCTTGCACTAATATTCAGCATCAACTGGAGACACAGACTGACAACACCCTTTTGTCCTACATCTGAAAGCAATCAGACAGATCCAAGTCCTACTTGACTAGTAACTTTGCAGGTGTTAATATCAAAATAGACTAACCTTTAGCCCTTCTACTTCGCTTTCCAACTGTTTAGAGTACTGTTCACTTCTCTCTCGCAATTTCCTGTCTTTGGATGCCTCAGCAGCTGCAGCTTCAGCTTGGACTTCCAGCTACAAAAGTACATAAGTTTTTAATAGGTAGGATTCTTTTTTTTCCCCAAGAAAAATTCTATTGATGGTATGCAATATAAGAGGTAAATCTTCAGCACTAAACTGAAGACTTTAAATTCTTAGCAAACAAAATCTGTACTGTTTGAAACAAAGAATTAAAGACTTACAGTTAACATAGAAATTATTTTGCCAGAAAACCTTACATATAGCTACTATTTCATAGATTCTAAACAGACTTCTCACCACTTACTTCTTTTTTAAGTCTCTCTGTTCTGCGTAACTCTTGCCTTAAACTTTCTACTTTTTGCATCACCACTTCCATTTCTTCCTCCTTATCTCGGAGCTGGCGGGCAAGCTTTTGTTTTTGGGAGTGTAAGTCTGTCAGCCGCTCGTTCATCTCTGAGAACTCCTGCATTGCCAATTTCCGCTGGCTGTGTGCATCTTTCAGCTCTTTGGCTTGGGATTTTAATCTGTCACTAGACTCTGCCAGTTCCTACAGTTTAAGAAAAGAATGAAGTAACAAACCTAGAAAGCTGCAAGGCCAACTCTGTGTCTGGATGCGCATCTAACACTTTCTCCGGAGTGAATAGAAACTACATATTCATGTCTTTTCATGAATGCATCAATGACACAGATTATATGCCTCTACACATAAAGAAAAACGCCAGGATTTACTCTATTAAAGTTAGTAAAACAGCATAAATGTAAACCGAGTAGGAATGTACTCCATTATTACAGGTTAAACACAAAGGCTTTCAAGCATCTGCATTAAAATATAAAAATACCTTGCTTCCTTAATTAAAAAAATATTATTAGCATAGTTTTTCAAGAGCAACTTAAATAAAAATAGTACTTATCATAGCTGCTAAATGATTAAACAAAGTTTTTGCATTAACTGAATGGCAAAGTCTGCTCTATGAAAATTTCTACTTCAGAAGCTTTTGAAAACTGACCTGCAATGGTGAGTACGATTTTCACACACTGTACCTTAGTATCAAATGCTACAGAAAGCTTGGCAACAAACCACTAGTGATTAACAGCAACATACGACAATCATCCTTTTAAAAGGTCTCACACGAATTAACAGTGCTAGTGCTGTGATAACTCTACAGCACAGTACATTCACAAAGCTTGCTGTGACCTAGATCTGTGCTACTACACTACAAATGAAGGACTACAACAGCTTAAATGGCTTAATGAGGTTCAGCCAAACCGGACCAGAACAGAGAAGCAAGGAAAAGACAGTCTGAGGATGAAAAGAGCAGCAGGAAGAATTATTAATATTTGGCTCTGTTGTCATCTGTACAAATTTAAAAGCATTTTCTAAGGTTGTTAAAACAGGTCCTAATCGCTACATGTTTTAGAAGAGAGATGGTCTTTCTTCAAGAAACTGGCAGCTTTCAAGGTTATAAGAGCCTTAAGGGTTAAAAGAAAGTGTTAAATACAGCTGCCACATCAATATTGAGTGTGAACTCCAAAATACTGGGCCAATATAATAATGATGAGAAAAAGGCTAGTGTATTTCACACCTGATTACAGGTTGATTTAACTATGAATATAAAAACAAGCCATGAAAGACAGTGTTGTAAGTAAGAAAACAAGGAGACATAAAAGAAGAAACAAAACCCAGTATTCTTTAACTGTAGCTATTTCAAATTACTTTTCAATCTTAAGGTTTGGGCAATTTTTCACATCTCTCTTCCAGAAACACTTCTGTGACACAGCCTTAATACCATATTCTTGACATTTTTTTCCCTCCTACAGTCTTGCCCATACTTCAGATTGTATCAGTCATCTCCAATAAGTTCTGCAAACTACTATAGTTATCACCTTAAGCTGAAGCTGTAAAACCTTTGCAAGCACCAAGCAGTTTAGACCATGGAGTTGTTCACTATTTGGAAGCAGCCACCTAGGACCACCCAGCAGTCATATGCACAACATGTTAAATAACGTCCTTGTCTTCAAAATAAAGGCAGAAAGCAAAGTAGGTCACGCTACACATTTGTTATCTGCTCATTAATTTTACTGCTGAACATTATTTCAAGCAAAATGAACAAAAATAAAATAGTCTTCAGGGTTTACAAGAGTTGCTGACAAATTGCTTTTACCTTATTAAGATCTTCTCTCTCTTGCTTCAGCGTTCTGACCTGTTTCTCAAAAGCCTTTATTTGTCTGGAAGCATCATCCAACTCCCGCCTTGCAGTGCTGGCCTCTTCTAGCTGCTGCTCTAGCTGACCAGAATCTAGAAAAAGCAGCAGACATCTAAATATCTTAAGGAAAAAAAAATGAATCATTATTCTAGAATACCACAGTCTAGCTCCTTGAAGTCCCCTTCACTATTTGTTCTGGCTTCCATTTAACCACAAAAGAACGTAGTTCTTATCTGGTTTAGAATAGGGAGTAGGTTGTTTCAACTGCCATTATCTGTTTTTACTGTAACAGAATAAAAAGCGATAACTTGCTGCAAAACAACACAGAAAATGATAACAATTTGTCTTTTCACTTTATAAAAATCATGCACTATACATAATTCTGTAATGCATGCTTTAACATGACCTATACATTTGACTTTTATGCACTGTGATGTAATATATAATGCATCTTTTATTACACTGTAATTATAAACAGTCTCCCTCCTCCCCCCTCATTCTCCCAGAAAGAAACAGTAAAAATAATGGGTCACTCAAGAGCTGGCAAGTGTTCTCCTGTCAATACACTTAAAATGAACTTCAGATGATTTTACTTATTTCTAGTATGACAAATAGTTGTGTTTATGTCATCTGCTTTATTACATCTATAAATACAGGCAAGCTATTACAACTATCACCAAGTGCCAGTTACATGACAGTACATTTCTACACCACAGCAACATAACATCATATAAATGCACTGAAACGCTACAACATGGAAGGCTGAAATGGCAAAAATATGGCAACTGAAAGTTTCTAGCTAGTGGGTGTGTTTTTTCCTCTCCTAGTCCTTCACTGAAAAACAGGAATTTAGAGCAAGATATAAATGCAGGTGGGTTAATTCCAAGGTCTGTGAAAACACCAGACATTTTGCCTTTGATTTTAGTTGTGGCAGGTCTTCAGACCATGTGGTTTTAGCCCCAGAACAGGAACCCACCTATACTCTTCTATATTCTTTTACTACATTTTCATAAACGCAACCCAAAGAGACTGGCTCCTGGAGAAATCAAATATAAAACCACAGACATTTTGAAGAGCTGTAATTTCTGAAACACAAGAATTTTATAAGAAAACGAATACCATTAGCTTATACCCAGACAAATATTCACTATTGTTTTAATTCATTGACTCTTGTTTAAAAACTTAAAAGAATGCATTTAAATAAGAGACATAGCTCAAAGTCAGAAATTATTAACACCCTTTCTTATGTAGCCTACTCTGAAGTCACTAGCAAAAAGAAAGTTTATATATGGCTCTGCTGAGCCAAGATAAATCTCCGTGCATGAACTACTTTGTTCCACTGCTCTGTTTTCTTCTTCCATCGCTGCCCTTTACATATTTGGCAATATTAAAGATTCCTCAAAGTTTTCTCCTATGTAACTTAGCGAACAAAAATTACAACTTTGACCTCAGAAATTGAAAGCAGATGGGAGCTTGTCATTTCCTGGAAAACCAGATAGGCAAGAAAAATGTATTTTTCTAAGGTCCCCCTGGTGACACTCCAGAATTTGACAGGATTTCGTGTTCATTTTTTATTACCTTTTTAAGCAGGTGTTTACTCTTACAGCTCCAGAAGAGGCAGTAAAACAGGTTAAAGAATATAACCACAAGCTAATTGTGACGTATGTGTAGTAAACAGTAATTTTCCATCTCATCACCCTAGTTACTGCTAACATTTTAGCTAATATATGCAAACACTCACTGTAGGATGTTATTGCATTACATTTAATTGTCCAAGAGATGAGCCCAAAGCATAAAATTCAGCTGTGCACCTGACCTGAACCTTCTTAAAGTTCATCACATCCAGATTTGGAAATTCAGGTTATTCTAAAAGCCACCCAGAAAACTTGGAGCTAGCTCCCTTAAATTTGGAAGCATTCAGACATGACCCTCATTTGGTTTGTGCCTGTATTCTGTCATTACTTGAGTTCCAAAATCTATCTCACAAAAACAAAACCCCATAAAAGCAAGCAAATCAGAACAGTCTCTTTGCCAATTTGATAAATTTTGCCTACAACTCAAGGCACAAATTGAGAGTCTTCTAACTAGTGCCTGTATTGTCTGGACCACACAAGGCATTCAGTATATACTTGGAAAGATCTAAGTTCTGCAGTGACTGGGGATGGATAAGACAACTTTACATCTTCCTCATTTGACCACATTATTTGTTTCCAACCCCAAACTAAAAGCACATATTGTATCTAGCAATAAATATACAAATGTATATGTAGCGTGAAGCAGAAAATTCTTAGTGGACAGTTAACAAAAAACCTTCTCAATATTAACCACCTTCACCAGACACTGACAGCTTTAAATTTGGAAAGAGGTATTGGGTGTACTGGGGAATGTTACCACACTTTTTTTCCCCCTTCCATTACCAAAGGAAGGGAACAATACATTCAGCAATGAACCAAACTCTAAGCTGCAGCTCAACAGTCAAGAATAAAAAATAATTTAAAGCTGATCCTGATGCTTTTCTATGAACGGCTGGTCCCACCCAAAAGCTGGTCTTGTAAATGTTGCTGTTCAGTGGTCTCAAGGAGCCAAAACCAGAGCCAAGGACTGCTGCAGATCAGGGGTTTCCGATCCTGTTGTCTTTTTCCTCCTTACAGCAGCAAGTGGAAGGACATATGGCTGGAGAGAAACTTCACAGAAACCTTTGTGCTGACATAGTGCCAACATGGCATCACTCAAACCAGAGGGATCCTCCCTGAGCTAGTTAAGCCCTGTTCAGATCCAAAACTACTGCTTATTGTACAACACAAAACTGCCGCATCATGCCAGAGCAGCTGTCCAACTGTACATTTATAACAGACTTTCAGACTACACAATTTTAACAACGTATAATCTACATGCTGCAGTCTGCAGTTCATACATAGCATGTTTCTCCCCCATAACGGAGTGGCAGAGTCTAAACACACCAACCAAAATGTCTGGAAGTTAAGTTCAAGTTATTCTTTCTGTGGGTGCTGCTGCTGGCATTCCTGACACTTCCAGGAACTGAATGAAGTCTTTTCACAAACATAAACAAGAACAAATCCTTTTTGTAGTTTCCTCCAACCTTCCTCTCTTTCAAGCTACCTCTGCTCTCAAGATCCTATTTTGAAGAAACCATTAGGGAGCAGGAGAGCAGAAGTCCTATGCTGTGAATCAATACAAGAGACAATTCCCTTTAACTTCATTCAGAGCTTCACATCAGGAATACTGACTATTAGTAGCAAACCTTTAAAGTAGGATATAAAGATATTAGCTACACAGATAGCAAATTCGTTCACTATTAGCTATATACAACCTGGTGGTGCAATAAAAGCTCTCCCTCTGGAAGTTCTTAAAACATGTATTGCCAAGATCTGGGACAGTAAGGCTGGAAAAAGACGGACTTGAATACATCAGGTATCTCTGAATCTTCCCTTAAGTGTCTCCAGTAACCTCTTTAAAAACATAGAACACTGGGCTAACTAGATCTTTGCTTTTTGACTAGTTTGAGAGTTCTAAAGAAAGGCAGTATGACATTAATTAAAGCAACTGAGCTCTTTGTCTGCACGGATTTCAAAAACACTTTTCAATCTTAAAGTACTGAGATAGTTGATAGCCAAATTTTTAGTTATCTTTGTGAGCTCTCAGAAGCAAAGGAATTAAACTGAAATGAAATAAATGTTCGGGTTTGTGAGAAATGAGAGCTCGCTAACAGCAGAGCTGAGAGGTGGCTCTTCTCCCACCCATCTCCCTTTCCTTGTATGCTTCTCCTGTCCACATTGTGCTGATTTATCAGATCGTAAGTTGATTGAATTCTTTTTATCTAGATATTCTTTTCTTGTTTAATCGAGTGAATTAAAGAGAGTCTGGTGCATGCACAGTGAGAGGAGAGTTCATGCAGATGTGGGCAGGACCCGCTTCAGTGGCAGAGTTTTGTTTGGTCAGTTCTGCTGCTCATGGAACTGCAGACTTGGCGTCCTCTCTCATGGAAAACATCCTTCATTACTCCCTGCCACTTGAAAAACCCAGTATCACTGTAGTTCATGCACACAGCCCACCTCCCAGATAACCCAAGCTTTTCTAAAAGTACTGTTCCAAGATAATGCTCAGAAAACCACATCTGCAGCTTGAACAAGCTTTTAACTCCACATCCAGTTACAATGCAGTCACTAACAGCACACTACAAAACTCTGTGGTTTCAAAGAAAATATCATCAAAATTGCAATCACATCTCCCAGACTTGGCCCATTCAAGGAAAATTCAGCAGAAAATAAGATACTGAAAAAAATCAACTGATACTTAAATCATAATAAAACATCCTTCTATCAAATAGTTTTAATACTATTAAAACTAGTAGGCTGAAGTCTTCACTCCTCATGTTTACTCACATAAGCAAGAAACAACACCTTCCTTCCAGTTTAGTAGACATGTATCTGCACACTCTTGCAGTACACAGTGCAGGAGGAATGAGGGGGGAAAAAAACCCAAACCTAACTACTACTATGGAAATTGGTCATGGTTTCACAGATTCTAAGGTACAGCCTGATTCACATCCATGTAAATGAGCAACACCACAACTTAAAACTTGTGGAATTTTACCACTAGTAACAGTAGCACAAATCATTGAAATCTTCCTTCTCCCTTGCAACTGGAATTAGTCAAGTACTGAATATGAAGTTGAATTTGTAGAAAATGTTGAGCTACCAATGAAGAGTGAAGGATAAAATAAGTAAAAATAGACTGTGAGGCTCTCTTAGAAAGCAGAGTAGAATGAGTATTACATTAGGAGAAAAAAAGTCATGCTATAATATTGTTTCCTGTTACATTTTTACATTAATATTTACAACATACCTGTTACCTGTTTCTTCAACTTTTCGATTTCTTCTTTCAAACTTTTAATTTCTAGATCTTTGCTTGCTGTTATTGGGCCATCCACTGTTGAGTACTGCAGAGCCTGGACTGTCTGGGTTGACTCTAGAAAAAGATGGAAGTGGGGTACAAATTACATGCCTGATAATCTGAGGGGTTCAAAGATATATTATTAATAAATCAAGACATGCCAAATGACTCTCCATTGAGGATTCTACAATTCATAACTTCCAACTGCTAAGTGCCATTTTTTCAGTACTTGTCAGCTCGACAAACTAAGTTCTTAGAGGTTTGAAGAATGAAATCTTTATGCCAGACTAACCAAGGCATGGTGTGAACAAAGTTAGCATGTTATCAGAAGCTGCATACATGGGATATTTTGGGTATAAACAGTAAGAAAAGTTTAATTTGTCAATGGAAATAATAAACAGAATTCTTTTGTGTTAGAAAGCTTTCCAGGAGGTATATTTATTTTTTCCCACAATATAAACGTACAAAGGTTATACAAAGTACCTTACAAAGCCGCAAGTCAAAAAAGTGATTGAATGGATTTTTTAATGACTGTACCTTGCAGTTTCCTACTAAGTTCAAGCTTTTCCTGTTCTAGACGTCTTATTCTCCTCTCATAAGCTTCTGTTGCTAAGCTATCCTCCAAAGTTCTTTGAATGCTGGCATCAAGATCCATGGAGGGTGGTCCAGCTGTCAGTCTTAGACAGCTGCGATCTGAAAGCACACTGGGGGGAAAAATGAAACAGGACTGGATTTTACAACAGGTTGTGTTTAAAGTAATTCTTTAAAATGAACCAATAAATAGTTTAAATTGTTGATGACCATGTACTTTATTATACAGTCAAATACCACTTTGTTAGTATGCACACATTAACATTTTAATCCCTTTTTACCTAGCATGATTATCTCCTCAATGCATTTTTTTGTTACAGAAAAGTGCAGAAACTCCCGAGTAAAAAGGATCACTATGGACAGTCTACATCAGCCAGGTAGCAAAGAGCAACAATGTAGATAGTTAGTAAGATTATAATAACAGTTTATTTTAAAATATTCAAGTTCCCCCAAATACTTTAATGACAACTATCACAACAAATGGTGTGAAGTTATCATATGACAACCAGGGCACATACATACCAGAAATGCTGTGGCCCTGACTCTGTGGATACTCATGTAGTATACTCATACTAGCATGTATGTAAAATAATGCTTTTGAAGTCCCCAGGACACGGCACATAACCAGCATTAAGCACATGTGTTTGCAGGAACATAGGCCTGGTTTTTCAATGGTTGTCAACATTACCTATTTATTTACTCTCACAAATGATCAAGAAACATACATGGATTTCCTTGGTACTGCTCAATTTAGCAGTAGAGATGCACATGACAAATATCACTTTAATACTGAGTATCAAATAGAAGTCTTTTGTTTTTTTCAAAATACCCATCCAGGCTTACAAGAGTGTCAAAGGACTAGAAATAAAACAATATTTAAAGTTTAATAAGCTAAATCCTTTCTGAGTCCACACATCTGGCGGTAACTTTGCCATATGCAGTTAACTTCATATATTGTCTGAAAACCACCTTTCTCAACAAAACTCCTCTGAACACAGGTACTGCCCTTCAAATTCATGTCAGTTTTATCTGCAGAGTGCTCACTGTTTTGGACAAACAGCATTTCATATTAAGGCCCAGTCATTTCTTCACTAAACCACATTCAGTGGTATCTGTTTGGTATTTGCTGGTTTCAAAGACAGAACCTTATGATATTTTGTAACTAGCCTTCAGACAATTTTGGAACTGTCAACTTACCAGCTACTTGTATACGTGAAACCCACAAATGGTAAATGATGGCCAGAAAATGCTGTGTGTGATGGTGGAGGCATTGTTTCCTAGAAAAATAATAGGACACTTGAGTTAAGTAATATCCTACCAGACTTAAAAGAAAAAGATTTCTGAATTTAACCATATGTGAAGTGTTAGTGATAATATCAGATTAACTCTATCCACAATCATCCTTATCTACTGCCTAAATATGAAACGGCATCACCTAAACCCATTTATAATAGCATGCAATATACAAAAATAGAGCATGCTGGCATAAAAAATGCTTTTCTAGTTAAATAGGCTACTGCTGAAAGAAAGCAAAATATTACATGTATTAAAAGCCAATTTATTCTTTTTTTTTGTTTCCAAGAAGCTCTTGGCACAAAAAGCATCACCTTTTATACTCTTCTCTGCTATTTCATCAGCAAGGCTTCTTGCCTGTAGAATTACCAGCCCCACTTCTAACTTTCTGAAGAGAACAACAGTCAGACGTTCACTAGAAAGAAGTAATACAACAGGGTTTTCTAATCCGATTACTACTCTGACCATTTCTTACTTCATTTCTCCTTTTTCCTGCCAGACAAATAACTACAAACCAAGACAAATCTTAGAGCTCCTCCTGAGGCTAAAATAAACCTGTTGCTATATTAATCTAACCATTATAATTTCTAATACTCTTAAATATCCTGTTAAGAGTTTCCTGTTTAGCTGCAAGATGCAAGGTTTATGTTGTTATACTAGAGATGGCCTTTACAGTCATCAAAAGAAGCTCCCCAAGATGATGATTATGATACTGAAAGTGCTAAAAGGTTCTAACCTGTCAGAAAAGGCAAATAAAGATCTTTTTCTAAACCCAAATGAAAACCCACTTGTTTGTTTGTTTTTTTTGTTTGTTTTTTTTTTGTGTGGGTTTTTTTTCCCATGGAAAACTTGGCAGGAGAGAACAGGGAATAAAACTGCATTCAACAGAAATCCCAAATCACCTTTTCAGTATTGGCATCAGCTGTATTATATCACAACCTTGACCTTTTTAGCAGCCAAAAATCTTCACAGCAAAAAAGAGTTCCCAGAATAAAAAGCAACATCAATGACATGGCTGGACTGTGTTAAGTACAGTCAGTCTACATTGTTGGGCATTGTGGAAACTAAGGACAAGACCAGATTACAAAGCCTTAACTTTCCACTAATTAATAATAAAAACATCACATTACAGACTATAGTTAGAAAAGGTAAAGTTCTTCAGTTCTCCTCTATATTTTATTTTCACATTTTATAGATTTAAGTTTCAAAATCATCTTTACAAATGGCTTAAGAAAGACTAAATGCATAACTGTGTGATTTAAACAGCCCACACAAAAATTTTTAGTTACCACACAGGTAACTGAACACTGATTCTAAAATACGGCTTTCAGCAACCTGGTTTCATGGAAGGTGTCCTTGCCCATGGCAGGGCGGTGGAACTGGATGATCTTTAAGGTGCCTTCCAATCCAAACCGTTCTAAGGCTCTATGATATTGTATCTACTGGTAACAATACAAGATTCTGTAAAAGTATTTGTTTCTTTGTCAGAGATCAAAACCACATTTCCTGCTGCTTTTGCGAATTTAACTGTATAGCCACACTGACAAAATGACAAATGAAACCAAGTCTATCATGGCTATCAGAAAGGCTACTAAACCAAATAGTTAAAAGCTAAAACCCAGCAGAACCTAGCCTGCCTGAACAACACAGTTTTGCCCCTTGTGCTTATGTGAACTTTTAAAACACATATTAGAGTCACTGAATAGCAAATCTATGGTTTAAATTCATTTTTCCATGGGACCAGAGTCTCATCCAAAGTTCAGGCAGTACAATAACAATCATGACTTTTCAGCATCACCTTTTCTCTTCAGCATTGGGCACACTGCTGCACACCATTCAAATCTTGCAAAGAATTTTAAACAAACAAGGTCTAAAAGTCTCATGGGCTTATCTATGGCGCTGACTTATGGAACAGCAGTGCAAGAATGTGAAACTTCCTCCCAAGATACGTATGAGTGATGGAGGGGAAAACACCTCCATGTTACACAGAAGGAATCTGAGGCAAAGTAATATTAAATCCAATGTCCAGCAATTGAAGCAAAAATGTAGAATACCCTCAGTCATGCAATGTCTTAGGCTAGGTTCTTCAGAGGTTCTGAGGTGGTAGGTGTGAAAAGAAATGGTAAAAACATTAACCTCCTTATATTAAAACAGAACAAAAAGCAACCTTCAGATGTTTCAAATTAGGAAGCTGAAAAAGAACTTCTAGAAACATCTCTAACAGTCAGTGGCATTGATTTTCACCCCCATGTCTAAAGCAAATTAAGAACTGGACTCAGTTTTCACAGCTGACAGTGTAATAACTCATCACAGGAGCATTCTTCCTTCACCTGCAGCTCCCTTCTCTTTCACAGCGGTAAGGTATTCACACTGCACAGGCACCTTTTGCAAGCCTCAGCCAGGAGATGATGCTCCCAAAAGGAAGACTTGTGCACTAGGAACGCTAGGAACTTGTTACTGCAAATAACAGCTGTATGTGTTAGCTAAATATGTGTAAAGTTACAGTGAATTTACCAAACTGAAGTTATCCCTACATGTGTGTGTTTGGAGGATCAGCTTCCAAACTGTGAATGTACTGCTCCCCACACTTCTTCAGAGCAGAACACAGTGAACAAGCACAATGCAATAAACTGCCCCTTCCATGTATTTTGTTATAAAGTGTATTACAAAAGCAAAGTTTTCAGAATATTAATTCTATACTTACAGAATTTTTTAAGCAATCATCATCCACATCAAAGTTTGATGTATCAGTGGGGCTGCTGACTTCTGGGATGTAAGGTGCCTCACAGTTTCTAATGTTGTCCCAGTCAATCCCAGCAAAGAATGGGTGGTTCTTAAAGTCTTCTATCCCATTTTGTCCAAGTCGATGCTCTCTGCTACAAATGAGCCTTCGGATGAGGTCCTTCGCACTTTCAGAGACATCTGTCACTTGAGCAGGAAACTGAAACCTCTCCTTAAAGATTAAAATAAGAGAAAATAATTTATTACCAAGAAGAAGTTGGGAAATCGACCCTTCTTCATGAAAATTATTATGTAGAAAAAGAAATGTGCAAAAACTCTAGTTCTTAAACATACCCAATCAGGTTTCTCGGAAAAAGACTTCTCCAAAGTACAGAAGCTATTGAAATGTTTTTATTTCCTAGTTTTTATTCTATATTTAAGTTTCCCTTATACTGTTGAATTCTACTGCTACCTCCATGTGGAAGAGTATTTAAGAATCTTCTGCCAACCAGTGGATGTGCCAGAAGGAAGTAACACAAAAGGAGTGATGTAATGTAGCCAAGATTTACTCCATAGAGTGAACTAACAGCCATCTTTCCAAATCCAGATTTTCAGTTTTGAACTGCTTTATCCTAAAGCAAAGCCATCTGCAATCCGTAACCATAAACTTACTACATGGAAACATATTTTTTATTCTACATTTATGAACATTAACATAATGAGTACATAACCCCCCCTCATTTTAAAATAAGCTGTCAAATTACCCTATTATTCATTAAAAATTAGCTTAGAGACAGAAAAAGAAAGTGCACTAACTTTGTGGTTCATTATTTTCCCATAGGTCTCCACCAAGGACTCAGCATAAAACGGCGTTTCTCCATAAAGCATTTCATACATGCAAACGCCCAGGGACCACCAGTCACACTCAGGCCCATACTTCCCTTTTCCATCTTCCATGGCCTGCAAGATTTCTGGAGAGATGTAGTCTGGTGTTCCGACTGCCACTGAAGATTGGACCTGTAGAAGTTACATTTATAGGACTAAAATCAACTTCCATCGTTACAGACACTGCTGTTTGGGGCACTGTGTATGCATATACAGGTTAAGCCAAGTGTTCTGGTTATAACAATAACACCTAAAGGCTTCTTGAATACAAAACTTAAGCATCCAAGGCACTACTTTAACAGGCATCCCAATAATATACTTTTGCTAAACTCTTCCAAATATTTAATAACAGAGAATGAACAAAACTGTCAATTCTTAGGCTTAGAACTGTTAAGTAATTATAGATTAGGTAACCACATATATTAACTCAAATAGTCTGTAACACTCTGGGGCATGATTAACATGCTGGAATTATATTCTAGTCACACCTACTATACACTGTGATAAGACAGAAATAAGATGACATGCTAATAACTATTTAAACAGTATATTTCTATTTAAATAGCATACTTCTATTTAAATAGCATGTCATCTTATTTCTGTATCACATCCTGCACATACTAAAGCTTACGTTTTCAATAAGGATTAGAGTTTAGAGCTCAAAAGAGAGATTCATCAGCAAATACCTAGTCAGTAATGACAGTATATCTTCTCTTTATTTATTCATGAGTAGACTATACGATCTAAAAAGCTTTATATACAGTAAATCCAAGCAGTGTGCAGTCATATTTTGAACCAAGGTTAGTTACATGCCAATACCATTACAATTCCATTTCCTTTGACATAAAGGCACCTTTTCTCCTTCCTAGCACACATTTTAGTGTCTAGCAAAGAACTGAAAAAAAACATATTTAGGAATATCTCATTCTTTCTCATTTACCGTTCCATCTTCCATGAGTTTCAGACAAGAACCAAAATCTGCTAATCGAATATGTCCGTTCATATCCATCAAGATGTTGTCTGGTTTAATATCCCTGCAATTAAAACACATTTCAGAATTAGTACAAAGTTGTTTTGCGTAACATATAGTGCAAGCATTAGCTCTGCTGCGCTCTTAGCATTCAAAACCTGCAACAGATCAGTAGACAGAACACAATTATTCTTTTGGTGAAATCTACACTGGGGACATTTCATGGCAGAGGCTACAGATCAAATTTTAGTACTAACTGTGCCGTCAAATTCCTCTCATCTCTCACAGGTGGACAGAAGAACCATACTAGCGCTGAAATTTTGTACATAAACCTTTTAAGTCATCTGAATAGTTTTAGTGAAATGGCAAATGCATGCTTATACTGAGCTAGAAAACAATCCTTAAGGTCTACTAGAGAACAAAGGTCAACAAAACCCTACAATAACACATACACATTTAAACGTAGTGTCTTTCATCAACATTTTTCTCTTATGTACACCACAGTTCGTCATGTCCGTCTGCCTCTACTGCGACTGAAAGGACCAGCAAAGCCATTGCACACACCACTGCAGCTCTGCTGGGCCAAATTCTACAGCTGTTTCATGATACACATGGAAAAAATCCTTCTATGGAGGCAACATAATAAATACTCTTATTTTGCAAATTTGACTCTTCCAGGTTTTTTTCTTTCATGTTTTACAGATACCTGAGTACACTGAAGTACAGACAAATCATATGCTCCTGGTGTGCAGCTGACCTGGATGAGAGCATCCACACTCCCTAAGTTACCAGAGAAACGTTTATTGTTCAACTTGCAAACCAGGTTCAAATGTTGAAATTCCTTTTCATTAGAAAGACCCATTAAGCTACATTTTTATAAATATATGACATTACTACGTCAAGTCTTACTCCATTCTTGTTTATTCTATTCACAAGGTACATTACGACTGTATGAAGTACTATAAGCACTTTCTCAGTGAAGAGCCATTTATAAGACATAGGAACAAATGTTCTAAACCAAATACAAAAGGGAAACCCTGACCTTGTTCCATTCCCCTAACAACTTACAACTGAATGTCATCAATGGCTTTGCAGACAAATTCCAAAATATTCACAAGTGAACATATCCACATTGTACCTGAGAGGAATTTCCATTTTGTTTTTCAGGTTTTTTCTTTTGTTTGCTTTGTTGTTTTTTTTTAGACAAAAACTGAAATACAAGCAATGTTTACACGGAAGCTATAATGGAAAATAAAACAGCACCTTGAACAACATTACAGAAGCAATGGCACAAAGGTGTCACACTGTTACAGGCTCAGCAACAGCATGGTAACAGTATGGTGTCTGAAGAAAAGTACTGAGCTTGTGCTCCCCAAAGACAAGCAGACAGAGCCCCAGGCTGGAAACAAATTTTCGCCAGGTTCCAAATACACAGAACCATTTACAACACAAAACCATTCAGAAATCGTACTTTTGCATCTCCCAGCTGCGCATAAAGACAGTTCTTTACAAAGCAAACCCAACAATTAACTGAGTCCATTTGCTAAATAACGTTCTTCCACTTAATTTTTGCTGACACCAAATATGCCAAAAAACCTGCAACCTCCAGACTGAGATAGTCTTATTTATTTTACACTCACCCACTAAAAACATTCCTTAAGCATGTTTCTAAATAAAAACAAACACATGTTATTGAGACCTCTGGAATTACAACTTCAGTTTAAAACACTTTGCAAAAACATGCACCTAAAATCAAGTTCCTCATAGAAGCTGGACCTAGTTCAAGCTAAACAAAAACATGAGTCACCCTTGAGGCTCCATTTATCCATGGCCTATCTTTTAATATATTCCCAAGAGAAATAATAATAGTAATAACCATCATACTAACCTCCCCCATTTGATCTCACAAAACAGCAGAAAACATGAAAAATCTCACTCTGTTATCAACACTGTGCAAAACCAAAGCTGCAAACAGCACTGAAAGCACTTAGAGGAACAAGTATTTGCCACAAATGAAGTTTGTAATGCTCAGTAATAACTGCATAAGAACGAATTTTATAGTTAAGGAAAAAAAGAGGCAGACTTAATACATACGAATTATTCTCAGCTGTGGCAATAGAAGGCTAATGAAATGTTCTGAATTCAGCTGAACTACATCAGTAAAAGACCGTTTGAAAGACAAGAATTGGTGGCACCTGCAGAGCCAAGACCACAAGCACAGGGAAAGTTAAGAAGCCTAATGAGCCCCAGAGAGGAGCAAGGAAGGGGACTGATTATTGCCCATGTATCTGAAGAGTTCAAAGGTGGTGATTATGGGGAAAAGTGATCATAAAGCCTGCACCTCCAGTGAGGCTGCAGTTGTTAGATTCCATCCTAATTACGAGGTCTGTTCCGGGTCTTTGTTTAGAATGACATTTGGTGGTGACTCTCCTTTAGGGATCAGAACTGAATTATCTCCTGTTCTCCACCTTCTCCGGCTTATTTGTTTCTTCACTGTATGAATTAGGTCCCTCTTCCCAAACTTCCATCTCAGCTGCAGTCTTATTTACATCATTGCCCGTCTCCTAGACTCACCTCAAAGATGTCCAGTTCTCCATGGCCTATCAAACCCAAGCCTCCTCCCCTTTTATTTCATTCTTTCACTCACAGTTTCTTCACTCCCAAATTCTAGTCCCTCTGCATATAAACATTTAAATAACCCTTTTTCCTCCTATCTCAGTTCTCTTCTTCTGTCACTTCTGAGATTCCCTTACCTTTCCTCAGGCTTCCCCTCTACACAATGTGCAAATGGGTGCAGGTTAGCACAGTTACACCTTGTACAAACCAAGCTAGTACAATTTTGTCAGATGTACTCCACAGTGAATTACAGGGACACAGGTATGCATACCCAGAGAAACACAAGCCCAACACATTGCTACCTGAGGTTGTGAACTGAGCAAAGACAGCTGTTCTACATCTTTCTGAATGAGTGATACACCAGCATCAAAGGAGCTATAATTCTGAACCGAATAAACTTATTTAAAAAGAAGTATGTGAATTTAAACCATGGCTCCAACACATGGTACAGGAGTGACTTTTATGAGCTGCACTGGCCTTGACTGTAAGTGAAAATCAGCACTGCACAGCAGCTTGGATGTAGTGATGCTCTTTGTATCTGTTTTGCAGTCTTTCATTATTTGCTTCTGTTCATCTGGAGAATGCAATAGGAATAAATGGTCTGTGTGATACCTGCACAGAAAATGAGTGTGAAGGCTTATGAAAAATATCTGAAAAATTTTTAATTAATCATTTTCATAAGGCTTCTTATTCCGCAGGTTGGTATGTTTACCCCAGTGACTTCACTTACCTCTCTTTAAAACAGTTTACTTTCTTAAGCCATAACTGAAACCCAAACATTTTACATACTAACTGTGTTAATATAAACGCCACCCTGAAACAGGACTACAGCAGATACCTGGATTATTGCCATTCAGTTTGACTTTTCTGTTAATGACCTCGTGTAGAATTTCATTTGTTCAGAAAGACTCAAGAAAACGTATTCCCTCTGAGACATGCTAAATCCATAGCACATTCCAGCCATAGAACAAACGAAAAAGAATTTTCACTATATGTGAATGTATTTTTTTCCCCTGGATTCAATTCTGAGCCTAAACAAAACTTCAGGAATCGGAGGTCTTGCATATTGAAATTTGGACTAGACAATCTACTTAAGTTCCTTCTAACCTGAATTATCTGATCATCTTAAAGTAAACCAGTTCCTGAGGTCTATGTCATCCTCTGAATCACTGTTTTTGAGTTATTTGCAAGACCACATGGAGTTCCTCGGGTCTACAAGCAGATTCTAGAAGAGCCTTCATTCTATTTCATGGGCAGCCTCATGAAGGCAGGGGATCACACAAACAGAAAGGAAGATACACTTCAAAAAAAAGGTGACATTTAATGCAAGAACCATAACAGAATGATAAAGAATCAGTTGTGTCAGACACTACCAAAGATTATGTCAATGGACCAGCTCCCAGGCCCACAGCTTAAAGTCTATGTGATAAACTTACCACCTAAGTTTAAGTAGCAGTTAAGAGTTTGTGAGCAGTACACAAACTGGTATTTAAAAGTTTGTGAGCAGTAGGAATCTCTCTTCTTGGTAACTGCACAGTTACCATGCAGAATGTAATCACTTTGGTTATTCATTTGGAGTGCGTTTATCCTTTTTTTTTCAAATCAAAAAGGATCAGGCAGAAATGGAGGAAAAGGTGAATCCTTCTCTGCAACTGCTATCAACAAAAGGTGGCCAGATGGTGCAAGGGGGCACCTCTCAATTATGTCATCAATGAAATGATCATTTTGGATGCTAATGGACTGTCCTCACATACACAGCTGAGCTCTTTAAAAAGCACTGAAATTATAATAAAGGGGCTTAGGTGGTTCTAAATTCAACTGCAACGTGAGCCAAGGCTGAGAAAAGAAATAGACCTGTCTTAAAGCAGAAATTTGACAGCTGAGCTACCAGCTTGTTTTAGCCCATTGGATAAGAAATGGATAATCTGGAGAACAAATTTTTATTTGTAATGTCGACATTATAAAAACATGGAAATGAATTGATTTTCCTGAACAGGTCACACACCCCAAGACATGCTGTGCTTGGACAGTACAGAACAAAGTGAATAGCTTACATTATTTTCCTGTGAAATCTTCACATGAACAGTAGTTTTTTAATGCTACCAATGCAAATTGAGATATCAGCAAATCAGAAAAGCTGGTACAGAGAAACTGATCCAGACAACTCATTACTAACTATTTCGCAGCACATTATTTCCTCATTATACATGCAAGAGCATTCCCCAAAAGTATAAATCAAAAGGTTACAAGCAGACATCAATGATTCTAATTATCCACTCTTACAACAAGAAATGGGATCCTTTGCCAGGTTACCTACCCAGAAAAAAAAACATATAACCAAGATCTTACTGCCAGAATGCCTGGACTTTTTATCCAAAATTCTTTCAGAACACAGGATTATCCTTAGTCAAGACAGAAGTTTGGCAAACTGTTTACTTCACTCCCTTC